GTATTGTGCTGTATTGTATTTGTATTTGTATTGTACTGTATTGCATTTGTGTTTGTATTGTACTGTATTGCATTTGTGTTTGTATTGTACTGTATTGCATTTGTGTTTGTATTGTACTGTATTGCATTTGTGTTTGTATTGTACTGTATTGCATTTGTGTTTGTATTGTACTGTATTGCATTTGTGTTTGTATTGTACTGTATTGCATTTGTGTTTGTATTGTACTGTATTGCATTTGTGTTTGTATTGTACTGTATTGCATTTGTATTTGTATTGTACTGTATTGCATTTGTATTTGTATTGTACTGTATTGCATTTGTGTTTGTATTGTACTGTATTGCATTTGTGTTTGTATTGTACTGTATTGCATTTGTGTTTGTATTGTACTGTATTGCATTTGTTGTATTGTACTGTATTGCATTTGTGTTTGTATTGTACTGTATTGCATTTGTGTTTGTATTGTACTGTATTGCATTTGTGTTTGTATTGTACTGTATTGCATTTGTGTTTGTATTGTACTGTATTGCATTTGTATTTGTATTGTACTGTATTGCATTTGTATTTGTATTGTACTGTATTGCATTTGTGTTTGTATTGTACTGTATTGCATTTGTGTTTGTATTGTACTGTATTGCATTTGTGTTTGTATTGTACTGTATTGCATTTGTGTTTGTATTGTACTGTATTGCATTTGTGTTTGTATTGTACTGTATTGCATTTGTGTTTGTATTGTACTGTATTGCATTTGTGTTTGTATTGTACTGTATTGCATTTGTGTTTGTATTGTACTGTATTGCATTTGTGTTTGTATTGTACTGTATTGCATTTGTATTTGTACTGTATTGTATTTGATTTGTATTGTATGTCCGTATGTATGTCTGTATGTCTGTCTGTATGTATGTTTGTATGTCAATATGTCTGTCGGTCTGTCGGTCTGTCTGTCTGTCTGTCTGTCAATATGTCTGTCGGTCTGTCTGTCTGTATGTCTGTCTGTATGTATACATGTGTATATATATATATCTCTCTCTCTCTCTCTGTGCGTGTAGCTCCAATACTGAACTGGGTTTCATGTGGGTGCATTTTATAAAAGAAATTGCGTCGGCCATCCCCCAACAAACTCCAGTGATTGACCAGTTGCCAAGTCAAATTCTCTGAGCAGGTCCCTTCAAACCATCATGCCCCCAAGCCATCCCAACACATTCATAACTTCTTTACTCAAAAAGATCTGGATGAAGCCATCTGGTAGTTATCCCGTCATAGTTTCCTGGCTTCCCCCAACCCCCTTGCTGGTCTCCTGGTCAGGACCATCAGAGGCCCCCCAGCAGATCCTCAGTTGCGCGGCCTGCTGAGCCTGGATTTCCTCATCGGTTTCCAAGCGGTTTCGCCGCTGCCAGCCACCTGGACACGCCAGCGTCCAGCGTCCGGAGAGTTCAGGAATGCCAGGGCCATGATACCCTGGGAATATGGCTCCCAAATACTGTTCAGATATTTTTTGAGAATATGATTAATTATAAATAATGAAATCAATTGAATTCATATGAATTGTTTGGAATTGTTTAGAATCTTTAATCTCATCGCGGCTACTATGATTAGAGCGCAACGTGACTAAGAAATCTTGAGAGTTTCACCCCCAGCCACAACCAATCCCTTCCATCCCTTCCACCTGCTCCCCCCATTTCTGCCTCGCTGGTTGATGAATGTGATATCTGGACGCTCACCTTCAGGCCAGCCCAGGGCAATACTCAGCTGCCGCGGCTCTCCGGGGACGTAGGACACGCGATTCCACAGCATCCGAGTGGTCTGGGGCTCGTCCGCGAAGGCATAGATCCCCGAGAGCTTGGACACGATGTGCCTTCCCCCAAGCCATGATAGCCAAAACCATCCACAACATCAACATACCTCAACATACCTCAACATACCTCAACATACCTCAACATACCTCAAGCACATCCACCCTAACCCAACCCCAACCCCCATCCCAATGAAGCACCTCTCATGATCCGTCCAGGACAGTTGCCCCCGGCCATTCAGCAGCACCGTGGACTCGTCCAGGGTGATCTGATCCCCATCCGCCACCTCCGCCGTGACGTCGCCGCTGAAGAATAGGATGGACTTGGTCTCCTGGATGCTGATGCTCTCGATGTAGAGCCCCGTCCTAAAATGGGGGAAGTGCTGGGCTCCAAAAAGGTGCTGAATGGTTGAAAATGCTTGAAATGATGGGTAAATGGACGTTTTATGTTGTTTTATGTTATTTGATATCCAGTACCTCAATGGACGTTTCTAAATTATATTTTTTAGCTTGATGGACTCTTCCAACAATGGGACGCTTCTTGTGCTTTTTATTCCCCTTGGGCTGGTTCAATTGGGGCACGATTCAAAACTATGCGCCCCATTTACCTCCAAAATTCAAGCTAGTTGATTCTAAAAAGGAGCAGACTTGTGGGTCCAAAAGGACACCTGATTTTTGATTGCCAGGTTGCCATTTGCTTTTTTTTCTGAAAATTCTACATCCAGTGATCAATCATCATTTTCCTCATTCAAATTGCAATTTTGCAGGCCATACCCTATTTTCAGACACAGCGTCATTCAGTTGGTTACATCCCTATTTTTGATGGCTGAGTCCCTATGTTTGGCTGGTTTAAATCCGTATTTGTTGGATGGTCTTAATCCCCCCCCTTAGGCTGAGCTCAGCTGGAAGAAGCCTAGCCAACACTCGCCGCTTGTTTCCAACACAGAGGCGCTTGTCATTGAAGGTCACCAGGATCAATACTTTGCGGAAATATCATCCGATTGATGTCATCATTCAACTCCCATCATTCTCCATGGCTGAACTCCCCATGTTTTCATGGACTTTTTTTCCATGGTGAGTGAATTTTCTCATCCCCCATGGGCCTGTCCCGGTCACCGGCTGGGCTCCCTGGGCTCCCCGCGCCTCTCTGCTGAGATGAGGTACACCTTGATGTTCTCTTCGACCTTTGGAGAGCGACAGCTGGTGCCATCCAGCCCTGGACAGCCCAGGCGAAATCCGCTGACCACGCCTGGCGTGGAAGGGAGAAACATTGGAAACACTGGGGGGGGAACCGGGGAAAATGTTCAAATCTTGGCAAATGTGGAGAAATCAACGAAAATCGTGGAAATGAAAAAATGCCGAAAAGTTGGAAAGCCAGTGATTTTTTGGGGGGCAGGATCCCTACCATGATGACCATGGCCATTCCACTGCCTAGAGTGGCTCACTTGCCATGAAGGCACACTCTACATCTATCCATCGCCCTTAGTTGTGAACCTGGCGATTGTTTCATCAACAAAATCGATTGTCTCCATCATATCACTTAGGTGAAACATGGTGAAACATCCTTTCTTTGTCCGACACACCCGGCACCGCCCCTCAACACTTGAAGGGTGCCTTTCGGGTTGTAGGCATTCTCAGAGCACGTCTGGGTCAAAGTGATGAGGCGGATGGTATCCTGGCAGCTCCACAGGAAGGGAAGCTGATGACAAATTTATTTTGAGATGGATTTCTTGCCAAAAAGATCCAAAAAGTGAAGCTTCCAAGATGTTCCAAGATGTTCCACTTGGTTTGTTCATGGTGTTTCTCATGATTTTTCCAAGACGGTTCTTGCATCTCATCTGCAGACCTCCAACCACTCCCAGGTTTTAGCCCCAGCCCCAGCCTCTGTGGTAAAGCCCCAGCCCTCCAAGTCAATGCGGACCACAAAGTTCGTTGGTAGGATCCTGAGGATTTCTCCACGGATTTCAGGTGATAAACCATGGGGAAACCTTGGAGAAACCTTGGGGAAACCTCTGGGAAACTGTTGCCACAGTTGACTACTGGGCATCAGTTTTCACCAGTCACCATGGGATCCAGCTTAGCACCGTCCCGGTGCCAAAGTCGCTGCATCCAAGCTTCACATTTTGATTGCGCCTCGTACCCTTCACCCTGGGCGGGAAATGAGGTGTCCTACTGCCCAAAAGGATGTCATGGGCCACATCTATGGGGACCAACCCGAATTTCCATGGCAACAGGAATTGTAGCATGACTAGAATCGGCTCGAATCTGCTACCGGAATGCCATGTCAAGATTGTGCTCGCCTGAGTGAGTTCTTAACGCAAGCCTCAATTTCTTAATGACAATTCTGGGCTAGAAATCATACTTTCAAATGGCATGAATTGAGTAAAAATGCTGAAAAGACATAGGTCCATAGGTTTCTTTCTGTTTTATAGAGAGTTTTGGGATCGACAAATTCTCAAGAGCCAGACCCGTGGTCCCCGCTCTACACCGCCCTGGTCATCCTCCCCTATCTCCCCTGCGGATGCCACGCGTGTTGGACAAAGTCCAGTTGGCATCAACGAACGCTTGATTCACATGATTCATGAGGGAATTGGCAAGAAGGGTTTATGAATCTGAGGTTTCGTTGCTGAAATTCATGAACCTCTATATTATATATATATATATAAAATCCTCAACTACCCTTAAATGTCACATGTTGTCATGAATAAGCACCTCCACCCTTGCAGATATTCCCTCACTCAACACATCCTGATCAACATGATCAACCCGGTCGAGGCACATAATGGAGGCAGCCCAAATGTACCCAGTGTCTGCAGCGCATTCGTCTAAATTGTCCAGAAACGAGCCTCGGCTACTGTCAACCCCGGATTTTCCACACGGACTGTAGAAATTTTGCGGCATGCCGTTCGATTTTTTTTCTCCCCGGGGGGGGGCTAAAGCCCGAATTAACTCAACTAATTTTTGTGTAGCGGGATGAATGAGCACCTTTTTGTGGGGTAGCCCCTTCCAACACACTGTTCGCTGGGAACAGCCACGGTCACAAAGGTGACGCAGTTGGGTTTGTCCAAAGAATAGGGAGACACTCCATGGCAATGGGCAATGTTAAGGGATTTTGCGGTAATGTGGCAAACGCAGGAGTAAACCATCCCCAAAATCACCATAAATGGGTGGCATAAACCATCCCCGCACTATTATTGGGTTTACCACATTACCCTGTTTTGGGGCGGGCTCGGTTCAGGGCTATGTGGGCTTCATAGCGGAAACAAATCTCCGGTAACCAGGAACAAAGGAATGAAAGACCAGTGAAATGCAGAAATCCTAATCCCAAAGAGACCATCGGGTTCCAAACTCGAAGGGGTGAGAAATGCCAAACCAGCTGGCTGACTGGCAAATGTGTTGTACGGTAATTCAAATCAAGGAGCAGTAGCATATGGCGTATGTGCCAGCTTCCAAGAAGAGAAAGGTCTGATCATTTTCACCCCCTGCGGCTGGTTTCGCTGGTTTCAGGCAGGGCATAGCGGGCATAGCTGCCATAGCTACATTCATCCAACCTTTACCAAGGATGTCCTGCTGTTTTCCAGTTACGATGTCAGAAACCATCCTTCTGTTAGGGTCACAAATGTCCGGTTGGCGAGAAAAGAGGAGCAGGTTGGGCATGACATTTGCAACCATTTGCCTTTCGTGCTCGAATAGTTTCCAGCTATTTACAACTGCCTCGCCACCAATTTTGCGCGAACTCCCCATCAAGGTTCAAAAAGAATCACCACATTTTGATCGTAGATGATTGGTAGTTTCAACATCCTTCAACCCCATGTTTGGTTCGCAAAAACTAATTTCAATGACTACCCGAGATTATTGCAGCAAATCCTTACATACTTAAATACATACAATGTGTATATATATACATATATATATACATATATATATACATATATATATATATACATATACTGACCCTCCGCCCTGGCCGACCCCGCCACCCGACCCGATCACCGCCTGTGAAGGGTAGGTACTGCGCTGCCTCCGGACCGACCCATGCCATGAAGTTCTTCGCACTCTCTGTGCTGTCGGGGCCATTCACCGTGCCCACACTGGTGCTGTTGAAGGCGCAGGCAAACTCAGCCGAGATGGCCGTCCATGAAAAATCATCATGGTCCAAAAGGTGGCTTGCCATGTGTGTGTGTGTGTTCTCATCTTTTTTAGGTGGACAACATGTACATCCAGTGTGGGATTGCTATCCCCAATCATATGTGTATATTTATATACAAATGTGTGTGTGTGTTTGTGTGTCTGTGCGTGTGTACATCTTACATTGTATCATAAATTCACAAAAAAATGGTATGTGAACTTGCTAAGTGCATGATATATTCTCGATGTATATATATATATATAGTGTATATATATATATATTTATTTATTTATTTGTTTATTTATTGATTTATTTATTTATATTGAATTATTTATTTGTGTGTGTTTATAGTTTTGTCTATATTTATGTTTATATTTATAGTTGCATTTATATGTATATTATATGTACCTCTATATTTATATGTATATTTATATTTACATTTATATTTATATATTCGTATTTATAGTTATATTATGTTATATTTACATTTATATTTATAGTTATTTTTATATAATATATATATTTATTTATTTATTTATTTATTTACTTATATCTACATGTAACATGTATATTTATGTTTATGTTTATCTATTTATTTGTTTGTTCATTTTGCTATATATGCATTCATTGATTTATTTAGTTTGTTAGTTGACTATTTATCTATTTATCTATTTAATTATCTATTCATTTATTTATATGTAGCTATTTACTGTATACATAACTATGCGTATATATATATTGTCACCCACCAATCCCATTGTTTGTGGAGGGCCTCGGCCATTCTCCACACCCAGCTCAGTCCCCATTTTGGCATGCACCCAGCTCAGGGATGATATGCTTCCAGGGAAATCCTAACATGGTGAAATGAACATAAATGCAACATAGTCATTGGATGTCATTGGTCAATGGATGGTATATGATGGTATGTTTATGTATGTTTGATGAAATGGTGGAGAAAAGTTGGAGAACTATGTTGGTCCATCTGTCTGTATTTGCAGGCGAATGCAGACAATTGAAGATAAAACAGACTGGAAGATCAATGGAGATTGTTCCGCAACAAATTTCCATGGGCAGACGAACATCTCAGCAAAATATCCTCTGTTCATGTCCAAATTGAACTGGTTGGTGGTTTCAACATGTTTCAACAATGGAGGATATTGTCAGGGTGAAATCTGAAATGCCACCAAAGATTTGCTTGCCACAAACACGAAAACAACGCGTTTGACGTTTGTTGGCTGTGGGAAACACCACCCCACCAGAATCCACCAAGAGGCATCTAAGCCGCGCCGTCCAGTGGCCGTCATCTCCCGATTGAGGCCCAAGTACTCTTCAAGCGTCACTTTCGTTGAGCCTCGCCATGATGTGGCAAATACCCTATCCTGTTTGCAAAAAATGGTGGGGCGTCACAGTTCGAAAGTCCTCCAACTGGGGGCCTTTGAACTAGTTTTGGAACCATGAAGTCTACTCCTGCTGGACTATGCTGGACTCTTGGTGCCTGCCAAAAATTAATCATGGAGGTCCACACAATGTAGTGCATGACAACACGTGAAAGTGATGATTTTGCAACACAGCACCATGCAACGTTTCTCATGCTATACATCTTGTATGGCGTGGAGGTGTGAAGGTTTGTCTCACATTGGAACGACACTATCCATCCATCCGTCCGTCCGTCCATCCATATCCCTGTGTAATTCCGTGCCTGTCCGTGTCTGTCTGTCTTTCTGCCTGCCTGCCATTGCCTGCCTGTGTTTGTCTATGTCTTTGTTTGTCGGTGGGTGTTTGTAATGTCAACTTCTGGCTGCCCCCAGTCCATACCAAAGGCCCAGCGTCAGTATCGTTTCACCCCGAGCTCAAGCAAACACGAACCGGTTGGGTTGGTCCAGAAGTAGGGTAGCCGTGGAATTCATGGACTTTAGCGTCACCTCCCGGGTCAAAATAGTTTTATCACCGTAAATCAATCCTCCATTTCCTGGGCTAGCCATCGGAAGCAACGGTCCAACAATTTGCTGAGCTACTACCCTCCGGCAGATACTCCGCGGTGTTGTCATAGGACAAGATCTTCATGATGGACTTTCTCCGCCAAGGGATGCTGTCGTAGGGGTGCATACCTAACGGGGAAAAAAAAACGCAGCAATGGCCTGCTGGCATGGGAAAAATCTGATCACCCCAATATAATGAATATAATGGGATATAATGGGAATATATAGGAATAATGTTGGTATATAATCTATGTAGCCAGCTCTAGGTTCTACGATGAAAACACTGGAACAACAATGATAATAATGACATTAATCCGCCGACCCGTACCTAGCCTTGGCCTAGGCAGGGCGGTGCCTGGGATCACCGCAGGTGTGCAACACAGCTAACCCATTTTGCATTTGTCGTTCAAGGCCGGGCCCAGGGAATCTATCGGTTACGGGTCTTGAAGCTGCCGTTAAGCACGTTTCGTTCCACTGGGCCCAAGGCCGGGCCCTAGGAATCTATTTCTTTGCAGGTTTTGAAACTGCCGTTGGACGGTTTCCGTTCACTGGACGCCTACATATCCCGTTTTCCGGGTTTGGAACTGCCGCTTGCACCCTTTGGTTCTACACGGCCTCACTTGCCCTGCTTTGCAACCGTTTCGAAACAGCCGTTTGCCACCTCTGGTTGCAAAGAAGTGCCTGCCCGACCTTGCAAAGAGTCTTTGCGCTGCAGCTTGGCACCATTGGTTCTGAAAGCCATACCTGCCCAACCATGTCAAGCCTTCGAAGCGGCCACCTTTGGTTCTACAAACCCCTACCTGCCGAGCCTTGTAAAGCATCTTTTCAGCCTGTCAAAGCTCCCCTGGCCGCCTTTGTTTCTACAGAGCACCACCTGCCTGCCTGCTGCAAATGCCGTTACCATGCAGGTTGGGTCTTCCTCTTGTCTCCCCGAGCCACCTCCCGAGCCACCTCCAAACAAGGGGGTCGGCGGCATCAAGGCATTAGCCCATTTATAATAATGATGATCATGATGATGAGGACGATGACGATGACGATGATCATGATCATGATGATCATGACCACGATCATGATCATGATCACGCATGATCATGATGATCATGATCATGATCATGATGATGATGATGATGATGATGATGAAAATGAAACGATAAGTGATGATGAATATTGACGGAATAATTGAGGTCCGCTGCCATTGGTGTCCATTTATCCATGGGTATCCTCGTTGAATTTGGATGATTATTGTCGGATAATATAGGACGTGGCAATCTGAATTGAGTATATAAAACATCCCCCGTTTATCCAATGAATTTCTCTTGGGACGCATTTTCTAGCGTCCAAAAGCTTGGATCTGCCACAATACCACCACTTTTTACGAGATTTGTTGCATGTCCACAGGAGGTTTCATCGTCATTCTCAGCACAGTCGCTCCCAGCTGGGTTTCCCCCCGCCTTCCGAGAGGTTGGAACGGATTCCAGCAAAGAGCCTTGGTGAAGCCGGCTCTACCTGCCAGTGCCAGTTGCAAATTTTTTATTTAGACCCCAATTCGAGGTATAAAAACTTAGATGCACACGCACAGATATATATATATACATTTATACACATATAATTATATAATTATATATGTATACATATGTTATATGGGATAACCCCCAAGTCAAAACTGTCGGCAATCTGCTTCTCCACTTCCCATCCACCAAGGCACGTGATGCCACCAGCCTTGGTGGGATACTCCACGGTCTCGATGGGCTGAATGATCTGAAAGCCTTCCCCGACCTTGGACCACCTGGCGATGCCCGCGGAGTCCGCCAGGCGGATCTCACCCACCTCGAAGAAGTTGTAGAAGTGTTCGCCTTGGAGGCAAGCTGTGATGGTTGAGAAGTTCCATGATGTTCCTAAGCATCAAAGGTGGCAATGAAATATGAAAAACAAAGTGCATGTGCGATTTTGAGGCCTGACCATGTGCCATGTTTGTTTCCCACAAGCAAACATGGGTCATAATTCTTGATGCGGCATGCTGGGGAAAGCATGAAGCAAATTTATGGAAATCACCGCCTTCACTGTTGAACATGACTATATCAATAGGTGAATGACAAGAAAAGCATCATAATCATTCATAGTGTGATGTCATCACAGGAATCATCAACAAAAATTGGCACCATGAGATCCCTTGGCTGTCCTGGATGTGTCATTATCCTTAAAAAAATTGGAGTTTGAGTTGGTCCATGTTGCACGCCCTGGGATTTCACCTAGGGACAACCCTCGTCGCAATAGCACACCATCAGCCGATCACCCATCGGAAGCTTACCTCGGCGGAAGCTTCGCTGCTGCCAAACGGGTCTGGCTGAAAATCGGGTGCACCAAAATCTCATTGTTTGAGAAGCGTTATCCATTACCCTCTGGTAATTTAACATAGCTATAGAAAATCACCATTTTTAATGGGTAAATCCACTATGCCTATGGCCATTTTCAATAGCTATGTAACAAATTACCACAGGGTAAATACACAGTATTAGGGGATCCCCCTATTTTTTGCAGCAACCCACGTCACAGCATCAAATTGAGAGCAGCACATCAATCATATTTCCAACAGGACACCCAACCTGAAAGCTTCAATATCTTTGGCATTGCCTTGGGGTTCGGACCCTTCGATGCCCCAATCGCCATGATAAAACATACTCATACACTCCAACTTTACAAAGCTTGCTGTCATCAAAGATCATCATAACTTTCCCGTTTCTCATGGTTTTTTTCGGGGGTAACCCGCCATTTTCAGACACCTAACTCTCCACCATTCATTGGTGAAATCCCTATGTTTCATGGTGAAGTCCCATAAACTGCCGGGTGGAGTCCTTTGGATTCCATTAGATCCCATTAAATCTCACTAAATCCCCGTTAAATATGTTAAATCCCATGACAACACCATGAAATCCCCATGGTAGATGCTTAAAATCCCCATTTTCTATCATTTCTTGGCACCACGACTCTATCGGCGCCCCGAGGGGCCGATAAGGTCTGGAAGCTCCCAGAATTTGTAGTCGCGACGGTCGCCTGTTGTGGTTAAAGCTGCGTAGGAAACAACCTTGAAATAGCGTAGGAAACTAGGATTCAATGTGGTTTACAGTAATGAGCAATGGGATTTAACTGTGCTTTCATGGGAATTCATGGAATTAAAGCAACAAACACGTAGATTTACTCTCCGGTAATTTACACGAACCAAAAGGGCCATCGCTTCCATAGCTGTCTATGTTAACTATGGCTAACTATGAAACACTGCAAATAATGGTAGTATAATGGGATGAACCATCTACCAACTGGCGCAGGATTTCTTCCATTCACAGCATGGTCTTCTTTCTATCACAAATTGGGAAAACGTACAACTTTGGGATATGATGTTGCAAATGAAATGGTGAACCCCCATCATTATCATCATTTGCTTCTGATTCACTGTTGAAAAAATCATGCAGAACTTGGTTCTCGAGTTCTCCAGTATACCACATTGCTCACAGATAAATTCACAGAACATGGCATGGCAGTGGGGTGTTTTGGTTTATCACCCTGCCTCCATACCTGTACAAGCCAGGATCGATCAGCACCCCATTCTCATCAAAGAGATCTGGGTAGAAAATCAGCCGCTCGCTCTCCTGGGCAGCTTGAGCCGGAAAGCTGGGAAATGGAGGAAAATTGCGAAAAATCACGTAAAGACATGGGAATATAAGCACATGCGCATGCATATCATTTATATTAATAACATAATTTATAAAATTTATATCATACACCTCTCTCTTATGATTATCAATCCATACACATATATGCGTATGGGTCAAAACCTATGGGACCATAGTTGGGGTGATTACAATCCTTTCATTAACTATTTTCATGTTGACCAATGACTGGGGTTTTGACCCATAACCATATCTGAGCTCCTGTGAAAATCCTTTATATCTCAGTAACTACTATTATCCTGGCGATCGCTTTTGGAGGCCAAAAAAAGGACTTGGGTATGGGTCGGTCAATACCTATAGATACATTTTTAGTGGGATGAACATCCATTTACCAGCTATTTTGGGGTTCACCAGGTACCAGGGTTTTGAGCCATCCCCACTTTACAGCAGCATTTCGTGCACATCATTGCAGTGCTTCAACCAAGGCGCGGCCTTGCCGGTGCGGCACCTGGAGCCCGGATCCCACAGCGGGAAGGGGCCCTCACCATCATCGCCCAGGGAACCCAGCTGACAGAGGGGGCAGTAGGCTGGCAGGAACTTGATGCGGTTCCTGAGAACGGCCACGGAGACGGAGAGGGCTTGGTGCTTGTGTATATATATATATACATTTATATATATATATATATAAATATACATATATATATATATCTCTCTGTGTGTGTGTAGATATAGATATATATAGATAAAAGATATTGATATAGGTGTAGAGATAGGTAATTATATAACTTTAAGAATTGGTTGATTTGGGTTGCGATGATATCCTATTTTTATTTTGTCAATAAGGTTGCAATGGTTACAATTTCCTAACACCACCACATGAAAGAAATTGAGAGTTATACCTGCTTAAACAAACGTATTGAATTGCATAGTCACAAGATTAATGGAATTCCTGCCAAAAACCGGAAAGATGTTGCAAACATGGACCAAACCCCTCCAATTTTGGTGGGGTTATATCAGTTGAATCTCCCAAGTTTGGACACTAAAAGATAAAAATGTTTGCAGATGGTTTGGCATTGTCTTGCTGGATGGGCCAATGGGGAATGATCAACCCAAATGACTCAACTGGATGGGATACCTGCGAGGTTAGAAATCGGAAACTTTTGCATGTCTGCCATATCTGTCAATAATGTAATCTAATCTACTCTAATCTAATCCAATCTAATCCAATCTAATCTAATCTAAATCTAATTAATCTATCTATCTTTTTTGTGGCATATATACATGGCGGGGGAAAAGGTCTGTATTTTCCTGAGAAGCTGTTTGCTAACTATGAATCGGAAAAAGGGTACCATTTGACCCCATTCATCTTGCCGTGAATTTGCGGCTTTAACTTCGCTGGAGGCAAGTTGGGGAGACTGATCTCCCAAAGGAACGGAGACCGTTCCATGAGTCATTCACTGGTCAGAAACCGAACCAACCGTCTGCTGTGACAACACTTTCCAATGGGCAAGGAAAATCCCTATGGCAAGGCCCTATGGTGACATGTTTACCAGCTTTCCGAAGTATAAATCGTTCACATATCATTGGGAAACATCCATTGCTATGTTTGCTCAGCAGCAGGTCATGTCACCTTTTTGGAAACTCATAGCGCAGGCAGCGGTCTTCATGCCACCGGCAGTTCGAGCAGCGAACGGCGTTTCGGCCAGCAGGTGTGACCGTGCTTTGGTGGCGCGAGTTTTTGCCACAACGCTGGAGTGGTCCAAGAACGGGGCAAACAATTGGCAAACTTCCCAAACTCATGGGTTGAGGTTTCCAATCTACTGTGCTCGGATGAATCCGACTGCAAGATGTAACCATTACAAGATCTCCAGAGTCTGCCATCCTAACTTGGCTCTTATGATATCTTATGGCAAGTCTTATGGATCTCTCATGATCTCTCCCCCATTTTTGGCACCAGATCTCACCAAGTTCTCAGAAGCCATAGAAATCGAAGTCACGGTCCTTCTTCTTGGCATGGTCCTTCCATCCCGCCTCGAAATCCTTGGGAAGGATGACGTAGCGATTGTGCCGCACCGCCTGCCTTGGGGTTGCTGCGAAACCCTGACGCCATTCCCCCAAGGACTTCTGTAGTAGAAATTGCTAACGTGCATATATATATATGTGTGTGTGTGTGTAAGTTATTTATATATATATACACCTATAACATACATTATATATATATATATACATATCGTATAGATAGATGTATGGATTTTTATAGGCCATCCCCCTCATAGGCCATTGCCACTTGGAAGTCTTATTCGTTGATCTTACCTATGTTTACGACGTTGGGAGTCATATCTGGCTGTGCTTGCTCTGGATCATCAATTCTCAGGATCCATTGGTACCAAAATGGAACCAGCCCCATCCCCCAACCGCGGGCAAGGCACATGCCAGCCTCCTGACAGATGGCCGCGATGTCGGCGCAACTGATCTTCTCGGGTCGACTGACGTAGTCCTCTAAGTCCACCTCCTGCGGAATTCGGAGCGTTGGAACGCGGAGCTTTGGTGGCAGATTCTCAGCTTCCAACTTCCGTCTTTTTTTGATGGTGACCAGATGATCTGCTACAGTGAACATTGCCCGTCATCGTCATCATCATCATCATCATCATCATCATCATCATTCTCGGGGTGCCACCGGCCCCAGCCTAGCCAAGCCCCATCATCTTGCATTTGCTGAAGGGCCCCCCCAAAAAAAAAATAAGCAATAGAGCCACCAGTCATAGTGCATTGGAAGAAAATATCCAAAAAATCACCCATCTCAGCCACACGCATAGAAAGCTCTATGTTTTTCTATGATTTACCGATTTTACCAAAGTGAAAAACTGCATTTTCCTTAGCGAGCTGTGACAACTGTCCGGGTATGGGGTACAGTATCCCATGTATCACCCTCCTCACTGAGATTCATCTTCGAGGTGATGGTCTGGAAGATGAGCCGTTTCTGCCGTCGGTCCGGCAGGGGGAACTCAATCTTTCCTTAGAAAAACGACTGGGAAAGGCATCGGAAAAGGTTGAGGAAAAACCATGGAAAACCCGAAAAGGCCATCCCGTGGGGGCATTGATCCGCTGTCAAACGCACCTCTTTGTTCCGGCTTATATCCAATTCGGGGGTCGATCCGGTAAATAAATGTGTATGTTTGAAATATTCAACCGGAAATGTATGCTTACAATCCTCCTCCATCAAAGTTATAAGTTAAGTCATTTAAAATCAGAACTGAAGCCATTCACCCACACCAAGCCCCAGTCTGACGGCCTTCCTCCTGGATGACCGATGCTTGGGGGGTTTTCGCCCATCTTAGTTGAATGGAATGATCATCAACAATTCCGGGAGAAAAAAAATCGGTAGGTGTGATGATCATCCCAAATGTGATTGGTGTGATGATCATCCCAAAATTTCTCAACTAACATCATTATCAAATATGATCAACAAGTATCAATTTCACCAACCAAATATCCCAATAATTTTCAAATATCCCAATATCCATAAATCGAATCTTCCCCAAGGATCGATCCAACCGCCCCGGCCGCAGTAAAGCGGGATCCAGGGTGTCCGCGCGGTTGGTGGCCATGATGACCTAGCCATAGCGGAGGATGCCAGTTATGCCAGAGATGCTGAAGGATTTCATCGGATTAAACCCGACTTTTCCCATGAAAAGATGGGTATCATACCCCCTTGGACATTGACCAGTGACCAGCAAGACATGGGGCATTCTTGGGGAATTTCACCATCAAAAAAAGGTATCTAACTCATCCAACTCAATGAAGAATGGATTCAAAGGGTCATCTCCAGACATGGGTCAACTCAAGCGCTGCCAAACTGCAATCAGTTGGAAAATGATGGTAAACAAACATGGCATTCCTCCGAAAGGCCGGGTCTAGATATGGTATGATCTAGGGAGCTTACCATGGGGAAACTGGCTTATTTATCTATATATATATATATACAATGGCTTATATATTATGTGAATTATGTGTGAGGTCATGCCGGCGTTGTGTCGATGAGTCTACGAGCTGTTGGGGAAAGCACTTGTGCTTTGGGGAGAGAGATTCCTGGAGAAGGTTCTGGTAAAACGATGCTCCTCACCTGGAAGACCAAACAGAAACCCAATTAATTACCATTAATTACAGTACCATTAATTACTGAATGATACAGAAACTTAATTACTTAAGTTAATTAAAGTTAATTAAAGTTAATTAAAGTTAATTGAGTAATATTGAGTATCATTGAGTATTAAGTACCCCTTTGAAGACACTATCGGTAGGTGTGCCTTTGTAAACATCCAAGTCAACAAAACGCACATACGATGTACTATGATATACTGTGTTGCTGATTCATGTAGTCAGTTGGTTTTGGTTATTGAAAACGCAGTAGCCACAGTTCTGTCCTCCAATAAAGTAGTTGCCAACATGTGGCAACTTCTGGATCTCTCTGCTTAACTTATTTGTCGTAAATCACGTGAAGGTTGGCACTGACCCAGCTCCGGGCAAACTGCTGGTCCCCAAATTAGCAGTGTCCAATTGTGCTGGTTAAGAACGGGGACTCCCGTTCTCACATCGATGATGATCCCCCCAATACATTGGATAGTATAACATAGTATAACCCCCTACATCAAAATAGCCCAAAGTCCCAAAGCGAAGAAAATCCCCATGCCTTGACAGTGGTATCTTGGTCAAAGCCATCCATCTGATTCAGCAGTTCCAACAAGATCCGCTGGACTTCACGATCCGCGCCCGTCTGCGAGTCGAATCCTGAGGGATCGATAGGAAAATCATCTGCAGATGGGGCGAGTTATTCAATGGGAAGCTCCAAAGAGTGAGAACCTGCCATCAAGTCATTGAATCAAATCTAAAAGCCCTTAATTTAACAACACAGAGAGTTTTTCTCAATCTAGGTCAGACATTGCCCAATTTGCAGGTGCCTAAACGCCGTTTGAGGGCCTTTGGACTCAGGCCAGACAGTGTATAATAAGCCCATTGAACACCATCCCGGAATCACACCGGAAGCACCATGCCGGAATCTCCGGAACAACCGGAACCAAGCCGCAATCTGCACCAAGATCCTCAGAACCTCCTGGAACCATTGTGGGAACCGCACCAGAACCCACACCGGAACCTACACCGGAAACCACCACGCCAGAACCTCCAGAACCACAACGCCGGAACGTCTGGAACCTCCACCCAGGAACCCGCTCCGGAAACTTCCTGGAACTCGCACAGGAACCTCCCAACCAGCCCACCCACACCGGAAACTGCACCGAACCTTTATCTGGGCTGTGACCCCTAAGCCAACGCTGTTGGGGGAAATCACCCCCCCTCCTACACGAGGTGATGCTCTGTTGCTCTAGCCCTTTTTTGGTTACCACACCCAGGGCTTGGTGCTAAGCATCGCTTGGTGCCAATGGCATCAATTTCATCAATGAAAACGATGGACGGGGCATTCTCACGCGCCAAGCGGAAGACATCACGGACCATGCGGGGTCCCTCGCCCAAGTACTTCTGAACGAACTCCGACCCGACCATACCTGGAAATGGATCACATGACCCCCAAACAAAAAAAAAAGGCGGGCTACTCCTCCCAAAAATCCAGAAAAATCCATCCCAACTGAGCTGCGAATGAAGGTGGCCGTGGTCATGTTGGCCACGGCCTTGGCCAACATCGTCTTCCCCGTGCCCGGCGGTCCATAGAGCAGCACGCCGCTCGGTGGATCGATGCCGATCTGCGCGTAGAGCTCCTTGTGGGTCAAGGGCAGCTCCACGGCTTCCTGGCGCCCGCGGGCCAACGGAGGGATCGTGTGCATTGCAGGTCAGCACGAAACGGTTGAAAAGAATTAGCAATGTAAAAATCATTAAAATAATACGTTCAAGATTGAATAGTAATGACAATACATATATACATATATATATATAACAATCAAAACATAATATAATGTAGAATAATTAGTAAAAGTAATAACACTAACAATAATCTGGGTAAAATATAATAATTCACTAACCTGAAATAAGGCCATTTTGGGATGAACCCCCTTATTAACCATGATTTCCAGTGAGGTCGCAGTGAGGTCGTTATAATTTACCCAGAATAATAAAAATATGTTTGAAAAAGATAGTAACAACAATAACAGCGTTCATTTACAGTTGTTGAATAGTATTCAGTTTTTTCTATATATCTGTGGGAGTTTCTATGCACAATGTGCACAATCATGCACATACACAACTGTTACACAACATATACGCACTTATGTGCGAAGACAGAGCATGGAGATGGAGAATACACTGTACGCCATGATACGCCATGTAAAATAGTTGTATCCATCACAAAGCTAGACGACTTTCAGCTAAACTGCGCTAAATCTGTGCATCTTGTCGCATCTAAGAAATCTACACCTCTCCAGTGCCCTGCCGCGTTTCGCCTTGATCTCCTGTTTCTGGATGTCCATTCCACCGATGTCTGCATAGGTCACGTCAGGCTTTTCGGACATGGCCATGCTTTGCACCTGCAGCGGCACATGTTCCCTGGGAAAAAAATGAAATGAATCAGTGATGGTTGTTGGGTATCATGCCCGTTTTGATCCGTTTCGCGCGTTCAAAAAAGTCTTATATAGTCAAACTCCCAATTTTCTTGGTCAAAATATGTCAAAATATGTCAAGATCCCCATTTTCCTTGTCAAAATCCCACATGTCTTCATTAATAATTAACATGTATATATACATATATACATGTGCGTGCACGTATATATACACATAATCATACGTCCAAACCCCTCTTCTCCTCAAAATCACAATCAATATCCATAAATCATATAATATCCCACTTTTACACATGATGAAAATATATGGGTATGGGTCAAAATTAGGTACCCCAATAATTGGATGGTTAATACTAAACTAGACATTTCCATCTGTGGTCCCCTAGGTCTTCCATTTTGACCCACATCCATATGTTCACCACAACTCTGCCCCAGTTCCCTTGGTCCATCGTCCAGGGCGCTGTGCTATCCGCTTCGGGCGGCAAGATGTCCACCACGGCATGGGAGTGGCGGTGCAGGGCCACCGAAGAGTTGGGCTTCAGCAGCTCGCGGTTCAAGGTGCTGAGGATCCGCACGAAGTAGTTGGAGCCTCCCAACTAGGGATTTCGAGGAGGTTATGGATGAGGATCACAATGGGATACCATCTGGTTATTTAACATAGCCATGGTATAGAAGATGGTAATGATGGATATTAATATGGGGATAATGATGATATATAATATTATAATCCAATATGGGATATTTCTAGAATCATATCTAATATCCACTTATGGATGAGGATCATCATGGGATAATGATGGATACCCTCTGGTAAACATACAAAAAGCTATTGAAAATTGCCATAGAAATAGTGGATTTACCCATTAAAAATGGTGATTTCCATAGCTATGTTAAATTACCAGAGGGTATTAGATATGATTCTATGATATGATATTGGATAATGAATATCCATTTTTTCCTACGTGATAAGAAGGGATCTGTTTCATGACATGGGTGGAATCTTGTGGCTATGTTCTTGGCTATGTTCTTGGCTATGGGATGCTATGGGATGCTATGGGACTATGGCTCAGTAATTTCATTCCAATACAGGAGGTCAAAGGTAGTTACCACATGTTACCACTGCCCATTTGTCGTTGAGGGATTTGTCCATTGCCAGGTTGGTAGGTTGAAAGGCTGCAAAACATCGGTGGATCATCCCGCTGCCGGCGATCAACCAGAATTATGTGGTTACGGTGACTGGGACTGGGGGGTAGTCTTGGCTCCAATAGTCCTCAATTCCTAACACGAGCCATCACTTTGACTGGCCTATGACTTGCCAGTTGCCATGTGCTAATTAAGTTGGACTATCCTGCCCTACCAGAGGTGCTTGCCCCTGCTGGTAAGGCTTGATGGCGGTGAGGCACTGGAGTGCCAAATCCTCTCAAAAACTGAGGTTGATGCAGTCATCTTCCATCACAAATCCCACTGGAACAAACCCAAAAAAGATCAAAAAAGCTCACCCTCCCAACCCTTCAGACCATTCATCCAATCATGCACTAGGCAGCGTGTGTTTTTCCCACATCACCGTCCCCCATCCTGCCCTGTTGGCCTGCCGTGGAGGAGACGATGCCATGGTTCTGGTCGATCATCTCGGAGAATTGACCGATCACCAAGGGCACCGACTGCACCCGCTTGATCTCTTCCTGCGCGCGGATCATCTCGCGCTTCAGGTTCTTCATCTCCTTGGGGCACGGCATAGCGTGGGAAAGGGAGGGAATGGAAGGCCAACCTGGGATTGATAGAGCATAAGTAGGGGCCAACGATTGTGATCAATGGTACCCCCTGGGTCCCGGGGTGGCATTGAGGGTCATAAGAAGGGTTGAGTTGTCTGCTAGTGCCTTTTTCTTCCTTGCTCTTTGATCTTTGGTGGATCCGCTTTTTTGCCTGAGCCGGGTGCCTTCGAGTTCGTTTGTTGTCTCAGTCTCAGACCCACGACTCTGCCAAACCACTTCAGTCGAGGTACTCTTCTTGGACAGAAGTTGCCACTCCAACAGTCAGATTCTTTAAACCAAACCTTCCCAACACAAGACATCTCAAAATACCTTGGGGGAACACGTGTAATATCGTGTAATTATGCCCATTTCACCAAGGGTCATCTTTGATGTACTCCTCCTGGATGTCCGAGAACTCCATCTGCCGCTTCAGATCCTTCAGCCGCATGTAGAGGTCATCTTTGGTCCAGGACACATCCGTGTGCACCATGGCCTGTTGCCTCCCCGGAAGCCACGCCGTCGAATTGGTCAAGCGCTGGATTTTCTAAAAGAGCGTCGTCCCTCTTGAGCCACAGCGGATGGAAATGATGAGGTGGTGGAGCCGAAAAAAGCCAAGCATCTGCACAGGTGGCTGTGTGTTTAGGTGAAAGCATGTGTTTCAGCTGATGATTGACAAATTACACCAGGATTGTTCCCAGTTGGCCACCATGAAATGGGGCCCACCGGAAGATTTGCCAACCCATCCACCAAGTATCTCATTGCTTCCGGTACAGGACGTGCCACCAGGAGGGCATTGCAAGCGCAATGAGAAGGGCTGCTGGGGTAGGATACCTGGCAACTGTTGTTGATACGTTGCCAAAGAATACAAAATTCATAGTAGACACTGACATGATCCCAAGCAAAAAAGCAAAACATCATGAATAAAAAGTGTGTGTCTGAAACCCTGTTACGGTTTCAGAAAATGGGTGTCCATCCCACTCATTGCCAAGCTATTTAACTTCCAGATCTTCCAATGTCTGCATGGCGAGATGCGCATAAAGGGCTCTACAAGGCTGCCGCAGGCTCCGGTGTTGCCAGCATCACCTCATGTTTTTTTGGGTGGATAGGATGTCTCGGAAATCTTTGGCAAGATCAAACCTAACCAAAACTTCATCGTAGAGCGTGATTCGCAAAGCTAAAGCCTCAGAGATGGACAAAGCGTTGCTCTTGGAGCACTTGCGTGTTTTCCGACTTTTAAATTCCAAGTCGCAAACACGAAGGAGCCAGTAGTAGACCACACCAACCGGCTGAATGTATTCTGTGACCTCGGTTGAAAAATACGACGGTTCCTACTCTAGCCTCTAGCCCCCTTTGAAGGCGCAATCTATAGATCTGGATCCAAAAAACCATCCGTTTTGGGCACCCCAATTTACTTCACAGGATGCCGAAGGAGCATCGTCGCAGGCCACCACCGAACCATCCACGGGACCATCATAGCTTGGGCAATAACACACCTGGAACTTTGGATGCACCAAGCCACTTGGAAGAAAAAAACTGGGTATGGCCCGTATGGCTATTGCTTGGACCAGAAAGGTGAAAAGAACTGCTTGGTAAGCCTGGTTCATATGCATACTTCTTTGTACTTCCTAAAAAACTGAATCTTCAAATCCATAGGAGCTCCCTCTCATATATGTCATAAACCCTTCCAGGCACGGTGAGGGCATAGCTCTGGGTGGCCATCACTGGTTTCAAGGGTGGCATGTCCATGGCAGTCGTGGTGTCGGTGATGAAACCAATGTTACCTGGACAGGCACGGTTGAGCCACCTGTTGTGGGATCATCCCATTTTGTGACATATAAAAAAGGCTCGTCCTCACTATTCAATAGTGGTTTTTTGGGGGTTGTACAGTCATACAACCGCAAACAAATAAAAGACACAGAAAACTTGGAAAGCAACCAAGCTATGTTACTGTCCGACCAGGAGAAGGACTCAAAGATGTCGGTTTCCACAACCAAATACTCCCCCACGGAGACCTGAGGCCGGCGGGGAGCGCCTTTTTTGGAGTAACCCAAGAGGTGAGGGAAAAAAAACATTCCACATTTCTAGGACCTAGATATGTGCGTACAATCACTTATGACAAAGACAGATTGAAATAGAAAGGTGAATATAGATAGATCTACGATATATTGATACACCTATCTGTACGTCAGAGATGAATGCCCCTCGCTTTCGCAAATCACTGTTGAGCCAAGGAACATCTGAACAGTTCCTTTGTTCTCCAGGTAGGAAGACGCCCAGCTGGTAGCTGTCGCTGCCCCACAAGGACGTCCACAACGACTTGCTGACGGCAGCAGCTTCCACTGAGAAGCCAGGACGTCCACCTCCGAAACCTGGTGGATAATTGAAGCGAACTCGCAGAATCAAATGAAGAAAAAAGTGATCCAAATCCGAACGGAAACGATGCCAATATTTTGGAACTGCCTGTGCCCCATCGCTTCACAGCCCGGGTTCTCTTGGCATAAAAATTATGGAGATGGCCGATGGTGCGCTCCGTCTGCTTACCCTTCCCCACCCAATTGGCCCATGTTGGCCCTGCCCATGACCACTGGCAGTAGTTGGAAGAATCAAAGCCTTCTTCTTCTTCTTCTTCTGATTTTTCTTCTTATTCTTCTTATTATTCTTCTTATTTTTCTTCTTCTTCTTCTTTTTCTTCTTCTTCTTCTTCTTCCTTTTTCTTCTTCCTTCTTTTCCTTCTTTTCCTTCTTTTCCTTCTTTTCCTTCTTTTCCTTCTTTTCCTTCTTTTCCTTCTTTTCCTTCTTTTCCTTCTTTTCCTTCTTTTCCTTCTTTTCCTTCTTTTCCTTCTTTTCCTTCTTTTCCTTCTTTTCCTTCTTTTCCTTCGTTTCCTTCGTTTCCTTCGTTTCCTTCTTTTCCTTCTTTTCCTTCTTTTCCTTCTTTTCCTTCTTTTCCTTCTTTTCCTTCTTTTCCTTCTTTTCTTTCTTTTCCTTCTTTTCCTTCTTTTCCTTCTTTTCCTTCTTTTCCTTCTTCTTCTTCTTCTTTTCCTTCTTTTCCTTCTTTTCCTTCTTTTCCTTCTTTTCCTTCTTTTCCTTCTTTTCCTTCTTTTCCTTCTTTTCCTTCTTTTCCTTCGTTTCCTTCGTTTCCTTCGTTTCCTTCTTTTCCTTCTTTTCCTTCTTTTCCTTCTTTTCCTTCTTTTCCTTCTTTTCCTTCTTTTCTTTCTTTTCCTTCTTTTCCTTCTTTTCCTTCTTTTCCTTCTTTTCCTTCTTTTCCTTCTTTTCCTTCTTCTTCTTCTTCTTTTCCTTCTTTTCCTTCTTTTCTTTCTTTTCCTTCTTTTCCTTCTTTTCCTTCTTTTCCTTCTTTTCCTTCTTCTTCTTCTTCTTTTCCTTCTTTTCCTTCTTTTCCTTCTTTTCCTTCTTTTCCTTCTTTTCCGTCTTTTCCGTCTTTTCCTTCTTTTCCTTCTTTTCCTGCTTTTCCTTCTCTTCCTTCTCTTCCTTCTTTTCCTTCTTTTCCTGCGTTTCCTTCGTTTCCTTTGTTTCCTGCGTTTCCTTCGTTTCCTTCGTTTCCTTCTCTTCCTTCTCTTCCTTCTCTTCCTTCTCTTCCTTCTCTTCCTTCTCTTCCTTCTTTTCCTTCTTTTCCTGCTTTTCCTTCGTTTCCTTTGTTTCCTGCGTTTCCTTCGTTTCCTTCTCTTCCTTCTCTTCCTTCTCTTCCTTCTCTTCCTTCTCTTCCTTCTCTTCCTTCTCTTCCTTCTCTTCCTTCTCTTCCTTCTCTTCCTTCTCTTCCTTCTCTTCCTTCTCTTCCTCTTCTTCCTCTTCTTCCTCTTCTTCCTCTTCTTCCTCTTCTTCCTCTTCTTCCTCTTCTTCCTCTTCTTCCTCTTCTTCCTCTTCTTCCTCTTCTTCCTCTTCTTCCCCTTCTTCCCCTTCTTCCCCTTCTTCCTCTTCTTCCTCTTCTTCCTCTTCTTCCTCTTCTTCCTCTTCTTCCTCTCCTCTTCTTCCTCTTCTTCCTCTTCTTCCTCTTCTTCCTCTTCTTCCTCTTCTTCCTCTTCTTCCTCTTCTTCCTCCTCTTCCTCCTCTTCCTCTTCTTCCTCCTCTTCCTCTTCTTCCTCTTCTTCCTCTTCTTCCTCTTAGTCCTCTTCTTCCTCGTCTTCCTCGTCTTCCTCGTCTTCCTCGTCTTCCTCGTCTTCCTCGTCTTCCTCGTCTTCCTCGTCTTCCTCGTCTTCCTCGTCTTCCTCGTCTTCCTCGTCTTCCTCGTCTTCTTCGTCTTCTTCTTCTTCTTCATCATCACCGTCAGTGTTCATTCCAAGTTAGTAGCAATTATTAAAGGCTTCTAATTGATTCGCCCAACTTTGGGTTCCTAGCCCAGCCACAGCCACCCACCTAATCATCCAGAATGCTCCTATCACCACCACGGCATTCTGATTTTTTCCACCCGGGCACTCCGGAAGTCCACGCGGCACATGCTGTTGGCTTCATAGCGATACGAGAAGAAACAGTCCCAGCGCTCCAACGCCAGGCAGCCGTTGCCCTCGCACTCCGAGGCCACACCAAAGACCCTCACCTGGATGGGGACGATGGCGTTCAGCTCCTCGTTGCCCACCATGCTGCCATCGGGGCTGTAGCACAACTGGTAGTAGCCACCGTGCATAAAGGCCACGTGGGGGAAGATGGTGTCCTGACCCATGACCGTGCCTTCCACATCCAAGGTCTGAACGCGAAGTAACCTAGCAGTGGAAGAAAAATGTTGGAGGAAACCCAAGGGTTGTAGTTACGACAGTTACGATGTGCCCTGAAGTTGATGGTTGCGCTGACAAAACTGGACTCCCGAGAGCCAAAGAAGAGGCCATTCTGGCGTTGGTTTGCCCCTCCAAAGCTGAATCCATCCGCATTAAATCAAATGCATCAATATAGCAACACACACACGCAAACAAAAAAAATGTTGAATCATGTTTAGTAGAGGCTATGATTGTAGGATTTCCCACTTTTCTGAATCTTTCTGTGGGGTTGCCCATGAATTTTAATGTCTCATCCGGTGACGCTCCATCTGCCAACGCTGAGGGGGCATAGGTTTGCAGAGTCACCGAAGTGCGGACAATGTCCATGGAGACGTCGTAGGTGCTCCTACCATGGCACTGATCCACAAGAAGTTCGCTGGGCAACTTCGAAGATGTCGTTCCTAAACCAGATTTAGGAACCATTTTGGGATAGTTACCCCTTACTAACATTTACTAACCATAATCTTTGGTGAAGTCAGTTGAGGTTACTATCAATCCAGAAGGTTGGATTATGTAATCAGAGATCACCTTTGGGAATGGAATTCTGCTGCCAAAACTCAGCACCGATGAAATGAAAAGATCAAAACTAAGGCACCCAATGGCAAAGTGTCAGCGGACTTGGGCTCAACAAGGTTGCAATACTGCGTAATTATGCATGACATGATCTTGGAACTTAGAACCATATGTGTTACTTTTGTGGTAAGATATGGGGGCATCCGTAGATTCTTGTTTTATGCCAATGTTTGTTCAAAGATGGATGACCCACTCCAAGGTCGGGCAGCGCAGCGATTTCTGCAACTGCAAACACACTATGCCGTCACTGTACTCATCACGAAACCGCTTGCGATCAAAAACGCCTTCATTCCTTAGTTCAAACATCCTCGAACTTATCTTTCGAAAATGAATAGGCCACAGATTTTGAATACATTATTGATAGACATCGAGTTTAAAATGTTCATCCCATATCTCTATTTTTTGTTCAATAGTTATTATTCTAATAGGTATCTTCAACCAATCCATAATTTTCCCATTTATGGGATGATGAAAATGATGGATTTACCATGGATTTACCATGGATTTCCATGGATTTCCATGGATTTACCTATGAAAAATGAGGATTTTCAGCTCCAGGCCTCGAGCACTCGCTCAGAGTCACACCAGAGGTCACCAGTTTGATGACAGCCTGGCTACAGAAATTCATGTCATCCATTATACGGTTTATATATTAAATAGATGGATATATATATATATATATAACATTATATAACGTTTATATACAGTGTATATTCTATATAAATATGTATATAATCATTGATGTACAGACTTGACTTAACTGAACCAAAGCAGGTTAGCTTCATTAATAGATGTGTCCCACATTTTTGGGTGGACTTACATATTTTATACGTTTAATATATATTAATATATATATAATTATATATAGTCTTAACATGTTGTATTTATCAAAGTGGGTTATGAGCGCCTGGGCATGGTCAATCCCAAAGGTGAACTCTGCTGGGACGGAGAAGGAGACCTGGCTGTACCTGGCGCTGGGGGGGATAAAAGTGTGTAAAGTGGCTGGAAACCCAACCTTTTTGGTGGCTTATTCTTAGTGATTATGTGATTTGATTTTTAAAAAAAATGAGAATTTCATGAATCTCAATGGTGGAAAAAATACCTCTAGTGCTGGTGTCAAAGCCCACTACGGTGTGAGAATTCAGGGAAGCTGATGTCCCTTTCGTACTTGGTGGATTGTAAGTGGGTAGGCTGAGTGGCCTTCTAACCCACACATGGTTGACTTGGGAGACCAAAAAGCCACTGACCAGCCAGCCAGCTTCATCATCCCAGCCCCTAGGCCCTGGCACACCTGTAGCCTGCGAGGAGGTTGAGCGAGTTTTGAGACGACGACCCACTGCCCAAGAGCTCGCTCTGGCGGCAGGTCAGGTGTCGGTTTCGGTTCATGTTGTCCTTTTTCACCAAAGGGAAATCATGGCAAAGGGGACAAGCAGCTCTATCAATGGGAATTTCAGGATCCTAAAATGGAGGTACTGTACCATATAAGGCCACATTTTGTGGTCATATTCCCTTACATAGGCCTTATATAGGCCTTATATATGGTAGGTACCTCCAATAGGTACCTCCAATTTAGGTTCCTGAAATGGCCATTGACTCTATATCACTCTACATATAGGTCAAGCATTGGGTACCCCAAAACTAGGATGGATTCATCCAGATGACGAGTCGGCCCCCACCCACGTCTCGGAGTTCGACCCATGCCATGACCCATATTGTTGGCTGCTTCTACATCTCATTGTTTCTTGCTTCATTTCCCTATGGTTGATAGTCGCATAAATTCGCATTACCCTGTTTTTGAGGAAAAAACAAGTTTCATGGTCAATTTGACGGTCAAATATCCATTTTTGTCAAATCCCACTTGCTGCTCCATATATTTCATCGTTTTTCATGCTGGCCACCATGCTGGCCACCCTGGCCACACCCACCTCGATACTACTGGCGAAGGCCAGACGCGTGCCCAGGGGGAACTCCCAGCCCTGGAGAACCGGATTGGATCATCAGCACTAAACAATGATGGCAAAACCGGCAGAAATGGTTGGCACAACCAGCAACTAATTCGTTGGGATTCTGCAGATTCGCAGGATGCGAGACAGGTCCCCAGACAAACAAATACAACAAGTTTGATGGAAGGGAAATGGGCTGGCCGGCAGCATGAGAATGTCACAAAGTAGAATGGGTAGCTTTAGAACGCCTAAACCCCTAAAGTCGGCAGTTTATCAAGCAAAGCATCTGGCATCCTAGCTAGCGACGGAAATGCAAGAGAATCAAGAGACTGTTCAATTCTCTCAGCTGTTTACTTGGGCACCATTCTAGTTTCAGTTTGTCACAAAAATTCAATTTTTATAGTAGGTAAAAATAATCTATGTCTATACCTGATCATGTCTGATCTATATGTCGTAAACCGCAGATTATCGCAAACTTCATCAACCAATCTGCATCAACCGCCTCCTCCGGAATGATCTCCTCCTGTTGCTGCCCCTGCAAGTGTCGATGCTCCTGGCATCTGGGCCATGGATTTCTGGCAGAAACAGCTGGCCACCCTGCCTCAGCGCGCCGCCCTCTGCTGCCATTGGTGTCGTGGGCCTTCAAGGTTTTTAAGCCACGCAGGTTTCAGCGGTGAACATACTGGGAACGACATGGAACGACTGGTCTCGGAATGTCTTGGAATCCAAAATCACTTCCCCAAGTTGTGAATCAAAAATCATCAATTGGGACCTCCCAATATTTTGACTTTGGACATCTTTGGACCATTGGGTGGAGCACTGGAAGGTACATCAAGGCACGTTCTGAACTCATCCAATCATCGGGCTAGTCGCACAAAAAACCACTGTGCGTCTTGGATGAACCGGCCATGGACCCGCACCGTGCGATCTCGGGCTGTCGGATGGTCATACAGAAACTCCAGTTCAATGACAAAGTTACACAGTAAATCACAGTAACTAGAGATATGGCCAAAAAAAAAATCATGTTCCAAACAAAAGAAGTCTTGGATGTCCTGGATGTCCGTACACTCCGCCCGTGGTTTGTTTTTTTTCGCGGTCACATTCTCCTGGATCCAGGTCCCGGAGGAAGCAGTGCCAGGATTTCTAGGGGACAGGCAGGCCTTTTAGGAGCCACAGAGAGGTGAGTTCGGATTGGGGTGATGGACTATGACTGGCTTCCGTTGAAGAAATTCCCGTGGAATGTTTTGACCATGCAAAAAATTGGGCGGATGGATAGGTTCAACTGGATTGATGGACCTACCAAAAGTCTTTTCTTCTGGTATTCCTTTGGATGGTTTTTGCAGCCAACAGATGGGTTCCTCTTCTGGCTTGCAAACTAGTGGAGGATGGGATATTCATATAGTGCATATATATATAATGTACCCTACTCTTCCAAATGAGATGTTGAACATGGCATTTGTTCATAAGCGCCAAAATGATGTGAGCAGTCCAGACATCTGTGATGATCGGCCTGGGAGCGGGATCGCATTGAAAATTGCCAGGGGTGCTATCAGGCTCCAAACTTTACGCAACACGAGTATTGAACATGAATTGAACATGGTACGCGCAAACTTGAGAGGTAATTCACGCCTCATTCCAGCTGGGTTGTTGTGAAACATGGTGCAACTGACACATCAAATTTCATAAATTGCTTTCTTGCGCGTGATTAGCCCATTGACCACGGTCAAACATGGTATTTAAGAAATACACTGTTTAGCCGTTAACCAGGTCAAACATAGTATTTGACAAATACGAAGTTAAACTTCAGCATTGAAGACTAGGCTGTGTGTGTGCGCACGTGACTATTTATAAACAGGGTGTATCATGGTGTATCCCAGTTGCTAACTGGGCACATCTGGGTACCTATAGTTTATCAACATATAGTAGCCACATATCAATTGGGATGCACATCCAAGTAGAACGTACGGGATTGACAATGGGACCCGAATCATAACTGCGTCTTGGTTTTTACCTTGACCGAAAAAAAGTATTCATCACTTGAGGCAACAGTCATCTTTAGATTGAAAATGAACGGAAGCACCAAGAGAAAGATTTCCATGGCAGCCCTGGGCTTGCGCCACACTGCAGCCCCTTCCAGCCTTTCCGGATCTCTGATGCGCCACAGTTCTGCGGCCGCATCGGGTTGGCATCGGCGCTTGGCAACCCACACGAGTGATTCGCAGGGGAACCATTTGTGGCATCCCAACGATGCTCAAAAAGTCGTCGCAGTTGGAATAGCACGCGCTTCCACATATGCATTGTCTCTCACACAAACACATAGGTATGGATGGTATGGTAATGGTAATGGTTATCGTTATGGTTATGGCATGTATGTATATAATATATATATATGTGTGTGTCTATATATATATAGTTCTCCCTAGAAGCAAGTGTCACCTTTTAGTGGGATTTAACTACTCTTCACCTACCACCAGAAAGTGATTGCGGTCATCCCTGAAGCTTTGGCTTTACAACTAGCTCTCCAAGCTACAGCCATCTCTCCCATCTATCATCATCCCTACTTTTCATCATTGCATGGTACTCCAAGAAAATCCCAATGACGCATTCTACCCCTGGGCTCCTTGTGGATTTTCACTACTATTTTTGGTAATTAAAGAAGGCCACTGGATTTTCATGATGACGAAAAAATCACGTGCTCCGATTTCATGTCCTAACGTTGAAGGGAACTATGCCTGGGGACAGCGGTCTTCACTGCCCCGCTCTGCTTGCGAGGTCCACTGGCCTTCGCGCCCGAGAATTCTCGGACGGTGGCCTCGCGTGATTTGTTGAGCCTGCACCTTCCAAAATCCTACTGATCGCGTCCACCCATGTTTTTTGGGAAGTAGCGTGCAACCTCATATACATGAATATATATATATATGTATATATATATATGCATATATATATAGAGAGAGAGAGCTACTATATCTTAAGGGTCCAAGATATGGCAGGAAATTTGGCAGAAGTACCTTCAGCCGATGGGTGCTTTGCGTGCCATGAAATTTTCAGTGCGGATTCCACCCATGTCACCAATCAGCTGCAGGCTGGAACAGGAGGCCCAGAAAAACATGCCATGCTTCGGCAAATTCAGTAGTTGCAGCACCACGGGTGCAATAATGGTTGTTGATCCGCTGCGTCCTGGAAGCAACGACTCAAGTGACTCAAGTGACTCGTTTCGCCATCCCAGAGCCGAAACCATCAGCAGGAACGGCAGATTCCGACAACGCAATAGCTAATGTTGGGATCATAATGGGGAATTCATGGGACAATAACAATACTAGGACAATAATCCGAAGACTAATGAGATCATAATCTCAAGCCCAACCCGCAGCCCTAGCAGCATGGTCCTCAGGTACAACTTGCATCCTTTGCGCCTCTATTGGAGCAGCCGGCTGGCCATGCCTCACCAATTCATGGGTTCCAAGGAGAAACTTTGCGTGTGGGGTCGGCTGTTTCGCACCAGATCTTTATTGGAGAGACCAGATTCGACCTAAGCCTAGAAATTGAGTATTAAAGACTGTTAGGTCTATTCATTGGATTGGTTTAAAGGGAAAATTTGCAGGAAACCCCGAGATTTAGTGGTAAAAACCATGGTTTCTAGTAGATTTCCCTTGGACCAAGCCAGTGATCTATTGGTCACCCACCACAGCTTGAGGAATGAGTCAGATTCCTCACAGGTCATGGGAGTTGGATCCAGTCAAGCAGCTCAACAGCTCGCAAGGCCGCTATGACGTAGCCCAAAACTGCAAAGGCGATACATACCACTGACACGGCACCTGAGAGGCAACAACAATCCCTTGATCCCTTGGGTTCTTCAAATTTCCTAATCTTTCAATGGCCATTTCAGGAACCTAAATTGGAGGTACCTACCATATATGAGGCCTATTATATGGTACAGTAGCTCCACTTTAGGATCCTGAAATTCCCATTGAATCTATCTAGTCTCAACTCATCCAGGCCGAGAAAACCGCGCCTGAAAAAAGCGCGTGCTTCTCATTGAGGTGAAAAGCCGCAATGAGCAGGTCCATGACCTCAGGTGGTTAACATGACCTCATGGTGTCTACCCTCTGGTTATGTCAAAATAGCTATTGAAAATGGCCATTTATAGTGAGTTTTCCCATTAAAAATGGTGATTTTCCATAGCTATGTTAGTTTACCAGAGGGTATTTACAATATCCCATGGGAAAAATATGGGAACTTCCCCCAAAGTACAGCTCAACCTGGCACCATCCCAGCGCCGCTTCCAAGGAACCATCTGTGGCAGTAAGGGACCAAAACAATTCCCAAAGAAGTTGTTGATGCCCTGCGCCAGGCCGACTCCAAAACTTCTGACCTTCTCATCTTCCACCGAGTTGTTGCACACGATCTGTATGAGGCCCGTGGTACTGGCGATGCCCATACACAGCAAGACGACGCCGAACCATGTCAATATCAGGAAGATGTGGCGAATGTCACCATGGATCAGTTGGAGCGACAAACCTTGGCGTGTGGAAAAAATCTGTTCCCGCCCTAGAAAATTTAGGTCCGACGTCTCGGAGGAGTTTACATGTCGACTTTGGCATGTTAGGCCTATGCAATTTTCTCCTTGGTCAGCTTTTGCGATTTCATCTTGACCCCAAGGAAGCCCATAGAAGCCCCACAAGGTACCACCCACCAACATGTATCTATAGTCTTTAGTTCGTCCCAAAAGACTAGTTGACCGTGGCACGAATGATTGGCCAATGCGGGCTCATGAGACACTCGGCAGGCATCATTGTGGAATGGATTTTAACCTACTTTATAGACATTCTACTTACAAGTTCGGTTTTCAAGACATGTTAGCGTACTATTATTTCTACTTCTATATGTATGGATGTATGTGAGTGTGTGTGTGTGTGCATGTGCGTATCTATCTATTCGCCATTTACGTATATATATATATATTTATTTATTTATTTATTTATTTATTTATTTATTTTATTTATTTATATTTATATATATATATATACATATATGTATATGTATAAAATCAAACATAATCATACATATACTGTAATCTGTATCCATCTATATCCATCTATTTGTGTATGTATGCGTGTGTATATACATATATATCAATACATATATGTATATGTATATATATATTTTTGTGTATGTAATGTAATGTAATGTAATGTAATGTGATGTGATGTAATGTAATGTAATGTAATGTAATTATGTCTGTATGTATGTATGTATGTATGTATGTATGTATGTAGGATTATGTAGGTAGGTAGGTAGGTAGGTAGGTAGGTAGGTATGTCTGTGTGTCTGTCTGTCTGCCTGTCTGTCTGTCTGTCTGTCTGTCTTTCTGTCTGTCTGTACGTACGTACGTACGTATGTATGTATGTATGTATATATGTACATATGCATATGCATATGCATATGTATATGTATGTGTATGTGTATGTGTATATATACACACATACACATATACATGATATATGCATGTGATTGCATATGTGTGTGCACATGTAAAGTCTTTCATAAAACAAAAAGGTGACATGGCTGCCATGGCTCCGACCATTGTCATGACAGCTCCAAGGCAGGAATAGCACATGGCCTGGCCGTCCCAAGAGGCGTTCGCCAGGAAAATCTGCCTGGTTCTCAGTGGAGTTTCAGTCATCCCCCAAAAAGATAGTTGGTCAAATCCCATCAAAATTGAAATGAAATGGAATGAGTCACCTAAGATTCGATGTTTTTGGGGATGACTATAAAAAAAATTCTCGATGGATGGATTGATGACCATCGCGCAATATTATATGGGTATATATGATTAATGTACAGTATATACACTATACAATCCAAAGGTGTTTGGAGGTTCCAATCCTGACAGCGGAAAAGTCCCGTCTGCAGAGGCTCAACCCGCGGCCTTCCTGAGGTACGCCAGGGTGAGCCTGGGGTCGTGGCTACCCTCTATGCCACTGCTGTGGCAAATGCCAAGTGCACCGCCTGGACCGAGGTTCAACACGAGTCCCAGTGGGTTGGCATGTTAGCAAATTAAGAATAGCAAACCATCGGTATTTTGATGGTTTATATCACCACCGTTTTAAGCGAGGGGGGGCCTCCCAAAAGATAAGCTACATGTTTCAAGGTGTTTTTTTGAGGGGGGCCTTGAAGATGCAAGCTTACATTTTGAAGGTATTTTGAAAACCCTCCCCACAAAAACGAGGTCAGCAACCAATTATACATTCAAGGGGGGTCCCAAAAAAATATAAGAATGCATCTTACATTACATTATGGTCCCGACTGAAAAGTGGCCTTAAAGAGGTGGTGATTTTATATCCATGTTTGGCAAATTTAGGGGATGGTTTACTATTGCTTTACTAATCAAAGTCTCCTCCGTACCCAGGGTAGCATCTGCCATTGGTCGATTTCCCACTTCTGACCCTGGCTTGCCAGCATGAACGCGGAAAAAAACCACCAAAATGCCACTTTTACAAAGGATGGAAAAAGGAAACCCATCTCAGCTACATTATGAAAATGGATGGAAACTTAGAAAATCACGAAGGAAAAAAACTGTTTCAATCTCCCTTATTTGAGGAGCCACAGTTCTCCACCCAACAAAGAGCCTACGCCGGTGAGCAGTAGATAGCTGACCACCGACAGCTGCTTCTCCATGGTCCAAAGCTCAATGAAGAGACGGATCCAAATGAATGCTAAGCCTGCGTTGACGTAGTTCCTCGGCGCCATGGAAGCTGAAAGAAAATAGAAGGGAAGTGACAGCGAACGACCCCGAAAGCTCCAAATGAGGGGCATAATAGGCTACATTATCAATGCTGTGGAATTTAAAGCGACCATGACATAGGGATATGATTGGATACAACTGACAGGCGATTTCTCCCGCTTTCCTGGAACCCATTTGGCTCCCAAGTTGAAGACCAGGCACGAAGAGGCGAAGGCCATGGCAGAGCGACAGTAGAGTTTATTGCTATATAGCTCCTCCAACCTGGTTGCTGCTGTCCGAGGACTAGTGACTAGTGGAATTCACCTCATAAACATTCATAAACTATTTTGGAGGGTTTATAGTTGCCTTTCATACCATCTATACCACCCATTTCTGCAAAGCTTGGAGGCTAAAAAGCCAACCATAGCAGCTTCCGCTACTTTCAAAGTAAGACCATGAAAATGGTGGATGACTTAGGGCATATACGCTGAAACAAGCATATGGAAACCTGAAAAACAATACCCTCTGGTAATTTAACATAGCTATTGAAAATGGCCAGTTATAGTGGATTTTCCCATTAAAAATTGTGATTTTCCATAGTTATGTTAGTTTACCAGAGGGTAATACTTGGGGATCATCATACCAAGTCGGAAGGAAAACAACAATACAATTCGCGACAAAGCTTAAACTCAAAAAAAACTCGGGTCAAGAGTGACCTTTGTTGATGTTTGCCCTCGTTCGTGGATATGTGCGCTTGTTGTGTGGATATTTGGCCTCGAATTTGTCAAAAAAACGCTCGAATTTCTTGTGTTCCATTGGCCAGCCTGCAAATGTCCAAAAGATGATCGACTTTGGAATTTAGGTGCCAAATCCGAAAAAGTGTATCAAACATGGGAGAGACATCAGTTGAAGCAACAATCGAAGGTCGAGGCAATTGATCAGCCTTATCAGCTTGAGGTTCCCTCCGAAGTTCATCAAGCATGAGAGTCTTACATAAATCCAATAGCTTGGCTACACCCGTTTCCAATAGTTCATACCTTCTTGGCAAAACCCATAGTTTCCAATAGTTCAATATAGTTCATACATGTTCATACCTTCAACCCAAAGATCCTAAGTTCTCCACAGTTGCGCGTTGCCAGGCCACTGTTGCCGGATGCTCATGTCTTCCGCCACCATCACGGGATGCAGAAAACTGCCCGAACGGATCCGCGGCCGGGCTCGGGCCTCTGAGGACTGGCGACTGGGCGGATGGTCGATGCTGAGGTTCATCAGATCATCGGAATAGGTGCGGATCTTGCGGTCCTCGGAGTCTCAGACAGTGGATTTGTTGGTTTCATAGTTGGAAAAGGGATGAAAGGGGAAAATCATCCATGTGACAATGTGGGAATTGTGCAATATTCTTGGGTTGAACGAAAGTTTATGCCAGTTTAATCCAGTTTATACATGGTCCATTCGGTCCCATTGAAATTCCTCGGGGGATTCATGGGGACACCGTAGCGGCGAAGGCCCAGCTACTGAGTCCATGATCTCATTCTTCACCTGGTCCACTTTCAGACAGCCTCAGGGTGGTTCACAGGCCCAGAAAAAACGCTTTGAAATGGCCGATGCTGCAACACTGGTTTTCGCGGAAATGGGCCTTTTTTTTCGACATCTGACATTTGAGCCAATATGTCATTGAAAGAAACTCGTTTAAGGAAAGGTTCCCATCAATATCCCAGACCTGGCTGAAGGGAAATCTACAGGAAATCAGGGTTTCCCCAACAGATTTGATTGGTAAAATCCAATGATTTTCCGGTTCTGGTTGTTCCTTTCTTTTCCATCTCCGTTGATTCTATAATTTCCTTGATTGAGATGGGCTCCCATTATATTATATATATATATGAAATATATATCATATATATATATATATAGTCCTATGATTCATGGTGAAATCTCCATTGCATTCCCATGACATCCCCCGTTTTCGTTCCAACCCGCAAGAGGCCCTGTGGCTAGTTATGGCCATTTTCTCGGTAGGTACCATGACCATCAGCAGCAACAGGAGCAGCAGGACGGCGGCCTGTTGAGGGTACGCGCACCCGAACGACTTATCCATCTATCCATGTATCATTCATTCATTTATTCGTTCATCCCATATCAGTGCAATTCACTTCATTTCATGTCAATTCATGTAACTTCATTTCAATGTCGTTTCATTCGTTCATCGATCTAAAAATATCACTAGTTGCAGATTTATTCATCTATATATCTATTCATTCTAGATTAGTTCCTTTATTTACTTGTTGGTATCACTATTCAAATCATCCCACCTGCCACGGCCAAAGTTTGCACAGTTTGCACCTCCACCTGGAACGGGAAGGCATAAGGAAGCCCATTTGCTGTGCTCGACCCTGCCAAGAGCATGCCAACGCCTACAGTCGTCGACGTCTACAGTCGCCATGGACATGGCCAAAACGAGTGTCCCACGATGCGAGCTACCCTCCAGTAAACATACAAAAAGCTGTAGCATTCCATGGTTGTTTCCCTGGGAAATAATCTACCTAATGGTGGATGTTCCGTTCACTGGAACGTATTTCAACTAAGGCAAGCAAAAAAATGGACCATCTCTGCTTGAAGACCCTGCCCCTTCAAAAATTATCACTGAGAGATCATCGCACCCCGGTCAAAAAGATAACGCATGTCTGAAATCATGTGGATATACCCGAATGTTTTCACTTTCTGGTCCTGCAATCATCCAACCCAGGGGGTAGATTCATGCCAACCCTCCACCCGTTAAAGTGAATCAAGTGGAATAGAAGCCTAGCGTGATAGGAGTTATATCCTAAAGTAACTTATGGCAGTTATAATCTCATTAAATCACTTTTGTTCGAACTGAATCGGATTTGAATCCCTATTTCTGATGGTTACACCCCACTAAATCTCTCTGAATGTTAAACTCCATTTAAAAAAAGAAACCACTAATTATGTTTGATGCGTTAACTCCATTCAATCCTTATTTCTGATGATATAATCAGCAAAACCCCATGATCTTCACCCCTAACCAACCGACCCCCGTCTTCCCGGTCGTCTTCCGAGGCTCCGTTGCCCACCCCGGCCGCCACGCAGCCGCTGAGGTTGATCCAGAGCGGCAACTTCTCTTCATCGGCCCATCGGGCTACCCACAGAGGGGCCCAGACCTCAGGGGCCGGGGATGGAGCTGGTGGATCTCGAAAACACAACAGATATGAAATGTTAAATGGTGAAAGACAACTTCAACCATCATGGTGGATAACAAGTAAATCCATATGATGGCAATAGTATCAATCATGATTGATTTAAACACACACACAGATATATATATATATGTGTGTGTGTGTGAGTATGGGTATATAATGAAAAGCCAGTGTAACAATGATCGTAAAAAAGAACATTTTTTCAGCAAAAAGTTCCCTCACAGCAATTGCTGAAGGATCCATGCTAGCACTTACGGTAGTGGAATGACAAGAATCATGGGGCAATAGGACCCCAACCTACAGGACTCAAAGACTGCCTGTTGGCAACTGGGCAGGGATGGGTTTGTGATGGGCTACCTAGGACTAATGTGTGGCTGTAGGTTGGCAACCTACAGGACTCTAAGACTGCATTTTGGTAACAAGGGGCGGGGACGGGTCAGCGATGGCGCCACCTAGCGCGAATGTCTGCCTGTAGGTTGGCAACCTACAGGATTCTAAGACTGGACTGTTGGCAACAAGGGGCGGGGATGGGTCAGCGATGGCGCCACCTAGCGCGAATGTGTGGCTGCATGGCTGTAGGTTGGCCACCTAGCGCGAATGTGTGGCTGCATGGCTGTAGGTTGGCAACCTACAGGACTTTAAGAATGCATTGTTGGCAACAAGGGGCGGGGATGGGTCAGCGATGGCGCCACCTAGCGCGAATGTGTGGCTGCGTGGCTGTAGGTTGGCAACCTACAGGACTTTAAGACTGCATTGTTGGCAACAAGGGGCAGCGATGGCGCCACCTAGCGCGAATGTGTCGCTGTAGGTTGGCAACCTACAGGACTTTAAGACTGCATTGTTGGCAACAAGGGGCAGCAGATGGCGCCACCTAGCGCGAATGTGTCGCTGTAGGTTGGCAACCTACAGGACTTTAAGACTGCATTGTTGGCAACAAGGGGCAGCGATGGCGCCACCTAGCGCGAATGTGTCGCTGTAGGTTGGCAACCTACAGGACTTTAAGACTGCATTGTTGGCAACAAGGGGCGGGGATGGGTCAGCGATGTTGCCACCTAGCGCGAATGTGTGGCTGCATGGCTGTAGGTTGGCAACCTACAGGACTCAAAGACTACCTGTTGGCAACAAGGGGCAGCGATGGCGCCACCTACAGCGCGACTGTGTCGCTGTAGGTTGGCAACCTACAGGACTCTAAGACTGCATTGTTGGCAACAAGGGGCAGCGATGGCGCCACCTAGCGCGAATGTGTCGCTGTAGGTTGGCAACCTACAGGACTTTAAGACTGCATTGTTGGCAACAAGGGGCGGGGATGGGTCAGCGATGTTGCCACCTAGCGCGAACGTGTGGCTGCATGGCTGTAGGTTGGCAACCTACAGGACTCAAAGACTGCCTGTTGGCAACAAGGGGCAGCGATGGCGCCACCTACGGCGCGACTGTGTCGCTGTAGGTTGGCAACCTACAGGACTCTAAGACTGAATTGCTGGCAACAAGGTGCAGGAATGGGTCAGGGATGTGGCCAACTAGCGCGAATGTGTGGCTGTAGGTTGGCAACCTACAGGACTCAAAGACCAAGAAGGGGCTGAGATGGGTGAGGGATAGCGGCAATCTACAGGACTCCAGCCCGACACTGTTGGCAGCACGGGGCGGGGTACGCCAATGGGTCTTCAGGCTTGCACTCTGCAAAACTCCCGATCATGGCATGAGTGCAAAGGTTGTTTCTTTTTGGGGTGCTGGCTTCTTCGCTATAGCAACAAAAAATGTCGGGATGGCACCATCTGATGTTTCCATCGGTTTCCAAAGGGGGCCAGTCCAACCAGAAACGGGAAGCCGACACGTCTTAGCGACCCATTGCATAACAGGGGCCCACTGCAGGCCCTCGGTAAATCCGATCAACATCTTCGTGGTGTACATCAAGTAGCCTAGGAAGCTCGGGGGTCGCGTTGCACGACACGGACCCTAGTGCGCAAGCATATTGGGCAACCAAGTCATGAGTTGCACAAACCTTAAAAATGGATAGTTTGGTTGTCTGGCCTTCCTTGAAAAATGCATCATTGGGGGTCATCTAGGGTGGAAATGAAAAATCATTTCAGACTTCACGCCGCTTGCTACTTGTCGGGGTGACATAGCAATTTCCGGTTTGGAAACTCCCACTTACTGTACAGTGATTATTGGGTTAAGCCAATAATTGAAGCCCTGAACCAATAAAACTGGGCGCCATGTACGACAGGTGCACCAACGCTGCAGCCAGAGCACCATTTTGGGTGACCGCAAACACTGCGACAGACACGGCATTCACCAAGAGACCTCCGGTCCAGCACCCACCATAGCATTCTGAGCTTGGCAAGGACATGAGGTCTATTGAGTTCCCAAACCAGAAGGAAAACCCAAAAAAAACTGAAACATACTCTAACTACATGTAGTTAACAGGACCACCATTTGGATCCATTTGGAACTTTGGAGCACCAAGACTTGAGATACTGCCCCATTCTGGACTCCCCCATTCTGCAGCACCTGCCGAAAGGAGAACTTTCGAAGGCACATGCTGTAGGACGTAGCCCCAAATGCCAGCAGACATGGTGATGCCAATCCTGGGCACAGTTCAAGGTCAGATTTCAAGGGATCATTGAGTAGGCTCTATTTAAAAAAAAAAAAGCTAAATTCTTATTTTAGGATATTATCAACAGCCAAAAAAGACACCAGATATTTTGAATTATCAATATATCATAATAGATCTCACTGATATTCTTATACGGTCATCTTTAATAATCCACCAATTAACCATGCTTTTAACCACCATTAATAATCCTGATTAACCATAGCCATTCATCATCATTAACCATTAATAATCCAAATTACCCTCTGGTAAACTGTCACATAACTATGGAAAATCACCATTTTTAATGGGAAAATCCACTATTTCTATCTATTTCTATGGCCATGTTCAATAGCCATTAACCATTGGCAAGCCGGAGAAGTCTCCAATTCATACGGCCATCCACCAAGGTCCCGGCTTGTCCATGGCTCCCAGTAAGCCGATGCCCGTGGGGCTCCAGCCGCCCACCTCTAAAAGTTCGCTGAAGAGAGCGTGCCAACGTGCAGAAATAACGGCACCCTGAATCCCACACTTTTCTATTCATTTTTGTGTTTATTTTATTTGTTTGTTCATTTATATTTTACATGTAAATATACATATATGCATATATATATATACATATATATATACATATATACATATACATATACATATACACACAATATATCTGTATACATATATATATATATACACACACCTATCTGTGTGTGTGTGCGTGTGTGTGTGTGTTATCGTCAGTTTCCCAATTGAGATTGTATGTATGTGTATGTAGGTATATATATATATATGCGTGTGTGTGTGTGCGTGTGTGATAGAACAAAATGTCATATAATAGTATTTTTTCCGGTTGCCCATTTCTGGATGAACACGTCAGTTCGGTGCGCCATGCTGCAATACAACTTCGACATGAGCCTTCTGGATCGTATCGACGGTGGCAGCTGTGGCACCGCCATTGTATGCCATAAACATTGGCACACCTGCAAATATGGCAAGCGGTCAAAAGCTGACTGGAGGATGGACCAAAACAGGCGTTAACCTCTCAATTTTCAGCGCAGCAACCACTATAACTGAAATTGTGAAATTATGTTCTGAAAATTGAAGCCATAGCAATGAAAAATCCCTTGTTTCGATCTATGGTCTTCCCCGTTGACATTTTAAAATGTTTATCTTTTCCAGCCCGTAGGTTTCACAGCGAAGTTTACGTCGTAGAGGCACCGAAGCAGAAGAACCAGAAGATGATTTCCTTGCTGAAGCACTCCATGGCCGCAAAGCTCCGTGGTGCTGCAATGCCGATGATCACTGGAACCAAAATCACTTCCTTTTCAAAGTGTTGCCACATGCGATCAGCGAAATTTACTGGGATTTAACGGTGATTTACTGGGATTTAATGGTGATTATCATGAAGTGATTATAAACTTCTCATTGCCTTGGGATCTGCACGCCCAACATGACCTCGATTTCATAGCAAGGATGTTGTGAGACCAGTCGGCCCCCAGTTGAGCCAGGGACTTGAAAATGCACAAAAAGCCATCCTGGAAAATCATGGGGTAGCATCCCGCCATTGCCGGAAATCGTTGGTGATATGCCCATTTTGGAGACCATGGGTGTCTGCACTGTAACCCACCGAGACCCCAAAACCTGGATACCCTAAGTTGACGTAGCTATGGAAAATCGCCATCTTTAGTAGGTAAATCATCTACAAATGGAGAAACAATAGCTATGTAAAAAATACCAGGAAGTACTTGATGTTTAAAAATGATCAAATTAAAATGGTGGTTTGAGTCTGGAATTCTAACTCATACTGATCATTTTTGGGGCTGTAGCACTGTCCCCAGCTGTCCACCTCACAGGCCGCCGCCAGCACCAATAGCAGACCTGATCCCAGCCAGTTCGAATGCAAACAGGAGCTCTTTGACCTATCATTCCTGATGTATCCTGATGGTGTTTGAAACCGCCTTCTTGCCCTTGCCCTTGCGGTTCTTTTGTGGGAGCTGACTGAAACCCATGACACCTTGACATCCCTCAGCTCTGCCACTGTTTTCCCGCTGGCGATGGAGAGTCATTCGCCGCATCCTTCGCGTCATCCGGTGCCCTCTGCCGTCGCGATTACTTCAGCTTCTTCTTGGGGCGGAGCTGGTTGGAGTGTCCGCACTTCTTCTTGCGGCAGTTCCTGAGCGTGACAGGGTGGCAGGGTGACGAGCTGCTCGCGTCAGGATCAAGGGTTGCCAGCCAGCTATCGATATGGTTAGATAGATAAGATAGATAAGATAGATAAGATAGATTGGATTAGATAAGATAGGTAAGATAGATAAGATGAGATAAGATAAGATGAGATGAGAGTAGATTAGGTTAGCTTAGCATTGATTAGGTTAGCTTATCTTAGATTAGCTTAGATTAGATCAGATTAGATTAGATTTACATTAGATTAGATTAGATCGTTTAGATAGATTAGATGGATTAGATCGATTGGAAAGATAAATTAGATATATTCGATGGATTGGATAGATTAGATAGATAAGATTAGATAAGATTAGATTAGCTAAGGTTCGATTAGGTTAGGTTAGATTAGCTTAGATTAGATTAGATTTAGGTCAGATTAGATAGATTGATTAGATAGATAAGATAGATATGACGGAGAGATAGACAGAAAGATAGATAGATAGGAAGGATGGATAGATAGACAGATAGATAGAAAGATAGTAAGTATAGCAAGGATAGTAAGGATAGGAAGGATAGTAAGGATAGTAAGGATAGGAAGGATAGGAAGGATAGATAGATAGGAAGGATAGATAGATAGGAAGGATAGATAGATAGGAAGGATAGATAGATAGGAAGGATAGATAGATAGGAAGGATAGATAGATTGGAAGGATCGATAGATTGGAAGGATCGATAGATTGGAAGGATAGATAGATTGGAAGGATCGATAGATTGGAACGATAGATAGGTTGGAAGGATAGATAGATAGAACAGAATAGAATAGAATAGAATAGAACAGAACAGAATAGAACAGAACAGAACAGAATAGAATAGAATAGGATAGGATAAGATAGGATAAGATAGGGTAAGATAGGATAAGATAGGATAAGATAGGATAAGATAGGATAAGATAGGATAAGATAGGATAAGATAGGATAAGATAGGATAAGATAGGATAAGATAGGATAAGACAGGATAAGATAGGGTAAGATAGGATAAGATAGGATAAGATAAGATAGGATAAGATAAGATAGGATAAGATAAGATAAGATAGGATAAGATTAGATAAGATGGGATAGGATAGGATAAGATTAGATTAGATTAGATAAGATAGATAGATAGATAGTTTGATAGATAGATTGATAGATTTATAGATTTATAGATTGATAGATAGGTAAAGCATGGTAAAGCATGGTAAAGCATGGTAAAGCATGGTAAAGCATGGTAAAGCATGGTAAAGCATGGTAAAGCATGGTAAAGCCACAAAAGCCACAAAAGCCACAAAAGCCACAAAAGCCACAAAAGCCACAAACGCCACAAACGCCACAAACGCCACAAACGCCACACACCCACAAAAGCCACAAAAGCCACAAAAGCCACACACCCACAAAAGCCACAAAATCCACAAAAGCCACAAACGCCACAAAAGCCACAAAAGCCACAAAAGCCACAAAGCCAGGCTGGAAAACAAAAAAAAAACAAAAAAAAGCCCTCGATTAATAGTTAATCAAAGATTTAAAGGAAAAAACAGAAAAAAGAAGAAGAATGATTTTAAAAAATGGTAAACCATGATAAACCATCATCGTCATCCCCCCATCCTCAGCGCCAAACGAAAAACCAAGGTGCACAGCGCGAGCGTGCAGGCGCGCATAGCACTTTCGGCAAATCATCTTCTCACAGTTGAACCTGGTTGATTCATGGGGCAAGCATCTATAAATGGAGGTTTGAATGGGAAAGTCTTCCATAACTGGAGGTTTATAGCGGGGGAAATTATATATAAATGGGACATGTTCAATTGCAACGTTTAATTGCCAGAGGGCACACACGCGAAGAGAGAAAACTGGAGTTGGTTGTAGTTGATATATCTTTTCAGATTGTGCAAAGACTCAAGTCAAAGGTTCCTCCAAAGAAAACATGACATATATGCCATTCCCTTCAAGACCCCCTTGCCCCAGTGGATTAAATATCTTCATAGGGCAACAAAAAATTCAATCTTCAGCAAATTAAGAAATACCAGGGTTAAATCATGCTTTTTACCAGAGAACTTTCGTGCCAGCACCGCCAGGGAGGGCTCAATGACGCCACCGCGCAGGCGCAAGACCAGGTGGAGGGTGGACTCCTGTGACTGGGGCGACCGGGGCGGGGATGGCACCAAGAATGGGAATGGGATTTATAGACTAATAGTCTATCATCAATTAATATAATAGTCTATAATAATAGTGGTCTATCATCAAAAACGAATTATATATATTAATATATATATATATATATAATTTATAGACTATTAATAATGGTCTATCATCAATAGTCCATCGTTAATAGTGATGGGAATAGTCTATCCCACCCTTTTTGGGAATCGGGATTCGCTCAAAAAAGGTGGGATAGACTGATGATAGCTAAGTTGGATGAATTATAATGATTCATACCTAGGCAAACTATGGTTTTTCAAAGGTGGAGATGTGATGATATATGTACAGTTTCATGGGTGAAACTGGGGATTGACAGTTTAAAAACCCATCCCCCATATATCGGCAGAGATGTGAGATCAGGTGTCGGCTGCCAGGCGTTCCACAGGATTGGCACCACCAAACCCGTCCTTTTGAATGTTGTAGTCACTGAGGGTGCGTCCATCCTCCAACTGCTTCCCGGCAAAGATCAAGCGCTGCTGGTCTGGAGGGATACCTGCCACGGCCCACGACATCCTCAATGACAACTTGGCTGTATGTAGATGGCTACCCGGTACCCTCATGTCAGCAAAGGGCGATTCGGCGAATGGTCTTTCCCCCCTTCATTTCTCAATATTTCTCAGATATGAAGCACCATTTCCAAAACAAGAACATGCACATGGTCACCTAAACCCAGTGCAGCCTAAGATAAATATGTTTCCGAGCACTGCCCCTGCCATGATAGGAACCGCTGGCCGCACCTTCCTTGTCCTGAATCTTCGCCTTCACATTGTCGATGGTATCCGAGGCTTCCACGTCCTTACGCCAGGAATTGAGGTCCCGAGCCTCCAGGAGACCGTTGAGTGTCATAGAAAAGTTTATGAGAACTAATCATTGGTAGCCTATCTGAAATCCTTAAAGCCATCTATTACTGATTTCAAGGGGAAACATATAAAATTCGCAATTCTAAATGGCAAAATATCTGGTAATAAGCTGTCAATAGCTGGTTAATAACTTGTTTGGTCTCAACACATAGTGGTCTATTAGCTTGTTAATAACCTGGTAATAAAGGTTTATTAACCTTCACTGCTTGTTGCGTCCATGTTGTCTTCCAACCATCTGGGTTGGAATGTTGATCACGGAAATCTGCGGCGAATCGTGGGATAATTCCTCGATGGGAATGTCAGTTTTTACTCAAATGGAGGTACGTTAGTACCATATAAGTTATATAGGATCATGTTTTGTGGGGATATTCCCTTACATAGGTCTAAAAAATACGCCCTTTATATGGTACCTCCAATTGAAGTTCCTCCAATAAATCGGTTCTTGAAATGGCCATTGAATTCCCCTATACATTCACCATCATTCCAGTACCTATTGGTCCAAGCGTGACCGACTGTACCTGGAAGGACCAAGTCCAGGAGCAATGAAGTGTTCAGAACAGAACATGGGGTCCCTTATTTTCCAAGCGTGCATATATAGTAATATAGTGCATATGTATTTTTACATATCATATATATATATAATTATAGAAATAATGCTACAAGCAATGATAATAATAATGATAGTAGAAACAATAATAATAACAATAATAAAAATAAATAATAATAATAATAATAAATATGCATGCAATTTCACATATTATATATATATGTGTGTGTGTGTTGTGTGCGTCCATTATGTGCATATCTCCAAGCCATACCCCCTCTGGTGTATAGCCTCCCACGCCAGGGGTCCAAGGTGATGGTCTTGCCCGTCAAAGTCTTCACGAAAATCTGCATGGCGGATTTTCGTAGCACTCGCCACAAGCGGCAACTTGAGCCAACGACTTTTCCTGTTGCAGCCACTTTACATCATGACTACTATACTGACTATACTCAAAAAGGAAGCTACAATCATGATTACCACTCAATTGCACATGGGGGGTCCTACAAAATCACAACAGTAAGAAGGACTTCGTTCTATCATTTCTATCTGTTTGGGTGATAGTCCCATTTCTGAATTTCAGCTGTTCTTCATCTTGCGCCCTCCTCTCATTTGATCAACAACCGCAACTTTAAGCAAGTGCCCCTCTGTGGATCCGAACGGGATGGCAATGAAAAAAGATCAAGTTTGACAAAATCCACTGAGCGTGAATTTCTTCTGACCTTTTTTTAAAGAAGAACGAAGAAAAACTCGTCTTGACGAAATTTTAGGGTTTTACTGGTTTTGCGGACGATTTCATATCTCAACTTTCCCCTTAAAAAAAACAGCTGCCAGCTGACAGCCAGAGCCCAAGGACCCCACCGACTCCAAACATCGCTGGAATAGTTCGCCATTCGGAGCACGGCAAGACGAAGGGGAAACCGCTTGACGGTTTAACGGGAAACCAATGTGGTTTGCACCTCTGGTCATGAAACATGCTTTTGGAACAAAATAATCCTCGGCCCATGATCTTCGAAGATCAATTTCGATGATCTTTAAAGATCCATGATAGTCGATAATCCTATAATCATTGAACATTGGGGTATCTGATTTCCAAGTTTTGATCAGGGGCCTGGAGTTGGAGTTGGTGCCCTTTCAGCCATGGCATGGTGTGGAAATAGGTGAGGCCAGGGAAATCTACATCGCTTGCATCAGAACTTGATTTCTGGTGCCATCCCCACACTCCCTGGCTACGCCAGCGCTTTCCTTTTGGAAAGGCACGAAAGGTACCTTTAGGTACCAAAGCTGCGGAGGGTACCGTAAACTGGGGGGCGTTTTTTGTGAGATGTGCATGACAAAAGGTGGCTCTTGAACAGCATGCTTTTGATGATTGATAGATGGCCAAATTCTCAGATTAAGATAAAGTATAGATTATTCAAATTCTCAGCATACATGTAGTATGGAATCTGAAAAGTTCTGAAAATGCACGGCAGTTCTGGTGATGTCACCATCCTCACTGGGACTGAGCTCCCCACGCTGTGGCCCCAAAGGCCCGGCGCACCGCCACGTCCAACGACCTGGAGGTCAAGAGATCATGACCTGTCCGTTTTGGGTTTTTTGTTGCCCTCGGTGTTGGGTGTTTGATATAAACGATTTTTTGCACCTTGAGATATTAAAGTCAAAAAATGGGGAGGGAAAAAAAAATAACAATAATAATAATAAATCATAATCATATATCAAAACATCATCTCCAGGGCAGTTTGAACGGTGAGTTTCAAACCTAGTACCTAGTGAGTTTCAACACCTAGGTCTAGCTGCAAATCGGCCTTGACGGTCGTAGGCGCCACGACACGCCATGCATCATAGATTGTCCAGCTGCGACATCCTAATAGTGAGAATCCTAGTCACTGGTCACCTCACCTAAGGGGTCCATGAAAATGTTCTGGCGTGACTTTCTGGTTGGGGTGTCTTTCTGAGTTTGACCAGTGCAAGGCGGAGATGTTAGGTGTCATGGATCTCTGCTAATCATCGGGGCAAAAGCATCCAGAGTGCCTGGTGTAAACGGCAATAGATCTGAACAATGTCCATGATTCCGCCAGCTGAGTCACAGTGTTGCAACAATGTGTCTTAGTTTAAAGCTACTGAAGGCCAGTAAGACAGCTGCCAAACTGTAGCCAGTTGCCATTCAATGTGTCAATTTGCTGCAACTACACTTCTGGAGCCATCCTGCTGCCGCTGCAAGTGTGAACAGGTGAAAGGAGTCTGCCCAATAAAGGCAAATATCTGGTAATCCAACTTGAGACTTTACCCGGGTCAATAGACTTGCGCAAGGGAAAATCTACTCGAAACGATACTGCGGGCACCGCTTCAACCAGCTAATTTTGGGGATGACTCAAGCCATGTCCATCTCAAAGGGCCATAATATCCACATGATACCCTTGTATTTTGCTGGTGAAGTCACTCTTCGTCTAACCCTAAAAGATGCCATCCTGCCATCCCATCTATATATATGTCATACCAATCAGATGCTGAAGCCCTTTGTTGCGAGATTCCCTTTTCCACCGCCACCGGCGCAGAACAGATGTCTGATGCGCACCGATGACACTGTACACGGGACCAAAATGGGCATGTGTCAAAGCTTGGCACCTTGCTGGGCACTAGAATTCTGGTGAAACAGCTGCTTGGAACCTGAAACGTTTCAAGAGCGCCAGTGAAGTTTGACACAAAGCCCAGCTTCTGAAAACCGAATGGAAAATGAGCGGCTTCTGAGAAGTGCCACTTCGAAGATGTCCTGCGAAAATGAAATCCACCAGCGGAAACAGCAATGTTGCCACATGATCCACATGTTTTAAGAAAAAGCCTCAGCTTGTAAAGTCTTAGCTAAATTGATATGTCAAGTGCACAAAGCCATTTGAAGTAGCACCACAACCAGAAAGAGCTGAGTGTTTCAGCGAAGAGGTTGAAGTCAAACCCCCCCAAGAATCAAGAGACAACGGTTGAACTAGAGTCAGAGGGAACCCAAAAAATTGTGTTGCTGAAGAAAACTCTCCCAACTTTATCAATGACCATGTGGGCCTTCGGATCAGGCGGGCGATATCACGGGTGTTTCCACAAACGCCGGAGCCCAGAAATCATGGGAATTAATCACATTGAGGCAATCCCAACAATGACAACCTACCCCAATTTCCTGTCTTCCTGCCAAACGGGCCTCGTTCAACAGCTGGAAACTTGAGCTTCCCCCGAAGGGAAATTGAGCAAAGAAAGCCACTAAAGAAAGCCACCAATATCTCTTCCTACTGGAAATCATGCCCCTATAGATTCCAGATATGCTAGAGGTATATCATATTTCTATATAAGTGGCATAGTGGGGGCATATGGGATCATATAAAAACATATACAGTAGATATATAGATATCGATGGAGAACTACCCTTGATCTCCTGAGGTTCTCTCAATGGTCGAAGCACCTTTCAGCTTCTCGGCGAATCAGGTGGTCGTGTTTTTGCGTGACGCAGCGCCTCCTGGTGGCTGCCGGATCCAGGCAGATCCATGGCTGGCTCCCATCCCACAGCCCAGCAGTGAACAACAACCGGGATGAACCGATCACTGGCTTCGATGATTTTTCGGTTTGAACTGTTGAAGCCTGGGAGATCTCTGAATTCCCTGTTTAACGACGTTTGATTTTTGCGGAGGATACCAGAGGGTAACTCCAGATCTTTCCACTTGGGCAAGGTACTTCTGCGTAGGGCTTCCAGTAGGCTGCGCTGGAGATGTAGACGCCAAAGGCCAATGCAGTGCTCCGCAGGGTCGTCTGGGACCGGGGTTTCAGGGGAGGTGCCAAGTCACCCGGTGCGATGTTGTTTTGCCACATAAAATATCCACGCCATTTGCAATGGGACATGATCCACTAAGAATCTGAGATGCGACTATTGCAGTACCCATCCTGATAGCCCTCCACCCTCGTCAAATCACGGCGCCAGCTACTGATCCGTTAAAGAACAGACGTAGACGTTCACACATCCATACTAGGCATACTAGCTCGCAGGAGGCTAAAGCCTCGAAACTCGCAGAACAACAAATGGCCAATGGCCAATCTTGGACACAACAACATGGCCAATGGCATGCCAATGGCCAAACCTAGACACCCACAAAAACTCAGCTGGATATCAGATACTCCTCCATCAAAAGTGCCAATTTCATCCAATTTGTGGTTTGTCCAAAAATTTGGTACCCCAAACCTCTGATGGCGAAGCATCATTTTCATTTTTCCCCATGAAAATCGTTGTTTTGGGGTAACCCCCCATGGTCAGGTAAAGCCGAAGCCCAGCCATTGGCAGCACGCCCAAGAAACGGAGCATCGACACGCCAAGTAGTAGCCCTCAGGCAGCGACAGGACTGGGTCCTGGAGCAGTTGCAGCTGGAGAATTGGGCTATAAAAATGGAGGTGTTAATGATGTTCATGGGAAAATCCATCCATTTTTAGTGGATTTTCCGGCATGCCATGTTTGATTACCAGAGGGTAAGCCTGGCAAAAAGAATTGGGACTTGACCAGGGCAAGGGCTAGAAAATTTTGGCCTAAACAACCCGAAACCAAATTCTTAAATAAACAGCATTCGGTGTATGTTGGTGTATAGATGTTAGCGGACCCCGATCCCAAACGCTATGGATTTTTGATGATTTTTGTCCATCGCTACGCTACGTTCAGCTGGTTCACCAGCCGTCACTAGACTCTCGACTTGTCCGAGAAGTGAAACTTGGTCCCGTCCATCTTGGACAGACGAAAGCAGTTTTCGGTGGTGACAGGTTCAAGTGCTGAAGGTCTTACAGTACCACAAAGAAAGTAGATCCCACCTATCCCGCATCATGCATGATATATGTATCATATGTTCACACAATAAAGTATCAGCTGCACATGCATATATATATATATATATTATTGTTTGTTATTATTCTTATTATCATTATTATCACTATTATTATTGTTATTATTATTGTTATTAAAATTATTATTATTATTATTAATTATTATTATTATTATTGTGTACATATTTATGATTATGTAAATCTACGTGTTTAAATATACTAGGATATTATATATTATATTGTATTGGTTATGATATCTTATGATACATGGCAACTCGAAACCATCCACCAGGCTGGGCGTCGCAGGAGTTCCTCCGCCGAACCCACTGAAACCGTAACTGTCGTTACCTAAACCTCACAGCGCGCGTTTGAAGGATTTCCCTTTTTCTTCCTTCGCCTTGGCCACCGGGGCCGGAATGTGGTAGACACAAAGCCATACCCTCTGGTAATTCACAGTTTGCTATTGAACATGGCCCATTTATAGGGGATTTTCCTATACGAAACTTGATGTTCAATCACTTATGTTAAATTACCAGAGGGTAAACCATCGTCACAAGCCACATTGCTGAGAGAAGTCCTTCACATGGTGATGGATTGATGGGGACCAACATTTTTGGGTGCCAAACGTCTTGCTTTGGCCTGATATGTGTGGGTTTGCGTGTGCTTTGACTTTTTTGGTCCAAGTTGGGGTTGAAAAGCACTATCAAAGCTACAGTCCGCAGTCCGCACACCAGAAAACAAAAAAAACGACACGTAACTACCAAATGAAAGTCTGCACAACCTTGCAAGTAATTCTGTCACCCTATGAAGTGCTCTTAAATGTCTATCCCCCAGGCCCCGTAGTCCCCAAAAATCTCCAAAAATCGAGGTACCAAGATCTTGGGCCAATAGCGGCGCTCCCAGTCCTGGAGCTTTTGCGTGAGCTCCTGGATGTAGTAGAGCTGTTTCTGCATATCCAAAGCAGTGGCTGCACCTTTGATGGCCATACCTCGAGACCGGGGAGAGACGGGGAACAAAATGCTGAGCCCTGGAAAGAAAACCTCACTATTGCGTGGTCAGTCCAGTTCAACTAACTGCTGGCATCTCCAGGACTTTAGGGTATCTTATGGTATATCGGTCCTACAGTAGCCGCATAGTCGGACAGATTGCGTGCTTGCGCACACCAAGATACATCCATCCACAAAGCGGTCAATATCCACTTCATCGTTCTCGTTTGCCACGATCTTGAACAAATGTTGCACGTCGTGAACGCTGACGCCCACACTGGACATGTAAGCCACAATCCGAGGATTCTTCATGCAGTTGACGAATTCGTCCTCAGGCGGAGAGATCAACAAAGTGACTGAGACACGCTGTTTCCCAAGTTGAATCAATTTGATGGATTATCATCCGTTTTCCCTATCAAAAATTGCAATTTGGAAGTATACAGTATACCCCCATTTTTAGACAAAACCAGTCGCACCCTTAAAAGAGAGCGCTGTTGTTGCTGCGAAGGTAGTGGCCCGCGCTTTGGTGTGGACCCCCCTTTTTCTGCCACTGCAAGCAAACGTGACATCTGCAGCCCAGAAACAAACGAAATGAACCCAGAATTGTCCTTGGCAAAGGACGGTTTTTCGCATTGGTTGACATGTTGCGGGGTATTCAGCCAATGCGAATTCCCAAAAGGGAACATCTGCATGAAGAAAATAGTTATTAGTAGCAAAAACCATGGTTTTCTGATGTCTGTACAGTTTCCCTTCAACCAACCCAATGACAAATGTTCAAACCATGGCCCGCCACACGAATCCCTCACCGGATGATCAGGAGGGGAGGTCAATGGCGTGTCAGGTGCGTGTATGTACCAGGCTACTGCAGCTGGGAAGTTCAAACCTGCAAATGTATGTGACGAGGGCAACAAACAACACTTTGAAATCTTCAATTTTGACTTACCCCGTTCTTTCGGGTGGACACCTCGTTTGCACCAAATTTATCTTCTTTCTGGTGTTAGAATGTATTCCACCTGAAGGCTCGTTTTTCCTCCTGTACCTGTGGGCAATTAAACCTCGTTTGCATAGATGCATTTGAAAGTAGAACCACGTCACCCAGTTTCTTGAGCATCCTAACCCAAAGAATGTTCGGACCTTCATCCTCTTGGCAACGATCTCGCCCTATTCCCCAACGATCACAAGAAAACTACCAGACAAGTGACTAGAATGAATCTGAGCAAAAGAAATCATGGATGGGCTGGCACAACTTCACTAGATTCATTAATCACCAAACACCTCAATTTGCCCTACATTGTTCATTGTTAACAAAGGTCACCAGTCTTTGATTTTCTTGTGATTGGTCCCTCATCGTTCGTCCCTGGGCCCAGGGGGCCCTTGGGGCCCTTGGGATCCTTGGGTCGACCCAGGCTCCATATCCATGCATGCGAAGAGATCGCGCAGCTCGTTCGCTTGTTCCAAAAGCTTCCTGGCTGATTTCAAGCGCGTCGAACTACAGAAAGCAAAAACCGCTAGAAACATGCAGTAAGTATGGCAAGAAATGTAGAATCCACCAAAAAACCTGGACACATGAAAGGCAAGCCACAAAACATGAGGGATAGTACTAAAGAACACTATCGAAGCCAAGAATGCGTTTGCTCCCAAGCATTTTCCATTGAGTTGCCGGCCCTCTGCAATTACTTCGGGGTGAACGAGTCTTAGTCGGGCACTGTTATTCGGGCTGGTTCGATCTCCAGCTCCCGGTCTGGTTGAGTCCATGTGCCGCAGGGGGAGTTGTTCCGATGTTTCTTTACTAACCTATGTTTGAACCTGAAGTTGGCATCATCTTGCCGTGGTCAGTGGGAAGAAGTTTGACGTGAATACTGAGCTTGCTCACCCATGTTTGGGGTTCTCTTCCATCGCCGACCTTCAGGATATTCTCAACAATAGTGTCACATGGTTTCATACTTGACCGGCGGATGAATTTCAACTATTGATAGTTGTCATAAAGGTTGACCCAATCCAATACGGACACCCGCCTTCTTTCCAGCAAGATCTGCTGCTCGCGATCTGGCATTGATGCTGCCACAGCTCGCTCCACGAATATGCCCGTCAAAATGTTGAAAATGGCAAAGGCGGAGAAGAAGGTATACCTGCATCCGCACCAGTTTCAACGACGACAACGACGACAACGACATCATCATCATCATCATCATCATCAAAGCGGCAGAAGTGCAAAACTGCAAAAGCGCAAAGCGTACCATTTTGCAATGTTCACTATAGGCGGATGTGGTGGAAACGTTCCACTCTTGGTTTTCATTTGTCATGGTCATAAGCCCATTCGCAAAACCCAACTGGCCCACATGTTGCGAGAGTGGATGCGGCTCAGCCGCGCGATGAAAAGAATGTGATAGAAACTCCCCATCTGCTCCAGCATGGTGTAGTAGAGCGACCAGTCGTTCCCTCCCGTCACTGCCATATACAGCGACAGCATGGTTTGCAGAACAGAGCCGAAATGTGCCATGACCTCAGATAAGCTCTGACCATGGGAGGATGACCCAAAAGATTGAATGCAGTACTGCAGAATAGAAAGCAATTGGGCTTAACATGCCTCGTGTGCAGACAAAACAAAATGCGCTCCATACACCTTGGAAGGAGAAGGTTCGAAGGTCCAAGAATTATTTTGCACACAAACGTTTGATGATAGGTAGCACAGTAATGCCATGCAAATCCCCCGATCTGGAGAAGAATGAGTAATATCTGGAAGCATTGACCATGGCACATACTAGAACACCTCTCTTTCACTTCACTATTTCGCATGGCCATTGAGCAACGGCCCAAAACCTTGCGGAGATCCTCTATCTTGTGCTTGAAATCATTTCATCCCTCCAGTCCGTGAAAGCATACCCCCAAAAAAGAACCAAGAACTACGAGAGCATCAACCAATCAGAAAGTGCATCCATCTTCCACTCAACTCTACAGCTCAGTCATTCCAACTGGGCACAACCTGCCCCTGGCAGCCCAGTGGCTGCATCGCGTTGCTCGCTGAGGCCCAGTTCCGGTTGTGATTGGATGCCATCAGCCACCCCCTGAGCAAAGAGAAGGGCGCCTCGGCGTTGGCTCGGACCAGGAAGCCTTTCTGCCTCCATCTGGTGGCAATCCCCCATGGTTGGGAGGTCTGGGAGCTTGTTTTTGCCCCGCTGCTAATTGTATGATTATATATAATCTATATTGATCTCATGTAAATCCACCATAGTTGGATATGTCCAATAAGATTGGTGGGCACATTGTGCGCCCATTTATGTTTTCTTGGTTTTTCATGCGCGAACGCTGGAAGGGGAAAGGACCAGCATGGTTTGAAACTTCAGCAAAGTTGCCACCAACAAATCTTGGCTGGTCCGGATTCTGTCTTTCCAGGGCTACATTTAACAAACAGTCAACTAGAGAACTGAAGGAAAACCACACGGGTGACAGCCCAGTGTCTCACAAAGACCATGAAGATCAGGAGAACCAGGCTCCAAAACATGGCGGCTAAACATGCTCGAAAGCTCTCCATCATCATGTTCAGCTCCTCAAAAAATGCAGCACAACTTGCACCAAAGCAGCTTGCAGCTTGGGTTTCCAGGTTTCTCTCTTGCAGCTGATGGCTTGAAACAACAGCGTGAAATCGGGTCAAACACTCACTAGAATGGATGATTTGGGGGTAGCCCCATTTTAGGAAACCTCCAGATTGTTGGGTAACAATCCGGAAAAAAATTGTTCACTTGATGAAGCGTTGGTGGCCCTTTGCTGAGCCCAAGTTCTGTCACTTTTGACTTGTCCCATGAACACAACAAGGGGTCCGAGATTGGGGATTTTCCAGTTTAAAACATCCATTTTGGGATACCCATATTTATGGAAACCTCCATCTGGGAAGCACCCAAAATCCGCGAAGCCACTGCCCAGCATGGTCGGTTGGGGCGCTGCCAGGACACCCGGAAGGCAGTGATCACCTTCAAGCTGCGCAAGATCCGGGCGAACTTGCATAAGCGCAAAACTCTCCTGACAGCAGGTGCATGTTGAGGGCAGCAGATGGATTGGACGTCACCAGGGTTCTAATGGAGTAATGGGTTTGGGGGAGTTATATAATTGCTTTTTTGATGGGGTTGTAGTGGTAATTTCCGTGTAAATTAGTTAATATAATACATATATATATATATAAATTATATATAAATATCATATATCTCTTTTCCCGCGCAAACAGAAACAAATAAATTATATAAACATCCAGAAATAAACCCTGCTTTTGTTGCTGGAGCTCCCTCGTTACTGGATCTCTTTGTTATGCTCTTAGGTCCCAGTCACTCTGGGGTCAGATCAAGTCAAGGAGCAGGAAAGCGGTGTTTCTGGCATCCCAAAACGGGGAATCCAAACTATGACACACCAAGGAAAATCCCAAGAAAACCAGACCAAATGTGTCATCAACTGCCCCAAAATTCATCAAAAGTACAAGTTGATAAAAAGTCCAGGCGTCAAGTAGGTGACCGTGCCATTGGTATCTTTGCCAGTGGTCAAACTCACCACGAATTCTAGGAGGCTGATCACTACCAGCACAAAGTCCAGGATATTCCTAACGAGCGCCATCCGGTGATTAAGGATGGGGATACGGGACGCCTAACGAATCCAACAAACCTGTGGTGTTTCAAACTGCAATAGGCGGAGGGAGCACATCGCATTGCACTTGATGTTCGGCTACAAACTCCCGAAAAAGGTCAGAAAGGAAGATACCAATACCTGCTGGCCAGTTTCCAGCCAGCATTGTCGTTGAGAAAGAAGAAGAGGCGATGCACCGTCAAACGAAGTGCCGTCTCGACAAAGAAGAACACCTTTGCTTCGCGCCATGGTGGGCACTCTTTTGTATACAAAGCCGTTGACACTAAGGATGCATCTAATGTTAGATGATTGGAGGGTAGGTATCCCACAACCACTCAGGATTCACCACTTTGATGTTCAGAGTATCTGAGTATGAGAGTAGCTATTCCGCTCTTTGAACTCTTTGAGTAGATGCCCATATGATGCCCATGTATTCTCACTTTCGCCAGCATCATCACCATCAATATCAACATCCACAAAACAACCATGAGATGTCGAGGTCACAGGCAATCACTGGCCATCAAGCATCGCCAAGGGTCGATGAAGCCAGTGTCCACATACCAAAACTCCGTGGGATTGGCGTCCAAGGGGTGCTTCAAACTCCAATCCTCGGGTGTCGCAGCTATCGACTGCAGAGGCCGCAGCAGGCTGTTGATGGCTATTGGCAGCAGGCTGGCACCGTGATCTGCCAAGCTTCTGTGAGGTATGTGATCCAAATGGCATTGTCCAGGATTGCGAGCATGGACAGATTCTGAAAGCAACGCGAGTATAGCAGCTGAACCTCAGTCTTCGGAGACGTTTATATAGTTCTCAAAGCTTTCAGTTTATCAATTGTTGATGCATGACATTCCGCACCACAACTCAGGACATGCCCAAGCACTTTATGAAGGGTCGCAACGACCCCGGTTTCAAACCCCCTCACAAATATGCTCGTCAATGGGGATCACCATCCCATTTATAATATTTAATATGTTGGCTGGAAAAACTTCATCTCATGCCATCCACCGATGCGGCCAAGGGGCCAGGCACCCGCGTCTGGGCGGTTCACGGATCTTGTGCCAGCGCTGCTGATACTTCAGCAGGCTATTCACCCACCAACTATCGTCGGTGAAGTTGGATCCAAAGAGGGCGGCGCTCCTCGGCCACACCGACACCACAAGAACCATTTCGACAGGGCTCGACAGGGTCCAAGCCCATCCCTAGGGGTTCCATTTGCGTTTTTTTTTCTATATGTTTCATTATCATTGCCCCAAAAAGACGCCCAAAAACCATCAGAACCCCAAGGGGTGTCGCGGGCGTGTCCCAGCTTTGAATCGGGCTTGGTCCTCACCACTTACCCCGCAGTGTCCGAGCCACGCAGACCCGAAGATGTCCATCTTGGGATGTCCCTCCTGCAGGACTCGCCTCAGACCCATGCCGCTGCCCGTCTGCTGCATTCCGTCGTTCCGCGGCCTCGGCTGGAAGGATGGTGACCCCACAATTCTGCAATTCGTTCATTGGTGAAGTGATGCTTTTCTAAGGCGCCAGCTCACTTCTCCAGAGTGAGGAAATCGACAAGAAAGACTTCTCGGGCTTGGCCTTGGCCTGCGACAGTTGAGCTTTGGTCCATTGGTTTGTGGTGGTACCATGTGGTACCTATTCCTCAGTCATCCACCAGATTAGACCTTGGACTTCACTGACCCTTCCGGCCTCCTCTTCAGCATGGACTTCGCCTCAGCATCTGGCCAACACTGTCCGACACCGTCAGACATAATCTTCCAAGAACAATGTACTTCCCGAACCCCCTTGGACGTTGCCCTTGGCAACGATGCTGAAAACAGTCGGTTCATGCATTTTCGGGAGTTAATGTCCCAAGATGTCTGATTCAGACGTGGTGCGTGCCTCAATACTACCAACCACACACGGAATTTTCACACGGAACCCCCAAAATCTTATGCTGGAAGAAGATCTTCCTAAACTTCCTGCAATTTCCTACCTTTTCAAAATGCCATGCACCTGCACCACAAAGTCTTCCCAATCTTTCCCTCCGCAAAACCTAACAGCGATTCATCCCTTTTGATTCAGGCGTGGGAGGCGCTGTGGTCACCTCAACTTCGGAGGATGCCACAGTGCCAGTAGCGACCCCCGGAAAATATTCGCGCCAGAAGAACTGCGGAAATCGCATGGTTCAGACAACCAGTTGGATGGTTTTATGATGTTTTATGCCCTTCCCATCAGGTGCGGACTGCAAGGATGTTGATATGATGATGTTTTCACTGTTCCAGGCGTGATTTTTTTCTGGGCTCAGGAAGACGTGGAATCACTGACCACAGCATCATCCTTTGGATGCTCGGGTCGCAGGGGTGTGCTCGCCGGCGAGCTCTCCGTCGGGTCCGTGGGATCTGTGGGATCGGTCTGCGGATCGGTGGCTGGATCTGCCATGAGATCCGTGATGCCCAGAACGTCACGAAAGGCCAGGGACCATTTGGTATATGACCTACGGGTGCTGCGCCGCGCTGGGATACAACGGAAATCACTGTCAATATCTGTCAATTGACACTCACAAAGGATTTTGTTCTGGCCCCATAGCTTCCCCAATAAAACCATACTACACTATACCCTTCGATCATCTTCAATCACTTCAAGATGTTAACTTCCCAGGCACGCTTTGTCCGGGCACTTGATGGCCAACGAGCTCTCAGTTGCCTCCACCATCCCACTGAAGACTCCCGAGATCATCAGCGACAAGTTCTCCTCGTCCATAGTCACCGGTGGCACTGGGCCAGTGGTTTTCAGGTCCACGGCCACCAGCTCCCAGTTGGCATCCTTGGTTGGGCTGATCCTCTGCTCAAAAGTCAAACCTCTCACGGGAGATCTCTCACAAATCCAGCCAAAACATTGCCCTACAAAGAAAATCCGGGAAAATCACTCAAACAAAGTCAGTGTCTTCATTTAAACCCATGTGACCCCATCAAAAAACATCAAAAAACAGCTACAATTTCCACTCAACCCCATTACCTATATCCAGGTCACCGGTTCCTCAAAGATTTCCAGCACCGCGTTGCTGGGCCGGGCCGTCAGCAGCACGAAGCGCGGCACCGGGCGCGCTTGGTCCAGCGAGACGCCCACGACCCCGGCGGTCAGCGCCTGCGTGACGCGGCCCACGCAACGGGCGAAGGCGTCTTCCAGGACATGCAGACGCGAGACCAGCTGCTTCTGCTCGGATTCTGTCTGTTTGAACCTGGGGATGTGCAAAAACTGAAAGGACGAGGATAATAGATAGAGGGACTTGATTTAAGCATCAACAATGGGGATTCAATGGGATTTCATGGGTTTTAATGGGATTGAATTTGGATTTAATGAGGGATAATGAAGCTATACTGTATACGGTATAATGGGATTTGATGGGGATATCATGTGATATGTAACCAAACATAGCTATTTGGATGTGTCTGAAAATGAAGGAGCTAACCGATCAACAGCTTAAATGGGATATAGAACCAACCACGATGTTTTAGGGAACGGGGGATGTGGTTGGGGTGATCATGGAAAAACCGTGGTATGTTGGCGTTACCGTTCGAGCCGGAAGGCATAGAAAAAACATGCTGTTTTGGCACAATGTTTTCTAACATGTCAAGTGGATTTCCCACCAAAAAATCACCCAAAAAGATGGCTCAGCAAAGGGGTGTTCCACTTGCTTCTGGCGATGCTGGCATCAGTCAGGAGCCGCTCACGTTGGCCATCGCGCACTTTGGCTTCTTCCTCCAACTTGCGGACGTATTGGCTCAGAAGTTTGATCTCCTTTTCCTTCACCTCCATCTTCAACTTCAACTCCTTCACCTGGCTCTCGGTCATCAATCATCATGTCTTATCGCCACCAACATGGTGTACCCATGCGTGGCCGCAAAATGGGATGGGTGTACCCGTGAAGCATATAGAGAGAGAGAGAGAAAGAGTGAAACTATATAGCTCAAATCCGCAGTCTGCATGGTTTGAAATGTTCTTTGCACACATCCCCTCAAAATAACTTGCGGCCTAAACAGGATACCAAGAAGGATGTGAATTGCATGTGGCACCTCTCGGCCACGAAGTTCACTTTCCTTCTGGGCAGTCTGGTAGCGATCCTTCCAAAGTCCGCCCTCGGCCGGTGACAGCAGCGCTTTCCTCATTGGGACAAGCAACCAGTGGCAACGTCAATTTTGGAAACCCTTGGACAATGCTGGGGGGGTTGACATGTTCGTCACCATACAAGCACCACATGTTTTTCTCTGGCTGCCGAGGTTAAAGAATCTCATTAGAATCAACAGCAAAAATGATGAAGCACTGCCAAGCTTCTCCAATGCCTCTTGCGTTTCTCTGAGTTTCGCCTGCAGTTCCTCAATGGCACAGTCCCGTTGCACCAGCTCATGGTCCAACTCCGCCACATGCGCCCGTAACGCCGAAAGCTCCTCCGGCGAAGCTGCCATTTTGGGCGAACTCATGGGCGAAGCTTCGAGGTCCAGGGGCCGGCCAGCAGCCCCTAGCGCCGTGGGGCTGGCCACGCTGCGCGCGCTGGGCATGTAGGGACTGAAGGGCGCCGCCTCAGGCGACGCCTCGCCCTTCAAGGCCCGCAGCTGCGCGGCGATGAGTGCCTGCTCGGCGCGGGCTTCCGCCATCAGCTCCGGCACCGAGGAAGCCATGGCAACTGGGGGAGATGAGCCGGGTCCAAGGGGAAGAAGAGTCGAAGAGGGATGGAAAAAAAAACAATTCCTCCTGCAGGATTTGGCCCACCCTTTGGTTGATAGCGAACCCCCGCCCTTTGGTTGATATCTGGATGACATCTGCGACCAAGGTGTGAACAACCAGCGCCGGTTGTTGGCCCCTGGTAGCTGTACCTTGATCCGAAAAGCCATGATATATAAGAGTATCATAGGTTTCTCTCTTTGTTAGTCTAGCCTTGGCCAGCTGATTGAGTGAGAGAATACAATTTTCCTTCACAAATAGGTCTGACATCTCCATCCATGTCCATCATGAATGTCAACTACGATGGTCTTGACACACCTATTGCCTATTACGGTTACGGCTAGTGACTAGTGCGGTAAGAACAGCGCATCTAGTTCCTAAAACTATATTGGTTAGAACTGGAAATTCTGCCAACCAAGGCCAAAAAAACGGTCTCAATGCCCAAACAGATGTTTCCATCATTTCCATGACCAGGGCTAAGGTCAAGAAACCACCAACCTTTCCAGCAACTCATCCGCAAAGCCAGGCTACATGCAGCAGAAAAGCCGAAATCTGAGTTGGACTGTTGCGCCTGTCACAACAGTGCCCTCTGGGGCCAAGTCACACATGCGACAGGAAAATTCAGCCCCTGCCATGATACTTCTTGAAGCCTCATTAGTGCCCCTTCCATCACCTCCAAATGGGCCGTAGTCACAAAAAATATATTGTCACCAGCCATCCAGCCATCAATGCTGAACCACATGTGCCATGGGTACGGCTCAACCCTGGTGCCCGTGCTTCATGCTGCCAATAACTACCACCTAGTTGGATATTTTGCATATAACATATATATATGTGTGTGTGTGCGTGTGTGTGTGTGTAAATATACATATATATATATATATATATACATGTGTGTGTGTGTGTTAGATAAGCATTATGTTGTATAATGCGTTCGCTTTTGGCTAAAGATAACCCATCAGCCAAACCTAAGAAAAATCAAAAAATATGTTACAGGTTTGTCGTAAAATAAGCTACTTATGGCTAGCCCACTCCATCCCGTAGTTCGTTGAACCTCACTTTCCCCATTCACATAGCATCTTAGTGATAAACCTTCATATTTGCACAAAAGCATCTCATCTGGTTGCTTGCCAAAAAGTGTAGAAATTTTCGAGGGGGAGAGAAACATATGCCGCATATGTCATATCCTATCATATCATGTCATAATTATATCATATCGATTCATATCGTATATCCCAGTCCCATGACACCCATTCTGGTGGCCCACGAGAAACCTCTTTGATCCCCTCCCGGCGCCGCTCCTGACGCTTTTCCGCTTCCAAGGCTCTACACCGCAGCTGCCATTCGGCCAGCTCCGTCTCGTGCCTGGAGCAAGTTCGACTGTGAATCTTCATACGGATGTGCCGGTAAGTAGTAAACATTACTATAATAGAATATAAAGGTCACATTATAGTGTGTGTGTGTATACATATATATATAGTATATATAATTTATAGTTATATTTACCATTAAATACCATAACTATGTGCAAACACTTATAAACATGTGCAAATATGTGTGGGGCTGTCATGTCGTACTGCCAGTTGCCTGACCTGCTTCTTGGTTTGTTTTTGGCTATCGAACAGTTCGATATCCAGCGAGCCCCAGATGCACTGGGGCTAAATAATACTCGAGTAACTTGGTGAACTGCAGATTTGGAGTATCTGCAGAAATGCAAATCCTCAAAAAAATCGATATGTTCCATGAAATATACAACAAACATCTCCAAAATGCTCGGGAATTCTCAGCCCACATGGCCCCTTTGCGGCCGCCTGGCGGCCAATTTGTTGAGGAGCTGCTTGATGTTCTCCACTTCCGCCATGGCGGATCTTGGCAAAGTCGGTTTTTTTCTGCAGCTGTTCAGCTGTGGCAAATCCATTGAGAAAAAAATTGAAGAGTTAATTTACCCCAAAGTGTAGCATGTGCATGCTCCAAAAAAACAACTTGGTGTTTAGCGTTGGATTTGACAGTTTAACACCGCACGCGTGCCATGATTGTGGAGTCAAAGCCATTCAACCCGTGCGTGCTGAGCGAAGCAGACGCAAGTTGCTGAGCCGGGAACATGTCGACGCTGGCTGTGTTACTCTGAACTTCAACAGATGTTTTTGAACCACGGAAGGAACTCGGTCGTGCTCCGTCAATGATTTAGATTTGATTAATTGGGTACCTGCAACCAGGAAAACGCGTGTGTTGTCTTCTATCAATCTGGGATGCCATTCCCTAATTTGCCAAAGGGTAAATAATATTTGCCTCAACAAGCAGGTTTCAAAGTGTTCAACCTTGATCCCTGAGAATGGTGGAGTTACCATCCAAGGACGGCTTTTCCGGAGCCCATTTTGTGCTGCATGCAACATAGTCGATGGAGGGGACCGGCATAGATCTCTTAGAGATCTATTTTTAGCCGCTCTAGATGGGCACATTGTCCCAGTGTTTCCAAAATGGTTCCAATTTGTTCTGAGCCTCCTGATTTTTCAGGACTTCGCTCCAAAGCAAATGTCGTCCAGGCAACCCCTAAACTGTCCAAACTCCCAACCTAAATCGAGCAGTTCTTTCTGTTTTTGATTTTCAAGATCTTTACGATCGTTAAGATCTTCCCGGAGGATTCTTGGACGATTCTGATGGATTCACCATGCAGATGAGATGGTGAAGTTTTGACCCACTTTTTCTTACAATTTCAGCTGTGTTTTCACCATGACCTCAGGCCTTGTGCTTGGACTTCTCCGGGTCATGCGGCTGGTGCTGTGGCTGATGCGGCTGCGGCTGCGGTTGCTCGCCTCGTGAATCGTCTCGGAACTCGGGGCCTGTGGGTCACAGCTCGTTGTGGATGCACATCTCCCCCTATACCCTCTGGTAAACATGTAACATAGCTATGGAAAATCACAATTTTTAATGGGAAATCAACTATAAATGGCCATTTTCAATAGCTATGTTAAATTACCAGAAGGTAATTTACTATGTCAATGTGTGATCTTTTGACAGCTTGTGGCAGAGTTGTGGCAGGTTTTTGACACATCCCCCGAAGTTTCGCCAGTTTTCGCCAAGAATATGACGTTTTCGCTTGAAAAACAATTCGCAAAACACTTGTTTTTGTTCAAATAGCCACCAGCAGAGGTTTCTGGAATTGAGAAGTCCTTCATGCCCCAGGGCCTCCACCAGCAAGGGCCAGAAGTTGTCCTCCCATCGCCTTAGTGTCTCCGCCACGCGCTCGATGGACATGAGCTGCTTCTGGATGTCTAGGGTGCCTCGGTTGCTCCAACTTGTTTTTAAAGCCACCAGTCGGGTGGTTTGTTTTGGTCATTTTACCCTCTGGTAATTTAACATAGCTATTGAAAATTGCCATTTATAATGGATTTACCCATTAAAAATTGTGATTTTCCATAGTTATGTTAAATTACCAGAGGGTACCCCCTTGTACCTAGGGTGTTTGGAGAAACCTAACGGTAAGCAAAGGGTATACGGTGATGCTGGTGATGGTGGTGCTGATGATGCACAAAAATTGACTCTCTCTCACTTTTTCTCCATCGCTTCAGAGCGGATCTGCCTCAGCCTTGCTGAGGGGCGAGACAAATTGTTGACTAGTACAAGACAATATTGATAAACTATGATTACTAATTTAGATGGTTTAAATGTTGATGATCGCTGTCAATGTGTGATCATACATGCCTTATTTTGATGATGATGATGATGATGATGATGATGACGATGACGATGACGATGACGATGACGATGTAGCCTCTATACCTCATTGTCAAGGAGCTCGCTTGGCCTTTCACAGCCATGCAAGTGTCCACAAAATGGGCGATTTCCAGTTCTCCGTCTTGACCTCTGCACTGATGAGCTGCTCACCGTGGGGACCAGTCGGGTTTTGGGGCCACGCCGTATAAGTGCCACCCAGCAGCTGTCACTACTCATGGTGTATCTTTGTGTTTATGTTTCTTCATATCCTGAACCGGCTTCCATGAAGCAGCTGCGCCTGCGACCAGCTTCCACAGCAACTCCGCATCATTGACCTCTATACCGAGACTGCGCATGAAGGTGATGATGTTGTAGTCCATCATGCCTCGGACACCGAAGCGGACACCGAAGAAGAACTCCTCGAAACAGGATTTTGCTGACCATGCCGGTTCATGTCCAGCTGTGGCAATGCGACCTGTGCAGAACCTCTAGACAATGCCAATCTCGCACTCTTTATCCAATGATTTTGAGAGAAGCTGGGGATCAAGGATGCTACAAGTATGTCTATCCTGGCACAGCTCCCTGATGTTTCTGGGTATGTTTCCCACAAGCTATTGAGTCTAGAAACCCTCTCATGGCTTGATGGTTACGTTTTCCGCCATGTCCGAAAACCCTCTCCTGGATTGGTTATGGCATATTATTTATTTATTTGTTTATTTATTTATCTATTTATATATATATTGCACATGAGAATGTCCAACCAAATTTGTAGTAGAACTGCATCGCAAACAAATCAGCGTGCCTCCACGATATCGCCACGTTCCCAGCTTGAATCCCCATGTCTGCCGGCTGATATGTGTATATATATATATATATGTGTGTGTGTGTATGTGTGATTATGATTTATTATGTTTATATACGTCACATCAAATATATGTATATATATATATATACAAATATACATTTAACAAATCTTATGATATATATATAATTTTGTGTGTGTGTGTCCATATTCTTTCACACAAACGTGCACCGGCGTCAACCTCTGACTGGCTGCAGGACATGAACTCATCGAAGGAGATGGCACCAGAGTGATCCTGAACATCGGATGCGATGAGGACACTTTTGCGTGTTCACCTGGTGTTCACCCTGGAAAATTGTTGCTGTTCCCTTGCTCCTAGAAAGTGTTTGTTGACTGCGGGACTAACTTATTGATCCTTATTGAAATCAGATCGCCTGCATAGTCAAAATCATTGTGGCACTTTCTCTTATGGATGCTTTCACATCAATAAAGAATCGATCTTGAATGGTCTTGATCCGAAGAAGTAAACCCTTGGCTTTCTCACCTCCTAAACAATGTAGTATCGTTAATCGTATCCACACCATTGGATACAATCCCTCGCCACAGGCTGGACATCCCACCAATCGACCCAAAGGATAGCCCGATTGCCAAGTTGGCCAAGTTGGCCAAGTGTCCAGATCGATTTTGTAGAACAACTCTCGCAGTTCCTCCGCCTGTTCCACCAACTTCTTGCGCTCGTGAAGGATTCGATACTCCCGCTCCGGTTTCGCACCCTCCACGGCCTGCGCCAAGTCTTGGGCTGCTGCATGGTATCAATATGGTGGAAGTTTTTCTTTGTGGAACATGCATATGTGTGTAAAGGTGAGAATCCGAACCAACCATATGTCAATTTCCATGAAATTTCGAAACACCAATTCTGAGGACTAAGGCTGCGACTTTCTCCACGAACAGGGCCGTCAATATATTGACCAAAGCAAAGGTGAAGAGAAATGTGTAGGACAACCACAGCCAGGGGTAGACGAAACCCGTTCCTGAACTTTCCATTAGACTCATTCAACTAAAACGAGACTGGCAATGAATCAACATCCTGGTCCAGCACAATTCATCCATGCTTCCTGAGATGACCAGTTCTTTCCTCAATTTTGGCCAAGTGTCTTTCCACCAGGTCATAGTACAGGCTCCAGTCAGCACCACCTCACATGCATTCACAGGCCCCGTGGGGATCCACGGTTCCGAAAAATGTCAGCGCCATCGTGAGCCTGGCCCAAATCTCTGCCCTGCGGCCCTGCCTGTGACGCTCATGTAGAGGGAGAGCATGGTGCGCCCCACGGTTCCGAAATGTGATTTCACCACCTGGCGGTGGCGTGAAGTCTGAGGAAGGCATCCTATGGGCATCCATCACCATTAAAAAAAGGGCCTAAGGATCAGAACTAACGGTGGATGATGGGCGGAAAAAGCGTTGCAAACCTGGGATCCTACAAGTCCACCATTTCCGGGCACACGCTTTCCTGGGAAACACCGAGCCTTTTGGTTGCTCTAGTGGCAAAGGATGGAAACCCCGGCGCCCTCTTCATATCCTACGATACCTGCTCAAGTAAATGGATCTTCATCCCCATCCCATAAATAGGGGGTTAGTCTCCCAAAATCCACTGGTTTATCGTTACATGTTTGCATGTCCATTCAACATCACCATTTTGGAGGTCCATTTAAAATCATTTCAAACTAACTGCCAGGTTCTGACTGCATAGGTTCTGACTGCCAGATCTCGAAGTTCGATGGCTCGGTTCCTGTCACTCCAACCATCCTCCGCACGCCTCTTCTTCGCCCAGGAATTCCCCGTCACTGAGGCTTTCGCTGATGCCTTGAGCAAAGATCAGCGCGCCTGACGAAATGTTTAGGGTGGCCAAAAGCAGGGAATTTCATGGGGGAGAAAACCAACCACTTTTTGAATATATATGTATATATATTATATATATATATACGTGCACATGTGTGTCTGTGTGTAAAGAATATAATGTGTTCTTATTAATTCATTTGCATATTTGCATATTTACATATTTATGTCATGCATGTGTATATATAAATATTTACATTTGTATTTGTTATCTTATGTGTGTGTGTGCGTGTGTGTCTACATATTAAATAAATCATATTATAATATGTATATACAACTTTGGATAACCAAAACTTACAATCCTTTCGCCCTACTATGAATTCCCCCGCATCGAAATCCCGATTTAGTTTATATAAGTTTAGGACATGATTGGGTCTATATCATAGAGTCATTTTGGTGTCCCTTATTGGAGGTAAGACAATGTTAGGGGCACCCGGGATTCCAAAACCCCCCGCGGGGGCCGGACTGCTTATGGCCGAGATTCTGAGAAAAAGCAAGAGATAGAGCAGCAGGAAACTCCAGAGCATGGCCCACAGGCAGGAGGTAAAGCTTCTCAACATGCTGGCCAATTCCTAGCTCGGAGCTGGGTTTGAGAAGCCCCAACACGGGCCAGAACAGGCAGCTTGTGATGCGGCTCTTGCCAATGTGCCTTCAAAGAACATGCAACCAGAAATTGCAGTTGCTCGCCCAGCCATAAGCAACCAAGGCACGTGGAAGGAGGACATCACCCGAAAAATGCGAAAAGCCTTGGAGGGTCCAGGTTTTCCATGCTGAAATCCTAAAACGTTGACTGAACCCGGCTGAACCACTCAAAGCCAAAGATCCAAGCAATCTCACTGGATTGATTCAAAGGAGATGGTGCAATAACACGGGTTCCATGATCGGATGTAAAAACCATAGCCCCAAAGCACCCAGCTAATTGGATTTAAAGTTGATGTAAAGGAAAATGTTGCCGGAAACCATGTTTCTTACCACCAAATATAAGGGTGTCCGGTGTCCTGTGATTCAGACCCCACTCTCGACATTCTTAAAGCACCCACCTTGGTGACGCGGCAGAATCTGAGCGATCTCCTAGGCCCAGAGCTGAGACTGCTCCGGCTAACTTGCGGGGATACTTACCCTGAAAAATGACATTTTATGATATGTTGACTATTTTCTAGTACTACATACATCTAGATACCCAAATGCATCCAGATGCCAAAATTTGAAAAAGATTTGTCGTAGAGAATTGGTGCAAGATGAGAGGGCCAAACTCGTGGCAGCCAATCCCACCAACTCTGCATCCCGCAGCAAGGGTCATGTACATCACCGTTCCGGTCTCATCACTGCCACCATGGGAGGCTAAGTCCAATATGCTGAAGATAACCAAGACCAGGTGAAGGATATTCCTCGGCATGGGTTCAAAGTTTGCACAGAAAATATGCTCAAACCGGGATGGTGTAAAACCCACCTCGAAATGCCTAGGAAAAGCTCAATTACAGTACTCTTTCCATCTCTTTTCTTTGTGGATTTACAAGCTGGGATATAGGGAGTTACCCCATACTAGGATGAGGATGCGGATGAGGAGGAGGAGGAGGAGGAGGATGGGATGATGATGATCATGATGATGATGATGATGATGATGACGATGATGATGATGATGATGCTGATGATGATGATGATGATAATCATCATGGTGATGATGATGATGATGATGATGATCATGATGATGATGATGATGATGATCATGATGATGATGATCATGATGATCATGATGATCATGATGATCCTGATGATCCTGATGATCATGATGATCATGATGATCATGATGATCATGATGATGATGATGATGCTGATGATGATGATGATGATGATGCGGATGCGGATGATGATGATGATGATGATGATGATGATGATGATGATGATGATGATGATGATGATGATGATGATGATGATGATGATGATGATGATGATGATGCGGATGCGGATGCGGATGCGGATGCGGATGCGGATGCGGATGGATGAGTGGTGATGGTGACGGTGATGGTGAAGGTGAAGGTGAAGGTGAAGGTGACGATGATGGTGACGGTGCTGGTGACGGCGATGCTGATGGTGATGGTGATGGTGATGGTGATGGTGATGGTGATGGTGATGATTGCTATGTGTATTTTTATTCCGTTTTATGTTGTTTAATTGTTACACATAAGTTTGCCGCCATTATTGCTATGATTATTAATCTTTATGGCTTTTTATCTTGAAGAAGCATGACGATGAAGTATGATGATTAATTTTGTTGATTCTGATGATGCTTATGATGAATGATGATCATGGTGATTATGATGATTAACTATGATGATAGTGATGGCGATGGTATGGCGATGGTGAATTTCGATCATTTTAATGACACAAAACATCTGAGTGTTTTTCCTCTTTAAATCTAATGAAAATTATTGAGGCCCTTCGCATGAGATTCGGCGGGGCTTCCGCGATGCAGGCAACAGCTTCCGCAAGCAACATGTTCCCAATGACCTTCTGCGGATCTTCCGCAAAGCTTCCGCGATGTGGACCCTTGCTTCCGCGAGGGAAGAATTTCCAATCTCTGCATATCTTGACTATCGGGGGAAAATGGTACTCATCAGAGGTTCGATTGGTGCCGCCTTGTTCTTGAGCAATCCCCCAATGAGCTGATTTCCCTGACTGGTGAATCACTGCCAGAAGGCAAATGTCCAGATACCCCATGCAGCCATAACCTTCATGAGAAAACATGCTTAAAGCGGGCCATTGGCTTTTCTAGGATTCTGAATTCCGCTAGGTCCATAGGTCCACGTTCTCCCACGTTCTCCTGTGTTCTGCCATATTCTCCATCTTTTTCCACCTAGACCATCTTGAGCCGAAATTCCAGCCAGCATTTTCATTCACAAAGAAGTAGAAGCGATGAACCATGAAGTACAGGACCAACTCAACGATGTAGCAGGCCTCACAGAGCTGCAAATGCTGCGGACATCAAAAGCAAGTGATGTCAACTGCCAAAGGTGGAATGAAACAGGCCCCCAGGGCCCCCCAAGGGCAAGAGCTGGGCAAGACCTTTCTTTGCACCAAGTTTTCCAGTCGGAAAGCGAGTCGTGGCCAAGGGACCAGGCAACCCACATCCACCAAAATGTATGCCGTCGGCATGTTGTGCTCTCCTGGCCGAGACATCTTTTTAAAAAAACATAGGCAAACTTCAAATACCGCACATAGTATATGCTTAGAATCTTTAGATGCCCTGGACACTCAAAACACCTCAAGGCGTTATGAAGTTGATGCATGGTTGTCTATCGGGGTATCGATTGCTTGTATTGGCTTGTGTCCCCTATGCGGACACATGACTCTACCCTTCAGCAAACTTGGCTTGAACATCTTTGCAAGTACGGTAGCTGAAGATATGAATAAAAGGATTTTCTCTCAGGGCATACGTGCGCGAAAAGCTATTTACATCGGTTTTCACCCATTTCCCTGAAAGTTTGTCTTTAAATTCATCCAGCCAATGCAAAGAAGCTCCGCGTACTGAAGCTGTTGGGCTCAGACAGCGGTTCAACCGCTAAATGATTTTAACCACCAAAAGCCATGACTCCATGAAGAGAATTGCGTCAGGTCACGATGGGCGCGAACCAGCGCCATGATTTTGGGGTCCACACCTTTCTCTGGTTCGCGAAAACCTGTGAAGCCTCAGCCTGAGAAACCTATCTGATCCTGCCAGCACAAAATTCCATAAAAGGTCAGCAGATTGAAGCTAACTGCGCCTTGCTGGCCGTTCTGGATCATCCAATCCGCGGCCCGTGAAATGCGGGGAATTCAGGTAGACCCCCACAGATTTGTCGTTCAAAAATCCTCAAATCCAAACCAAACAAAAAGCAGCACATCCGAAACATTGTGGGAACACCATCCTGCAGCTTTCCTTTTGTTGCACATCTTTGCACACCTCTGCACTGTACCATGGGCATTGGCACCATAGCCATCCAGTTCCAAGGGTCAGTCATGAGGGTCACCACTGCAGTGTTGATCACGATGGCCAGCCAGGTAATGGCCCTGGAGGGTCAAGCCCGTCCCATCTGGGAATGGCAATTAGGATGTTCCATGGCTTTGTTTCATCACCAGGGGAAGTCCAAATTTTCAGGGCTGCAACTGTCCCACCGGGGGAAGAGAACAACGTCTCCGTGAACAATGATACTCCCAAATGGTCAAATGAAATACTTAGAAATATCTACTTAAATCAAACTAAAATCCAGATACATCCAGATACCAACCACTTTATTTGTGTTGTTCATATCTCAAATCGTTAATCCCTCTCGTAGAAACCCTATATTTTCCCATCATCAAACAATCACCATCAAAAACCATATGACTCCATCACAAACCTGAAAAATCTGAAATCCCTTTTGTTTTACCATCTGGTAATTTAACATAGCTATTGAAAATGGCCATTTATAGTGGATTTCCCATTAAAAATGGTGATTTTCCATAGTTATGTTAGTTTACCAGAGGGTAACTTTCACATCATCCTCATCAAACCATATTTTCACTTATTTTTTTTCCGCCTAAAAGGCTTGGACTCGATGATGTTGTAGAGACAGCCGGAGCGCGTGGGTTCCTTCAGCTCCGTCCACCAGAGCACGAAGCGCATGTAGCTCCGACTCAGCATGGCGTCTAGGTCGAAGCAGCTCACGGCGGCACTGATGGCACCCCCAAGGGGGATGTTCCTGTGGATGTGGGCCGAAAGCGACGAATTTTCTGGGGGGTTGAATCGGGTTTTCTTGGGAAAATGGAGATGACACCCTGGATTTTGGAACCCTGGATTTAGGTGGATGTGCTTTTTGTTTTATCCAGAATCCATCAAATATGTGTTGAAACCAAAGAGAACTTGACTGGAAAGAACACCTAAATGGGGAAAACATGGGAAAACTGCTCTTTTAGATGGAAACAGCATCTTTTGCCTGTTGATCTCCCACCTCCCGGATTGTTGCAAGTAAGTTGACCAAACAGAATGTGTTCATAACGTGTTATAGCCAGTCATTGGTTTCCACCCACCCTCAGCTTTGACTTTCAACCCATGACATTGTTTTTTTTTGGGAAGTTCGGACACGACGCATCCAAAATTTGAGAATGCTCCAACCCATGCCTCCTCCTTCCCCATCCAAATTCAACAAATTTCAACACATCATCGTGGATTCTGTGGGTCCCACTTTCTTACCCTCAGAAAATGCGCATCTGAGTCTCTGCTTCTGAGACTTTGGCTTATCCAGCAGGTCTGGCATGATGGTGGCCCACGGCATTGCACTCTTCTGCGTTCGTATGCTGTTGCTGGGCTTGGCCGGGCTTGGGCTCGCGATGATCTGGGAGGTCTGAGTCCCAGAATGAGCCATGGATGGGTTTTGGCTGGAAGTTGGCTGCCGCCGAAATGTAATCCCTTTCGCCTGGGGGTATTGAAATCAGCGGGAAGCCGTTTGGGAAAACACCACAGGTACTGTATTTGAAAGCTGCCCTTCTCTTAATTCTCTTATGCCTGAAAAATCCTGAAAATGTCTGGAAAACACCGAAGCCCGAAGCTGTGTTCGGTCGCCGCCTGCAAGGGCCTCTGAACCTTCTCGTCCGGGTCTTCGAAGGTGTGGCATCGTGCCAGGAGTTTTGCCATGTCAGCCTCATACCTGAAGTCATCCCATCCCTCTACATTTACCATCTGGTTATGACTAACATAGCCATGGTATAGATGGCCCATAGAAATAGATGGTGTACCGTTCTTAAAAATTGTGATTTTCCATGGCTATGTTAAACAACCAGAGAGTAACAGTTGAGGGGCCCTTGATGATACCACATCAATCCCTTGATGGCGAAAATGAATGAAAATGATGATAAACCACTGGGATCCTGTCCTAAACCTACTCCATGAAGGGTTTCTGGTACCAGTTTCCTGGTGCAAGGCACCCTTCTGTGGGGAACCCAGGGGTCCTATATGCATGGCAGGTACCTGAAAGTCAACATCCCCAGAAAATGCGCACAAAACATGTTTCAGTGGAAACCCATCTTCAAATCTAACCCATCTTCGGAGTTCATCTCCCGGAGTTGGGTGTGGGTTTCTTATCTGATCAGTTTTCCATGGTTTTCCTTTGATCACCAGCCCAGTGGTTGTGGATACTGATAGTTCTTGCTGGTTGTCATCCCATGCTGTTGGTCGAAGGTTTGAAAATCTTCCGCTTCAAGTCCACAAATTTGGAGAAAGTTCCACTCAATGTGCATCCCAGGTATAGTACGTTGTCAAAATATCTTTCAAGAGAAGGCAACCACTATCTACAATTGGAGTCGGTCCCATTTATGGGTCAGCTATGCAACGATGCATATATGCATGACCACCTGCATGCCGTCTATCCAAGTAACCATCTAGGTTTGTCATCAAAATGGGTCATGTTCCTCAGAAAATACTGCCATTTGGGTGGTAAATCCAAGAAATTGTCCATCCTATTATCCATCATCCCATTGTCATGGGAATTACCACCCTAATATCCTCCCACGATCATCCCATTGTTCTCCAAATCATTGTCCCACGGAAACAGGATCATGGTTATTGCCCCATTAAAATCCATGCTTTCCATTGTTGGTTAATGGCACATATCCCACGATTATCCCATCATCCCACTATCGTCCCAAGAAAAGATCAACTTATGATTCTCCGTAAGCTATATCTATGATATTATCATAAGTTGATAATCCCATTATATTATCCCACTATTATCCGTTATATTATCCCACCTCTATCCCGCTATCCCTTTACGAAATCTCATTCTTATCCATTGTGGGATCATTAGATCGGAAATTCTCCGTGCCATCCGTATCGTAGGGAACGGGGGAATGGGATGATCATTCCACCATTGGCACCCGTTAAGCACCAGAAAAACAGCAACAATCACCATTAATCACCATTGTTGTTATTAGTACTATTATTATTATTACTATTATGATTATGTTTATTATTGTTATTATTACTATTATTATTATGTATTATTGTTATATATTATTGTTATATATTATTATTATTAATCATGATTAACCATCATTAAGCATCATCAACCATGACTTACCATTTTTTGGCTTCCAACATCACCCGGCCTGGCATTCACTTGTTCCAGCAGCTCCGCGAAGGTGCTCATGGCCCGGTCGCCCCGGGGGCCCCCAACGGCTGTGGCGTCCGTGAAAACTGGAGCCGAGGACACGGCAACGAGGCAATGGTATGGGCCCTGCCAAGACCCACATGGAACTGGTGGAATTCCCAAAGATTCACGGTGAAAGCGTGGAATGCATGTTGAATCACTTGAAAGGATCAGGTTTTACATTGTTTTACCATGGAAAAAATCATCTTCCTGGGTCTTAGGTCTGTGGTTCTATGTTAGTTTTAAGGACTGCAGTTCACCCCTGACAGCTGGTGCACGTTGAATTGTGGCTGAATATCACACGTACATATGAAACACCCCTCCGGTGAAAAAGAGCGACGGCGAACCAGGCAGCCTTAGGATATTGTGTATATATAATATATACAGTACATAGTTAAATATACATATATATATATATATGTATATATACCCACATGCATACATACATCTATATATGTGTGTATATAGAAACCCTTCCCCTGACATCAAATACCCCACATACCCCACAAACGAGGTCCCACATATGGGACTGTTGGATATTTGGATCATGGCGTCCTGCGACTCGCCCCAAACGAGAAGGTCAAAGATGTTGAGCCCTTGGGTGATGTCCTGCACACTGAACCCCCGCTGCATTGGATTCGGAAAAATGTCTGGAACCTCTCCTGGGCAAATCGGAAAAATGTCTGGAACCCCTGGGAGACTGGGCAAAACCTGATGAAATAATTCCCAGATGGTCTTTTTGTTCCTTCTAAAAGTGAAAAACACTGCAAGTTTTGGATCACTCATTCTGCTTAAATCACCAGTTTCATAACATACAGTTTAAATCCCTTTGGCTAGTGACTTTGGCCAGTGAGGAGCCACCTTGGATCCACACTTCTCAACTCCCAGTGGGCCCACCTTATCGTCACGGTCCAGCCAAAAGGAACAAAGGCGATATTGGACGTCCTGTTTGTAGTACTTCCGCTTCACCTCAGGTGGCCCTGCCCTTACAGCGCTAAGATGACGGAGCATCCGCTGAAGGAATTAAACCAAAAAAGAAGGTCAGCTAGTCAGCAATTTTGGAACTCCATATCAGCCTGCAGCCACGACACGCCAATCTCACCTCGGACAACAATTTTCACCAAGGAAGATCACCAAAAACAGAAAGAACATCTAGAACGAAAATAGAACCATGAAACTCTGTCAAAACGCCATTTGTTCTCGAGAACTTGCAGGAATAAACAAAAAACACAATCTGAAAATAACTAAAATCAGTTCTTGGGTCACCCGAACATCCTCAAACAGCTGTCCCTTCAATCTCTGCCATTGGGCTCTCGTATCGTGCCACCTCTTCGGGCTTCCGATCTGCCAGTGCCACGATCAATCTGGCCAGTTTCAAGCGAAAATCCTCGGGATGGGACGACGGTGCCACGCCGACTCCGAGTGACTCCCAGGACACCTGGAGATCGGGGCCCAAAAAAAACTGCGACCTAAAAATCCTAAAGAGCTGCCAGGCAGCTTGAGGCAGGGACATGACCTGACCAAAATCGATGAGACCCAAGGTTTGTCCATCTTCCAGCAGCAAAATATTTCCAGGGTGTGGATCCGCATTGAAGCACCCGTCCTGGGCTCCGTGAGGCCATGGGGCCTGACATACATATTTCATGTGTTGTCAATGTGCAGCACCTGAATTTTTCGTGGAACCCAACAAGGGCCATATCTAGCAAAATCATCTTCAGGACACCCGTTTTCAGATTAACTTTCTAAGTTCATGATACATAGGGTGCAAAGGGACCAAGGGAATGGAACAGAATCACCCTCCCCCCGCGGGGTTGCGAAGTCTGCCCGAAACATGGCGACGCATTGGCCGAAGAACGATGAGAATCTGCTGCCCGTGGATGGCCATCAACATCTCGAAAATACCACCCACCTTAGGGGATTTCCCAGGGGAACCAAAGGGGAACCCCGTGGCATTCAACAAACACGAGCTACCCATCTATGTCACATGCCTTGTGGTCCACCAAGTACCCCATTCTATGTGGCCAACTGCCCTCCCTGTGCTTCCGCGCCACATCGATGGGTTCCAGCTCGCTGCTTCCGAAACGAAAGATCCTGCGGTACCAGCGCCACATGAGCATCTTCCAGTGGAGCCAGGAGGCCTGAGACCATCACCGGTACCCTTTTGGGTGGAACACCTATAACTGGACTCTATGGGGATATCACTGAACTACTGTACGTTTGCTGTGTTATATATATATATATGTGTGTGTGTATACATATGAATATATATATATATATATATTTATCAATATATGTAATATATAGAGCACACGTAAATTACAAGTAGACGACATATATTGAAAGAAAAATCAATCGCTGACTTGAGGGATGATCCCTGTATACCCCTGGCCTCCTCTGCTTTCTTTTTGCCACTTCTCAAAGCCTCCACTTGCTCCTTGCGGGCACAAAGCTGCTGCAACATGGTCACGGTCACGAGGGTCTCAAAACTCTGGAAATGGCTGGTTAATGATAAAATGGCAAAATATTGGTCATGTCTGTAGACCTGTACGGCTTACAACTAACAATGGCTTGTTTTAAGGGACAATCCGTAGGAAACCTTCAAGTTCTTCTGGGAAACTGAGGGTCAATTCTTTCGGAGAATCAGTTGGCTTCGGAGACTCAAGGGCCTCACCATGGAATTCGCTCGCAGGATATTGGTTCAAAGAACTTCATACAACACCACTGTCCAACACATGAAGGAATCATCCCGTGGGACTGAAGCGAAAAGGAACATGAAGAAAACATACCTTCGATGGCCAGCAATATGGAAATCATCATTACACTACAGTAAATCGAAAAAATTCCCACGTTTTCTGCTTTTGTTTGGCATTTCATAGCATTTCCCTGTCGCCTTCCCTGTCACCTTCCCTGTCACGGCCTGCTCGTATTCTTCCACTGTCTTGCCCTCGCGATCTGCCAATGGCTTCAGCCGCCGCCGGACGGCACAGATGAACCTTGGGCAGAAAGCCTGGAATCCGATGGGCCATCAGCATGGGAAGCTGAAATACTAGTGATTCATAGTGATTAATAGTGATTAACAGTGATTAATAGTGATTAATAGTGATTAACAGTGATTAATAGTGATTAACAGTGATTAATAGTGATTAATAGTGATTAATAGTGATTAATAGTGATTAATAGTGATTAATAGTGATTAATAGTGATTAATAGTGATTAATAGATGTTAATAGTGATTAATAGTGATTAATGGATGTAAATAGTGATTAATAGTGATTAACAGTGATTAATAGTGATTAATAGTGATTAACAGTGATTAATAGTGATTCACAGTGATTAATAGTGATTAATAGTGATTAATAGTGATTAATAGTGATTAATAGTGATTAATAGATGTTAATAATGATTAATAGTGATTAATGGATGTAAATAGTGATTAACAGTGATTAATAGTGATTAATAGTGATCAATAGTGATTAACAGTGATTAATAGTGATTAATAGTGATTAATAGATGTTAATAGTGATTAATAGTGATTCATGGATGTAAATAGTGATTAACAGTGATTAATAGTGGTTAATAGTGGTTAATGTGGTTAATAGATGTTAATAGTGATTAATAGTGATTAATAGTAGTGATTAACAGTGATTAATAGTGATTAATAGTGATTAATAGTGGTTAATTAATAGATGTTAATAGTTAATAGTGATTAATGGATGTAAATAGTGATTAACAGTGATTAATAGTGATTAATAGTGATTAATAGTGATTAATAGTGATTAACAGTGATTAATAGTGATTAATAGTGATTAATAGTGATTAATAGTGATTAATAGTGATTAATAGTGGTTAATAGATGTTAATAGTGATTAATAGTGATTAATAGTGATTAATAGTGGTTGATAGATGTTAATAGTGATTAATAGTGATTAATAGTGATTAATAGTGGTTAATAGTGGTTAATAGTGATTAATAGTGATTAATAGTGGTTAATAGTGGTTCATAGTGGTTAATAGTGGTTAATAGTGATTAATAGTGATTAATAGTGATTAATAGTGGTTAATAGATGTTAATAGTGATTAATGGATGCAAATAGTGATTAACAGTGATTAATAGTGGTTAATAGTGATTAATAGTGATTAATAGTGGTTAATAGATGTTAATAGTGATTAATAGTGATTAATAGTGATTAATAGTGATTAATAGTGATTAACAGTGATTAATAGTGATTAATGGATGTCATAGTGATTAATAGTGATTAATAGTGATTAATAGTGATTAATAGTGATTAATAGTGATTAATGGATTAATAGTGATTAACAGTGATTAATAGTGATTAATAGTGAGTTAATAGTGATTAATAGTGATTAATAGTGATTAATAGTGATTAATAGTGATTAATAGTGATTAATAGTGGTTAATAGATGTTAATAGTGATTAATAGTGATTAATGGATGTAAATAGTGATTAACAGTGATTAATAGTGATTAATAGTGATTAATAGTGATTAATAGTGATTAATAGTGATTATTAGTGGTTAATAGTGATTAATAGATGTTAATAGTGATTAATAGTGATTACTGGATGTAAATAGTGATTAACAGTGATTAATAGTGATTAATAGTGATTAATAGCGATTAATAGCGATTAATAGTGATTAATAGTGGTTAATAGTGGTTAATAGATGTTAATAGTGATTAATAGTGATTAGTGGATGTAAATATTGATTAACAGTGATTAATAGTGATTAATAGTGATTAATAGTGATTAATAGTGATTAATAGTGATTTATAGTGATTAATAGTGGTTAATAGATGTTAATAGTGATTAATAGTGATTAATGGATGTAAATAGTGATTAACAGTGATCAATAGTGATTAATAGTGATCAATAGTGATTAATAGTGATTAATAGTGATTGATAGTGATTAATAGTGGTTAATAGTGGTTAATAGTGGTTAATAGATGTTAATAGTGATTAATAGTGGTTAATAGTGATTAATAGTGATTAATAGTGATTATTAGTGGCTAATAGTGGTTAATAGTGGTTAATAGTGGTTAATAGTGATTAATAGTGATTAATAGTGATTAATAGTGATTAATAGTGGTTAATAGATGTTAATAGTGGTTAGTAGTGGTTAATAGTGATTAATAGATGTTAATAGTGATTAATAGTGATTAATAGTGATTAATAGTGATTAATAGTGATTAATAGTGATTAATAGTGGTTAATAGTGATTAATAGTGATTAATAGTGGTTAATAGTGGTTAATAGATGTTAATAGTGATTAATAGTGATTAATAGTGATTAATAGTGATTAATAGTGATTAAAAGTGATTAATAGTGATTAATAGTGATTAATAGTGGTTAATAGTGGTTAATAGATGTTAATAGTGATTAATAGATGTTAATAGTGATTAATAGTGATTAATAGTGATTAATAGTGGTTAATAGTGGTTAATAGTGGTTAACAGTGATTAATAGTGATTAATAGTGATTAATAGTGATTAATAGTGATTAATAGTGATTAATAGTGGTTAATAGTGGTTAATAGTGGTTAATAGATGTTAATAGTGATTCATAGTGATTAATAGTGATTAATAGTGATTAATAGTGATTAATAGTGGTTAATAGATGTTAATAGTGATTAATAGTGATTAATAGTGATTAATAGTGATTAATAGTGATTAATAGTGATTAATAGTGATTAATAGTGGTTAATAGTGGTTAATAGTGGTTAATAAGATTTAATAGTGATTAATAGTGATTTAATAGTGATTAATAGTGATTAATAGTGATTATAGTGATAATAGTGATTTCATAGTGATTAATAGTGGTTAATAGTTGGTAATAGATGTTAATAGTGATTTAATAGTGATTAATGTGAAGTTAATAGTGATGACATAGTGATTAATAGTGATTAATAGTGATTAATAGTGAGTAATAGTGATTAATTAGTGTTATAGTGGTTAATAGTGGTTAATAAAGGGTTAATAGTGATTAAAGGATTATTAATAGTGATTAAGAGGATTAATCGTGATTAATAGTGGTTAACAGTGATATAGTGATTAATAGTGATTAATAGTGATTAATAGTATTATTTGATTTATTAATAGTGGTTATAGATGTTAATCGTTGATTATAGGTGTTAATAGTGGTTAATTAATAGTGATTAATTAAATGTGATAATAGGATTAATAGTGATTAATAGTGATTAGTTTAATAGTGATTAATAGTGATTAATAGTGATTAATAGTGGTTAATAGTGATTAATAGTGGTTAATAGTGATTAATAGTGGTTAATAGATGTTAATAGTGATTAATAGTGATTAACAGTGATTAATAGTGATTAATAGTGATTAATAGTGATTAATAGTGGTTAATAGTGGTTAATAGTTGTTAATAGTGATTAATAGTGATTAATAGTGATTAATAGTGATTAATAGTGCTTAATAGTGGTTAATAGTGGTTAATAGTGATTAATAGTGATTAATAGTGATTAATAGTGGTTAATAGTTGTTAATAGTGATTAATAGTGATTAATAGTGATTAATAGTGATTAATAGTGCTTAATAGTGGTTAATAGTGGTTAATAGTGATTAATAGTGATTAATAGTGATTAATAGTGGTTAATAGTTGTTAATAGTGATTAATAGTGATTAATAGTGATTAATAGTGATTAATAGTGCTTAATAGTGGTTAATAGTGGTTAATAGTGATTAATAGTGATTAATAGTGATTAATAGTGGTTAATAGTTGTTAATAGTGGTTAATAGATAATAATAGTGATTAATAGTGATTAATAGTGATTAATAGTGATTAATAGTGGTTATTAGTGGTTAATAGTGGTTAATAGTGGTTAATAGTGATTAATAGTGATTAATAGTGATTAATAGTGATTAATAGTGAGTAATAGTGGTTAATAGGTGTTAATAGTGGCTAATAGTGATTAATAGTGATTAATAGTGGTTAATAGTGATTAATAATGATTAATAGATGTTAATAGTGATTAATAGTGATTAACAGTGATTAATAGTGATTAATAGTGATTAATAGTGATTAATAGTGGTTAATAGTGGTTAATAGTGATTAATAGTGATTAATAGTGGTTAATAGTGGTTAATAGTGGTTAATAGTGATTAATAGTGATTATTAGTGGTTAATAGTGATTAATAGTGATTAATAGTGATTAATAGTGATTAATAGTGGTTAATAGTGGTTAATAGATGTTAATAGTGATTAATAGTGATTAGTGGATGTAAATATTGATTAACAGTGATTAATAGTGATTAATAGTGGTTAATAGTGGTTAATAGTGGTTAATAGTGATTAATAGTGGTTAATAGTGATTAATAGTGATTAATAGTGATTAATAGTGATTAATAGTGATTAATAGTGATTAATAGTGGTTAATAGTGGTTAATAGTGATTAATAGTGATTAATAGTGATTAATAGTGGTTAATAGTGGTTAATAGTGATTAATAGTGATTAATAGTGATTAATAGTGGTTAATAGATGTTAATAGTGATTAATAGTGATTAATAGTGATTAATAGTGGTTAATAGTGGTTAATAGTGATTAATAGTGGTTAATAGTGGTTAATAGTGGTTCATAGTGGTTAATAGTGGTTAATAGATGTTAATAGTGATTAATAGTGATTAATAGTGGTTAATAGATGTCAATAGTGATTAATAGTGATTAATAGTGATTAATAGTGGTTAATAGATGTTAATAGTGGTTAATAGTGGTTAATAGTGGTTAATAGTGGTTAATAGATGTTAATAGTCATTAATAGTGGTTAATAGTGATTAATAGTGATTAATAGTGATTAATAGTGATTAATAGTGATTAATAGTGATTAATAGTGATAACAATTCCACATGCATCCAACACCAGAGGCATCTTTTTCGGATGGTGGAACCTGGTTGGGTTGACCTCAGCTGGGATCTGTGCTGCAGCTGGGTCTTCTTTGTGCATGGTTACGCACATTATACCCTCCACCACTTATGGGTGGGTGGGTGAGGAAAACAAAACAATGGGTGGATGCTTGCCAGGGCACTTGAGCCAAAATGGCACCCATGGCAAGCAATCCACCCACCAACCCCTTAGCATGCTGAATTGTTCAGCAGGAAATTCCGGGGCTCCATTTCCTTTCCCAACAATTCCACATGCATCCAACACCAGAGGCATCTTTTTCGGATGGTGGAACCTGGTTGGGTTGACCTCAGCTGGGATCTGTGCTGCAGCTGGGTCTTCTTTGTGCATGGTTACGCACATTATACCCTCTTCTGCAACTGCGCGATCTCCATGCACTTTTTGCAGACTTGTCCTCCTTCCTCCGACGCCAGGAACATGTAGTCCGACTTGTGGTAGTGCCAGCCGCACATCGTCTTCCAGGCCAGAGGTGGAGTGCAGGCGGTCATGTTCCAGTTGTGGTGCACGATCCTGCTGTCGAGCAACCTGACGAAGGGGGGAAGTCTCCCATTGTTTCGGTCGGCCCTTTTCTTCATGGACTCGATTTCAAAGTCCATGGCTTTCAAGGCGCACTGCTGGTGCTCCTGTGCCAGGGACAATTCGGAGAGGAGGTAATCTCTGACTTCCTCCACGTCTCTGGGCTTATAATTGATGGGCCCCATTTCATTGTGTTCCTTCGTGCCGTAGAGGTTCGTGATGAAGGCTCTGTTGGCATTGACCGGCAGGCTTTCTAAAGCTTCGGCCGCGTACTCGTAGATCACGTCGGACTTCCAACGCCCAAGGTAGGCCACCTGTGGGATGGCCCACCCATGCCGGATGTACCGCAGGGCCCCCGTTCTCCTGGTGGAGTGTCCGGATGTGCCCTTTCCGTAGAGCTTCTGCCACTCCTTGACAACTTGGGACTTCTTTGCCTTCGTGCCCTTGTTGGTCACGGCGGCGTGGTGTGTTTTCAAGTCCTCCATGCCGAAGACGAGAAGGGCTGACACTCGCAGTGGACACCCCGTGGAGCAATCCTTACCCTCACAGAGGCATTGCAGCATCCTGGTCATCACCAACCCTGTTTGGTCCGTCTTCGACACCGGTATGGTGAGGACCACACTACGGCTCTCCACGTCCACCTTCAGGTGATCCTTCGTCAGCAGGGCCAGCTCAATCTCGCGAAGCATCCAGATCACTCCAAACTCGAACAGTTCCCTGGCTAGCGGGACCGTCTTAGGTTTCTTCTTCGTCACTGTTGGGACAAAGGTTTTGCCCGTCTCTTGCACCGGGACTTCCTTGGCCTTCTTCTTGGGTCCCAGAGCTCTCGTTGTGGACCTTTTGCAAAGCTTCAAAGTCCTCTCGAGCTGATCGGACCATTGGTGGCCCCCTTCGATTGCCATGATCTTGAACTCTCCCAGGTATTGCGGTGCCGCGCGATAGTTGGCCTGTTTGAGCACACCCGCAAGCACTTTCAGCTTCTCCGTAGTGGGGGGTACCGGCGGCTCTCCCCTCGCCTCCTTGAGGATCTTTCCAATGGTGGCCCTCATCGCCTTCTTGGTGGCCACCGACGTCTTCGAGTTGAAGCCCTCTTCCAGCTCTGCGACGGCTGTCTTGCTCCTGCTCGCCCTTCTGGCCAGTTCCAACACGTTCACCGCCTTCCTCTTGCGGGAGACTTGCGAGGCCGGCTTGCCGTCTAGGTCGAGCTTCGGGACGGCTATCCTCTCTGTCTTGTCCTCCTTGGGTTCTTTCTTGGGGCTCCACATGTTGTATACCGACTTGCACGTCTCGGACGCCATCTTGAAGACCCTGCTCAGGGTTGGGGCAGCGCCGAAGATGCCTCCCTCTGCTGTTCTCTGGGTGTCACCCCTCTCGACGTTTGCAGGTACCATCATGCCGGGCACGAACTCCATGGGTGGCTCTCTGTCTACCAAGGTGGTTCGATGCAGCCGTCCAAAACTGCTCAGTCCTGCGCTTGGGCTCAGATGGCTGCCCATATCATTGTGAAGGGGTTGTGGCCTCGTCCTGCCGAACACTTCCCCCATTGAGACGCTTGGTCCCTCATATTGTCCTTCGTCACCATGAGCACCACGACCTCGACTTCTCCCAAAGACATCGCTCATAGTTACCCTTGACTGGTTCGCCTCGAAGGGTTCCTGCGGTTCACCAGGGTTGTCAAACCCCTGGCTGGCGCTGCTTGGTCCGCTCCTCCTTGGCTCGATTGACGTTGTCGCGGACACTCGGAGTAGTCTCGTAATAGACACCCCGGATGCATTGCTTCCCATGCCCATACCCTCCCCGCGTTGACCCTCGTGCAGGGGTCGAAAGGGCAGGTTTGCCTGCGTCTGCAGCATCTCAGACAGGCCCAAGCCAAGGCCGTCGCGTGGCAGACGAGCCCTGTCAGGGCTAGCCATTGGATGAGCAAACCCAGCGGGGTATCAGGGGGCATATTGAGCCAGTTCTGTGGGGAGAACATCAAATGACAGGATGACCTGTTGATTAAGAACCTCCTTACCTTTTGCCTTGCAGTCAAAACGATAACACAAAAGGGGGCGCAGCTATTTTTCAACCAAGCCAAGACATCCAGGGTCCCGTCGGGTCTGTATCCTCCGACTTGCCCCAAAGGTCCGGTCGGCGGCCTGGCGTCGGTAAGGGATAGAAGTCATCGTCCCTGACAACACTCGCCGAGATGGTTCCTTCGCCAACCTCGGGTGGTCTGGTGGACTTCCCCCACATCGACGGCCGGCTCAAATAGTCTGCAACCTTGTTTGCCACGCCGGGGATGTGCTGGAGCTTGGCATCCTCCACTCTGTACCGCTCCAACAGCACACCCAACACGGCGCCGCAGAAATTCTGGGCGGCTGAAGCTCCTGACTTCTTCTGGGTGGTGGCCAAAGCTGTCACCGAATCCGATTGGATGGTGATCTGTACGTTCATGCCTGCCAGCTTGGCCCCCCAGTGGTGCAAGGCCATGATGATGGCCAAAGCCTCGACCACCCCTTGAGAGGAGGAAGAGCCCAGCTCGAAGCCCAGTGCCTTCGCGTCGAACTCCGTGACCGGGGACGCCACTGTGTCAATGACTTGGTCATTGATGACCAGCACCGCGCCCAGTCCTTCCGGGGAGGCGTCAGTGATAATGTTCACCTTGGCTTTGTCCCGGGCGGTGAGAGCAATCTTCCTCGACGGCCTTTCCTTCGCCACGTTGAGGTACTGGGTCAAGGCCAAACGGGCACCTTCCAGACGTTTGACCACGAAGAGGCCGTCCTTGTTCCTCTGGTCCGTTCGATTGTCCCTCCTTACCGCCTCCTTGCCTGATTTCACTTCAGCCTCCCTGTCCGCCATCACGGCGTAGAAGACCCTCAGGATCCACTTCGTCCTTGGTAGGACCCCGGAAAGCCAGGAGAGCTTCCCCGTGACCGTCCGCAGCTCGGTCATAGGCGCCATGCCTCTTCCTTCCCATTCCTTGATCCTCCCCTGCAGGTCGGCGATGAACTTCTCCCGCAGGGTGACCAACACCTCCCTGTCCGAGAGGAGTTTGAACTCTACTCCTGCCCACGTCACTGCAGAGCCTCTTTCACCTTTGCCCACCGAGAGCTTGAAGCCAATCGCTGCCATCGTGTACAGGACGAAGCTCAGGATGACGTTCCTGCGAGCAAGGGTGCCTTGCAGTGCCCACAATGAGTCATCGAGGTAGGTCTGGTGCTGTGCCTCATCATGTGGGAGGCAGGCTTGCAACACCCTGGACGTCCACGCTGCCATCCTCGACCACAGCAGTGGGGCAGTGCGGAAGCCGAACAACAAGGCCCTGAACAGCAGGTAGCCGTCGCCCTCAACGTCAGGGGTCAGGGTGTGCTCCAATTCCTTCTCGTGCACCGGCAGGTGAGGGAAGGCATCTGCGATGTCTATGAGCGTGAGCTCCCTGGTCCATCTGGCCTTCTGCTCCTCCACGGTGACTTGCTGATGGAGTTTGTGTAGACTCCGCACCATGGCCACCGCGTCCATGGCCCTCGGCAGCACGATCTTCTCACGAAGTCGCGCTTTGCTGTTGCCTCCGGAGCGCCTGAGGTCTATTATCAACCTCCTCTTGCAAGAGCCGTCTGGTCTCGTTTTGACAATGATGGCCAGTTTGGAGATGGTGCCCTGTGAGAAGTGCTGGTCCACCTGTTCCTTCGAGACCTTCATCACGTACCCAAGGTCCAGGAGCCTCTGTATCTCCTCCTTGGCGTCCTCCATGTTGTCCGCGATGCTGGTGTAGTTGGTGAGCGACCCCCGTGCTATCTGCAGGCTGGCGTCCATCATCACCTCTGGCTCGCCTTCCTTGTCCGATGGGGGAAAGACGCCCTTCGGCTCGATGTCGAGGTTGACGCCTAGTGGGGTGCCCTTCTCCACCCAGTCTGCGAGGTCCGTGTCGGGGTCCCCGGACTTGCGGGTCCAAGCCCTGATGAGGTCCGCATCAAGCGGGGACTTGTACCTCCATCTTGACTGAAGGTCCACCGCGGGCTTGCCTTGGCTGCCCACCAGCTTGCGTAGTTCGGCCTTCCACTTCTCCACTGTTGGTTTGTCCATCTTGCAGTCGGCGGTGCCATAGGTTGAAGATGTCTCCACCGCGCGTGGGTTCCGGCTGACAAACCTCTCCCATGCTGCGAAGATTCTGAGCCCCAAGTTGAGGGAGCTTGGCATTCCTTCCGCCGTTTCGGTGGGGTTCCTCATGCCGCCCAAGTAGTTGAGGTTGGCTGGGTTGTTTTCCTTCGCCTTCGACTCCTTCAGCATGCCGTAGTTGCCGCTCCCTCCCATCCATGCTTTTGCCTCTTTGGGGTCGTCCTTCTCCGTCTTCATCGGAACCTTCGTGTCCTCGTCATCTTCCGTCTCGTACTCATAGGTGTACTCATCTTCTTCCTTGGGTCTTGCCTTTGATTTGGAGGTGGCTGTGCTTTCGGCTTTTGCCTGCTCCGCCTCCTCCTCTTTGGTCTTTGCCCTTGGTTCCTCGGCGTTCCTTGATGGCGATGGGGACCTCTCCCTCTTGGCGCTCTTGCGGCGTAGTTCATCCACCTCCTTCTTCAAGTCTGCTTCCCTCTTGGCGTAGAACTCGGCGGTGGCTAGTCTCCTGAAGTGATGGATGACCAGTTCAGCGTAGGCCTCACGCAGCTCGTCTGAGTAATGGCCCGATTCCACCGATCTGGCCTTGCCTACCACAGGAATGTGATCGGCTTTCCCACAGGGGCAGGTTCCGGCTAAAGACCTTATGCCCAGCAAACTCCCCGCGAACATCTGGGGCTTGAAGGTCCTCTTGCCCAGCTCCACCCTCCGCTGGAAATGGCAGGAGGTGAAGGCGACCTTCGTCCAGTCCAGCTTTTCCACCGCGCCGTGCACTTCCGGAAGTTCCCATGCCGAGCAATGTTGGTCGTGGTCGGATGGCGGGGGGTTTTCCACCGTCACTGCGGGCTTGACGACGTCGTCAGGTCTGGAGTTTGCAATGACTTCAGCCATCATTAATGACCTGGAGGCATGTAGGGTTCCCTGATCACATTCCCTCTGAAGAGCAACTGAGTTCCCTGGTATCCCATAAGGGTGTGATCTGGAGCGGCATGGACCTGGATAGCCCTCTCTCTCCCGCCACCGCAATCTCGAGAAGGAGGTACATGGGAACCCTGCGTGGTACCCGTCCCACTTGCCCTCACGGGCTTGTTGGAGGAGCTTCGCATAGGGTTGATCTGCCAGTAGATCGGCTCCTCCATTTTCACGGTCATAGCTTTCCACCGTGACCTTCATCTTGCACCTCTTTGCGAGCCTCTCCAACGTAGTGCCCAAGGGGTCATGGGGACCTGAGTACAGATGCAGGAAGAAGAACCTGCGTTTCATCAGGTAAAGGTCCAACGTCATGAGCTTTCCGTTGAACTCGGCTTTGTCTTCGTTGTGCTGCCTTCGACGCCTCCTGGATCTTGATCTCTCTTTGCCGGCTTTGTCTTTGTCCCCGCTGCGGCTGTCCCGCCTTTCTCTTCCCCGGCGGTCAGCGTTCGAGCCTGCCCACATCCAAAGTGGTGGATACCATGATGTCTTGTTGGCATCATCCCCCATGTCCGTCCTTCGTCTTGTTGTGGGGGTCCTGCAAAACCAATCCATCTGCAGCTGGGCGATCAACCGTCCTTCTGAGGGCATTGACATGAAGGGTGTCCCACCGAGCCGCACTTGGTGCATACGTGCGCCCTTGCCACCCTTCCTTGGCAGGCGGCACCTGGTGGTAAGCCAGCACAGGCCCCATTGTTGTTGTTCCAGGCGTAGCATGCCTGTGGCTTCTCTTTCCCCTTGCCTTTGCCCTTCCCGTCGCCTTTGATCTTCTTGGCGTCTGTCGGACCTTCGGCATCCATTTGTTTCCGTTTGGACGCCTCTCTTCTCCTGGCGTTCCTTGTCCTTCGTGTCGAAGATGGTGTCCCCGCCGTGGATTCCGTGTCCGGCTTGATCGCATTGATGCCTCCTTGAATTGAGGCTGCAGCGACCGCTTCCGCCGGCGTCAGCGGCTTTCCTTTGGATCCGTGCGCCAGCCATGCATTCGCTGGCACATGAACCTGCTCTGCCCAGAACGAGCTGTCCTTCACGAGCATCCTGAATAGGCACTCCCAAGGGTTTTCTGCTGCCCATCCCATTGGTTCCTTCGTGCCGTTGGCGATGTCCAGGTTCACTGAAACCCTCAGTCTTACCAGGTGCTCTGATCTCCCAAGGTCGTCCGCCGCCACGATGAGGTGCCAGGCCCCTGGGTAAAGTCGGTCCAGCTTCTCCACATGGGCCTCGTACGCCACGCACGTAGCCATCGTCAGGATGTCGAGCATGAGCATTGCCGTCCTGTAGACCCTGAAGCTGGCTCTCCACTGGTCGAATGACCCTGGGCCAGGGATCTCCTTCGTGATGTAGCCCCCCATCACCGGTATGTAGGACCGGTACTTCTGAGTCCTGTGAGCCTTCTTGCCGTAGGGCAGCCACACCGAGAAGTCTGCGTAGGGGGCTCCACCTGAATTCACCCTCCTCAGCAAGGCCGAAATCTGCTCGGTGGAGGGTTCTTCCTGTTCCAGAGGGAGTCCACCAGTCTGGCGTACAAAGTTCTCCAGCCAGCGCTGCTTTTGCTCCTCCGAGGAGATGACGAACTCCGACTCGTCCCCCTGGTCCAGCACTGCTGAAAATTTCATCTTCCTCTCCACCAAAGCCTTCGACGTGTCCGTGGGCTCCATGATCGGTGGTGTCGCCGTTGGGGCGTCTGCCCATGGGTCCGGGTCCACCCACAACCTGATGTCCAATCCCGCCTCCACGTGTAACTTACGCCTCGCAAGACGGTACACCAATCCCACCTGTGCGGCCTGGACTACAGTGAGGTGTTCCCCTGAAACTATCGTTGCCGCCTCGGTCGTGGCCGCGAGGGCGGCTGGAGGCAAAGCTGCCAACAACCGGTAGTCGTCCCCCGGATCGCCGGCAGCCCTGATGAAGGCATCCCAAACCGGGTCCTCCACCCCATAGAATGCCCTGCAAGCACGCAGCGAAGAAAATGGCGCTAGCTCCACAGGCCAGGCCATGCGCGAGGCCACCCATGAATGCCAAAACAAAACAATGGGTGGATGCATGCCAGGGCACTTGAGCCAAAATGGCACCCATGGCAAGCAATCCACCCACCAACCCCTTAGCATGCTGAATTGTTCAGCAGGAAATTCCGGGGCTCCATTTCCTTTCCCTAATAGTGATTAATAGTGGTTAATAGTGGTTAATAGATGTTAATAATGATTAATAGTGATTAATAGTGATTAATAGTGATTAATAGTGATTAATAGTGATTAATAGTGGTTAATAGATGTTAATAGTGATTAATAGTGATTAATAGTGCTTAATAGTGATTAATATAATTAATAGTGATTAATAGTGATTAATAGTGGTTAATAGTGGTTAATAGTGGTTAATAGATGTTAATAGTGGTTAATAGATGTTAATAGTGATTAATAGTGATTAATAGTGGTTCATAGATGTTAATGGTGATTAATAGTGGTTAATAGATGTTAATAGTGGTTAATAGTGATTAATAGTGCTTAATAGTGATTAATAGTGGTTAATAGTGATTAATAGTGATTAATAGTGATTAATAGTGATTAATAGTGGTTAATAGTGGTTAATAGTGGTTAATAGTGGTTAATAGTGGTTAATAGATGTTAATAGATGTTAATAGTGGTTAATAGTGGTTAATAGTGGTCAATAGTGGTTAATAGTGGTTAATAGTGGTTAATAGTGGTTAATAGTGGTTAATAGATGTTAATAGTGATTAATAGTGATTAATAGTGATTAATAGTGGTTAATAGTGGTTAATAGTGATTAATAGTGGTTAATAGTGATTAATAGTGATTAATAGTGGTTAATCGTGATTAATAGTGGTTAATAGATGTTAATAGTGATTAATAGTGATTAACAGTGATTAATAGTGATTAATAGTGATTAATAGTGGTTAATAGTGGTTAATAGATGTGAATAGTGATTAATAGTGATTAATAGTGGTTAATAGTGGTTAATAGATGTTAATAGTGATTAATAGTGGTTAATAGATGTTAATAGTGATTAATAGTGATTAATAGTGCTTAATAGTGATTAATAGTGGTTAATAGTGATTAATAGTGGTTAATAGTGATTAATAGTGATTAATAGTGGTTAATAGTGGTTAATAGTGGTTAATAGTGGTTAATAGTGGTTAATAGATGTTAATAGTGGTTAATAGTGGTTAATAGTGGTTAATAGATGTTAATAGTGGTTAATAGTGGTTAATAGATGTTAATAGTGATTAATAGTGGTTAATAGATGTTAATAGTGATTAATAGTGATTAATAGTGGTTAATAGTGATTAATAGTGGTTAATAGTGATTAATAGTGGTTAAATCCCCATCAAATCACCATAAATCACTCCTCTGCCCAGCAGCTTCTCGCCTTTCAGCAGCTCCATGCCCAGCACATGGCGGGTGCTCAGTTCGGGAATGGGTCTGGGGATGTAGATCCGATGGCCCCAGGAGGGCAATAAGTTGGCCCGCATGGCCTCCAGGTTTCCTCAGCTGGCGGTTATATATATATATATATGTTATATATTTAGTACTAACCATCTATATAACTATTGGGCTACCAAATTTTGATCTATATATCTGGTTGGTGGTTGAGCCCTACCCCTCTGAAAAAATATGAGTGAGTTAGTCCGTTGGGATTATGAAATTCCCACTGAATGGAAAAATAAAATTCATGTTCCAAACCACCAACCAGTTTGGGTTGTGGTACCTGGAAGATTTGGAAGCTCATCTGTGATGTGGACAAATGCCCCTCGAAAAAACGAGAAATCATGATAAATCCTTTCCAAACTCAAACTCTTCCAGTTTTTACGCTCCCGCGTATCCCCCATCATCCTTGACAGTCGCGCAGTGCCAAGATGCGGAATTCCTTGACATAGTCGAACTCTGTCTGGAAGAGCTTTTCAATCTCTTTCATCTGTTCCTGGTGATGCGCGGATGTGCACAAATGAAATTCATCCAAAACTGCCAAACAAAAAGAATCGGTGGAAAACATGACAACACAGAACAGGAAACCAAGAGCATAATCGCTTCGTCAATTCAATAAATCAAGCTCCAAAGAATGATCAAAATCTGTTGAAAGAAAATTTAACTGTCAGCTACTTGCACTGCACAGTTTCATACTCGTCGATCTCAGCAGAATTTTTGCAACGAACTTTGGGTCGTCACAATCCAAAAGAAAACTGAAACAGTTGTGCAAGAGGCGAAGGCCCATGGAATGGCCATGTAGGTAAACCTCAGGCTGAAACCCTCGATGAGGTCAACGCTGGGGAAATTGTGTGGTAAGAACAGTGCCGGTGGCGCAGTTGACCCCAGCAACAACCAAGGTTTCGGCATCTTCAGGCAAGTAATGTCGGCACCTAGGGGGCCCACCATCGCAGCAACAGTCATGTCCGGACAAATGTGCGGCCATCAAAGCAGGGAAAATTGAAATATGTAATTATATTTATTATATATTATGTATTGCCGTATTCTCTATGAAACTATTGGTTGACCAGGTGAACAATGCTGAAACCTCTGTTCTGTACACTCCCGTTTTTTCGGATAGCACGCGTGGCCTGAAAGAAACAGGTTTAGGGACTTGTTTGCAGAATGATATAGCACACCAAAAGCTCAAGGACATGCAAGTCCCGCAAATCAAAGGTGGAGTCACAACCCCTTTCAAGCCAACTTCCAACTTACAACTGGAGCTGCATGTGTTATCATTTTTACCTACATGCACATTCTCACCATATATTTCACTTCGTTTTTTTCGGTTTCATCAAAAAGGCCATTCACCGGGGTATCCAAAGGTGCCTTGAAACCGCTGTTGCCTACCCAGCACCAACCGCGCCGCCGGCGCCAAGCCGCGAAACATCCGCTCCGCGTTGGGCACTTGGACCTTGATGGCCACCTCCTCTCCGCTAGACTTCAGCCGAGCCTGGCGCTGGCAGGGCCATGGCCGGTCCTTGGGACCGGCCATGGCCCCCAAACCCAACAAAGGGTCTATGTGGAATAAATGATGAGTAGAATATGACTGTACTTTGTATAAATATCAATCCTGGCTCAACGCTACCCACCATTTATTTGCAACTCTTAAGCTCTCAGCTGGGTGGTAAGAGATGTGACTAGGTCTCAGGTTGCTGGTAGCCAATGAGATGGAATAAATGACCCGAGGGAAAAAAGACAAGCTGGCGGTTCTGAGTGACCACGTCGGGACTGGTAAGTGGCAATTTCACCTGAACACCTTTGAACCCGGGACAGGCTCCAACCCGCCTTGTAGACTTGACCGATGGAGGCCGTGCCAATGGGCTCATCCACCCAATCGGTCAGGATGCCATCGAGGTTCTCCAATTTCAACTCCTGGAGTTTGGATGTCGCATGGCCCTTTTCTGCAACAAATCAACCCTCTCCTTGGTTGATTGCTGTGAAGCCCTTGTCCTTTTTGGAAATCTCAAACTGTACATCATCACAGTAGCTCAGTAGTTGTTCATGTTTGTCATTATATATCGTTTTCTTGGACGCGTCACCATATGGGTTTGCCCAAAAATAGGCTATGTACCCAAAAATATCTGATGGTTTCTCATGTTCCATTAAAAATAAACACACACACACACACATGTTGGGGCTGAAATCCCTGGCTTTTGCACCTGCCATGTCTCATCACCCAAGGCGCCCTCGGCGCCCTTGCCATGTCTCGTGCCTTGGCGATGACCTTCTTGGCTTCGTCAGAGGAGAGCGTCATGGGAACCTGTGACGCTTGCTCCTCTACGGCTATGAATGTTTAGTCTCCCCAAAAAAGATACAATTAAAGGTAATTTCTCACTTTGGGTCTTTAGGTGGGATTTTGTTTTTCTATTTTTGGGGTGTATTATATTTGTATGAAATGACATATGGTATACATACAAGTACTGACCATTATCTCCGGGCCGTATCCGGCTGATTCCATTGACACCTCATCCTGCAGCTTGCGGCACCATTCCAGATACACTTCGGGCCTCAGAATCGACATGAAACAGGGAAACTACAGGAAATCCATTGGGCGTCAACATCCAAATATAAGGGACCACCAGGATTTTACAATGTTTTACCTTCCAAGTTTTGAGGGTTCCCCTAATGATTTTTCCATCAACAGCCAGATCAGAGCCACTGAATCGTAGGCTGAGCCACAAAAAATCATCGCGAGTGGAAACCAACTGTGCAGCTTTCAGATAAAATCCACGCATGTACCTTGGCAACGTTGTTTGGTGGCGCTTTCGGCAGTGAACTGATCTGGGAACCTGAACCACTGCCCAGTTTGCCTGCCGTTTTGGCCGTTGAATCGCTCGCTGACGGGTCCAGTCCCCAGACATCCAAGGAACAGAGTTGCGCGACAAATGATGGGCGAATATCCTTAGCGGAGCTCACTGAAACCAGGAGAATTATTAGACTCATAGGAGGGGAAGCAGTGAAAAAAAATGATGGATATGGGTATGTCTGAAAATGGGCTATACCCCCAATTATAGCCATTTAGTAGGGATAATGATCAGCAAAACCATTGGGTGTAGGGGTACACTATTTTCAGACAAACACATATCTGGATTTCTAGATCCGTCGAAACTCCGGTGCCTCAAGCCATGACCCTTCAGCACCCATTTCCAGTCCGAGGAGCTGGAGTGTAGTTTACCTCACGAGCAACGTGGACAACACGCCACCATTGTCAACACAAATTGGTTTATTGCGTTATTGAAGTATCCACGGAATATAGCACCACGCATCAAAATACAAGTGATAGGTCCTTGTTCGAGGCACCACTCTATAGGGATGGATTTGCTCATTCATATATCCCCACAGAGTAGTGTGTACTCCCCAGATCCACTGCTTCATCACAGTATTCCTGAGAAAAAATTGCCATTTTGGAGGCACCCAGTCCCATTCCCAGCGGCTAAACTCTGCATCTCTTTCATCTCCGCCCTTCGGGCCGTCCTTGCGGTGGCTGACCTCCGGGTCAAGGACAACCGACGGGGTACTGAGGAGTCAACCGTTGGATCTAAGCAAAAGTTAAATCTTCGCCGGATCAATTTTCGAATGTGTTGGTGGATTCTAACCATACTTTTTCTGCGTTTGTGGATGTTCTTTGCTCTACTTCGGCAGAGGTTGGATCAATTTTTTTAATGAGTGCGTGGTTCCAGCTGTCTCTGCTCCGGGTGAACCAGAACCAACTGCCAAGATTGGCCTGCTCCAAAAGGAGCATTTGAAACCAGCATGTGCCCTGCCTTGTCTACCCACAAGTAGTGACACCTAAGCAGCTTTGTTGAAACACCAATAAATCACGCCATTACAGACCACATGGACATTGTCCACGTTACATAAATGTTTAAAATAAAAAATACAATAAAATACAATTAAATATAATTAAACATAATTAAATATAATATAAATTAATTAAATATAATATAACATAATGAAAAATAATATGATAGAAGATTAAATAATAATGAAACAAAATATAATATATATGATCAAATGAAAAAAATCCGCCCGCACCGAAGGTGCTGGGGCGTGATCTTCCGGATGGCACTCGTAAAAAGGTTACAGGTTTACCTGGGGGGGGGGCATTTTTCGTCCAAAACCTCCTGTTTTTGATAGGTCGTGACGCTCGCCTTCAAAAAACACTGTAAAAAACAGTACGGAAGACACCTGTTCGTGAACGCGCCCGTCCAAAATCGGCAAGCGAAAAGTGAAAAAACCCCGTGTTTTTCAACTTTTTGACCTCAATTTTTTTGTTTGCAACATCTTTTTTTGCGGTTCCGCAGGTGGCCGGGCCCGGAGGCGGATTTTTGAGTTTTTGGACCCGTTTTCGGACTGATTTTCGTCGTTTTGTGATAGCAGAAACACTGGTTTTTACAGTGTTTTTCTGTTTTCTGCATGCTTGACGGCTAGCTTCAAAACTTCCAAAAACCTCGTAAATTACGCTGTTTTATGTTACGGTGTGAATGAAAACATCGTAAATACCAGTGTTTTTTGACGTTGGTTAAAAAACACTGTAAATTACAGTGTTTTTGGCCACCTGACCCTCGAAAACCATGGTATTTGCAGTGGTTTCTGCTTCTCACCGCGCAAAAACACTGTAAATAACAGCAATTTCGCCGTTTTTTCATGTTTTTCGTTATTTTTTGAACTGTGTTGGTCCGCTATACATGGCTATCAAATTCTTCGCGTTTTTTTTTCCGACAATCGGTACTTTCGGATGATTTTGGTCTCAATGGCCGACATCATTGGCAGTTACGAGCGGCTGCCCAACGATGCGGTGCGGGCGGTTGCCGTCGCGAAGCGACGTGAATATAAAATGAACATAATATAATGTCAAAACAAAACATAATATAAAATAATAAAAATTAAACAAATAATGAAGTAATATAATAAAATATATTATGTTATAATATATTATATTAAATTATATCATACTATATTATATTATATTATATTATAATATATTATATTAAATTAAATTATATATTATATTATATTATGTTATATTATATTAAATTATATTATACTATATTATATTATATTAAATTATATTATACTATATTAAATTATATATTGTATTGTATTATACTATATTATATTATATTATATTATATTTTATATATAATTAAAGCGTATTATATTATATATTATAATTTATTACATAATATTTTATTATCTTTTATTATATTATATATTAAATTATATTATATTCTATTCTATTCTATTATATAATATTCTATTGTATTGAATTGTATTATATTATATTTTATTATATATATAATATTAAATCATATTATATAATATTATATTATAATTTATTATATTATGTTATATTATCTTACATTATATTATATTATATATTATTTTATATTATATTCTAGTCTATTATATTATATATTGTATTATATTAGATTATATTTTATTTTAATTATACTATATTATATTATATTAGGTTAAATTATATTATATTATATTATAATATATTATATTATATTATATTATAATTTATTATGTTATATTATATTATATTCTATTATAATTTATTATGTTATATTATATTATATTACATTATATATTATATTATATTATATTATATTATTGTATTATACTATATTACAACATATTTTTATATTATAGTATAGTATATTATATTATATTATATTATGTTATATTTTGTTATATTATATTATATTATATAAAATTATATTATCTTATATTATTTTAAATATATTTTTTCCCACACACACTTTTTCTTCGCGAGGTCCAATGAGTCCCCCTTACTGTGCTTTTGGGTCGGCTGACTGTTTTTATACTGGCCAGTCTCCAGATGTGCTCAATCCAAAGTCCACAATTAGGATGGGGGGAGGCGGCTGTTGCCGGGGGGTGGTGGCGAGGTTTCCGCGAGGAGTTGGCTGACGGGTGTGGTGTTGCCATCAACATTGCGGTGGGTGGACAAGTTTTGGTCCAGGAGGGATGCTGCAAAAGACTGCATGGCCACGTGGCTGAGCATGGCTAACCATCTGGAAATGAGGGCTGCCATGACGGATCGTTGGAGGAGTGTTGGTGCTTGTCTGGCTTGGGACTGGGCAAGCAATCGAATGAAATTCGTGGCTTCGTGGCTCCAACGGCCGCCGGTTTCGAAAGCCAGGACGACCAGCCTGCAACGTCTGGACTGGAGAAATTCCGGGTAAGTGCGTTCCTTACTCCGGCGGGCTGTATGGAGAGCTGCCCCGGCGTAGGTGCCTGCACGGCGGCGAGGCTGCCCGTCCCCTGTCTAAGGGGAGACAAGGGTGGTGTCGATGGCCAGTTGAGTCCGCCCCAAAGGTTTAGGCCATTGGCAATGACTTCGATGCGTCTGTCATCTTGACGGGTGACTTGTGCCAAGTTGAAGTCTGCCACCCTGGTGTTGGTTGTGACCCTTGCCCCTGCTTCTCTGCAGATCCGGGCTGCGGCCCGCTCGAGTGCCACCCCTCGACTGCGAAGAATCCCTGCCTGTGGGCAAGCGGCACGGTGGTCTCCAAGTAAGTCAAGAGCGCGACGGCACCGGCACTGGCGGGCAGACAAAGGAAGGGGGAGCCGCAGGCGGCGAAGCAAGAGAGTTCTGAAGAGGTGGGATGGGTATGTGGTGGATTGGTTGTAGGGGATTGTGGTGAAAGGTCGGGCTGGCATTTGGCCCCGACTGGGATTCCAACATTGCATGACTCGCAGGGTCAACGGCTTGTATCAATTCTGTGCGGAAACTGCGGTTGCACACTCGCGTGGCTGCTTGTTGCCATCCTCGGCCTGGGGCTGGTGTTTCGAAATCCTGGTGGGGCTCTGGCGAAACTTCTTGGTGCAAAAGTTGATCCCAGGCTGGTGGTTCCCAGCCGTGTTGGCGGAGATGTTCCGCACTGTGAGTGGCTGCTCGCACACTGGCTGTGGCTTCTTGGGGGTGGGTCAGCTGGTGGCGAATGGTGGCTGCTAGTGGGGGCGCTTGGGAATGGAGGATGGGTAGGGTGTCAGCCCAAGATGCCCAGTAAGCTGGCCTAGCTGTCGCCACTGCCGAGGTGAGGCCTAGGCCGCCCAGTTGAAGTGGAAGGTGTGCTGTTGCAAGTGCTGTTGCTGGCAATGAGGCTGTGTCTAAGAGCTGGGTGAAGCATGTGGCCACAGCGGCATCGTGTTCGGCGGCAAAATTGGTTGTTATTTCTGGGCGCAGCATGCGAAGTTGGTAATTGCAGCGGGAGCTGGCACAGAATAGTACTCGGATGCGGTCGAGCAATTGGTCGTGCTGGGCGCGCAGTTGTTGCAGCTGGTGTTGCTGGTACTGTGGCGTGCCCAATGGTGCGCCAAGGACCATGAGGCCTTGTTCTGTGGTTGGCAAGTGCTGGTTGCCGACCCATACGTTGTCGCCTAACCCCTCGAGGTTTGGTGGCCTGAGGCCGGCAGCATTCCACACGCGAGTTTTGCCGGTGTTCAGTTGTATGCGTGCACTGTGGAACAAATGGTGTGACAGCAGGTCGAAAACGGGGCGTGCCCGTGCCAGGGAATGGTGTAGACATCGTCAAGGAAAGCATATAATGCTTCTCCGGGCTGGAGCTGCTGCTGCACGGCTTGGAGTGCCGCTTTCTGCCCTAAAGAAAACAAAGCTGGCATTAGTGGATCACCTTGTTCGCCTCCTTCGGCTTGGGTGATTTCATGGGGGTTGCCCTCCTGGTCGTGCCACACATACGTGGACGGCTGTGTGTAAAACATGCTGACGAAGGGGAGGCATCGGTTGGCCTCAGGTACTTCTTGCAAGGCGTTCAACATGCTTGACCTGGAAATGTTGTCGCAAGCTCCGATGCTGTCTATTGAGAGCACTGTGTTGGTTGGGTTTTGCTCTGTGGTTGCTGTGATGCTATGGGCAAGGGTTTCTGCTCCAGCCCCGGTGGCCAATGCGTATTGGTGGGGGCTGCACGCCCGTTGGATGTGGTTGGCAATAGGTTTGGGCCAAACATCGGGAGACCAGGCGGCGCAAGAGGTCACCGACGACAATCCCCCGTACCCTCCCGTTCGGTTTTTGGAGTATTGTATCAAATTGTATTATATATATTATATTATATTTATTATATTATATTGTATTATATTATATTATATTATATTAAATTATAATATATTATATTATATTAAATTATAATATATTATATTATATTGTATTATATTATATTATATTATATTATATTACATTATATTATATTATATTATATTAAATTATAATATATTATATTATATTGTATTATATTATATTATATTAAATTATAATATATTATATTATATTATATTGAATTATAATATATTATATTATATTGTATTATATTATATTATATTACATTATATTATATTATATTATATTAAATTATACTATATTATATTATATTAGGTTAAATTATATTATATTATATTATATTATAATATTATATTTTATTACATTACATTACATTATGCTTTATTATATTACATTACATTATATTATGTTTCATTATATTATATTAAACTATATTATATTATATTTTAGAAAATATATATGTTATTATGTATATAATATTATATTTTGTTATTTTTCATTCATATTACAAATTAATATTATGTGTATATATATATATTATGTGTACGTGTGGTGCGCAACAGAAATTGGTGCGCAACAGAAATAAAAATATTCTTGGAATTGGCGGCATCCTTGACAATTTCGAATGATTCCCCATGTCGGTGCCCTAGGCCAAGATGCCACAGCGGGAAGACCACCACCTACAGCGATGGGCAACGAGTCGAGGAACATATCCAAATCAAACCCTTTTGACGTTTCTCGGGAATGGTTTGGTACAAATCCCATAGTCTCAAAAAGGAGCATTGACGAAAACACAAACCCAAAGGCCGATGGCACACTTGAACCTCACCAATTCAAAGATATAAAATTGTACAAAACCTTCTCTTCACTGCAAAATAGTTGGTTTGGCTAAATGTCCGTCCTCCTGAAAGTGCAAGATCACAGTTTTTGATGGTTTTGACCCATCCCCGCATCCCATTCAAATCATCAACCAAGCATGATTTCTGGGTTCCATGCCCATATTTTGATGGATGAAATGATGGTCATCCCCGTATTGGATGGTCAAATCACATTGAATCAACCTTTCCCATCCATTTCGACTGGGGTTCCTGGCCCAGAATTCCAGGCACCGGCGGAAGCCTTCATCAATACATCCAACGGCTAACACACCACCCACACCCAAAATCCAGCGGCGTATGCGTTTCAACCCGCGACCTCGGTGGACGCAAAAAACGACGGGCTGTCAACACACTGAAAAGGAGGAAGGCGTTGCCAACAAAATCGGGAATACGAACAAAAAATCAAGTGCACACATTGTGATGCTGCAATCAAAGAATCCACAAGTCAGATTTAAAAAAAAAAAATGGGTTCGCTATAATCTTGTAAAGACATCCCTCGCACTGCCCCACTCCAGGCTGCTGAAAACAGGATGATCCACACGAGTACCGAGTTGCTGCCATCTGCGACCTTTTCTTTGGCAACTGCCTCTCCAAAATACCGCCTGACAAACTGCGGGTTCCAACGCAACACCTCCTGTCCCGTTTCCACACCACGTGTGTGCATACTAGGGCCAACAATGAGGTCATTAAATGGATTTCCCACATTTGTCCAGGTGAACCTAGTCCATCAAAAGAAAAATAAAAACACTTCGAAACCACGATTGCAACTTCGCAACACTGTCCAAAGGTGAAACGTTTCGATTGTCAGCCTGGCAATCCACCGGGACCTCCACGCCTGTCCAAATGATAATGACTTGTTCAAGGCGAGGGAACTGCTGCAAAACCGTTTTGGAGCTCCAGAACACGGTTGATTCACAACAACTTCAAACATTGCCCAGACTCCCAGACCCACAAATCATTACGAAACTGTTGCTACTCAATGCTGCATGTATGAAAAGTAGGGGTCATCATCACAATTCGAAATGAAAGAAGACTCACAGTGCTCGCCGTGCTCGCAAATATCGGAAGTGTGCAATTATCAGGCATTCCGTGGATGCATAGACGTCCCCAACTTCCGACAACATGCCACAGGTCGAAGAATTTGTGTTCCTACATTTTCACCGGCCAAAACCCCAACCTGCAAGGTCGTGTCGGGTCTGAGCACTGTAGGAACGCCTTGTTCCCAAGATGTGCGCACAGAGTTTGCCCGAATGAGGCGCCGAAACTGCCGTAACATCCCCAACCTGGAACCAACAGCTGCATGGTTCAATTTTGCCATCACACGGGACACGAAAAAAACGAAGGCAGTGAAAACTGCGCAGTGAATGTTGCCTCTTCAAAAATTAAACAGGTCAACAAGAACAAGACGTGTGTGCGTGTATGTGTGTGCACCAATGCAACGGGGCCAGGGTGCGCAGGAACAAAAGCGTCAACAACACCCTTCTCAAAACCATGCCGATGTAATGTATGTGGCATGCATTTTTTGCCACCACAAACGGCCACCTTTATTGGCACATCTTGTGTTCACACCGGACATCAATATCTTTGCCAATCGGAATTGAAGGGTATGGAATCGGAAGATGTTTCCGTATGTTTGGGCACCTTTTCCCCATTGAATTGGTTCCCGCAATGAAATTTTCATTTTTTGAAACCATTGTTTGTTGCAGGGTCCTTTTTCCTTCTGAAACTATTGTTGGTTGCATGCTCCGCTGGTAAATGCGTCGTATACTGTTCAGGAAAGTTCACCGCATGTTTCGATGCAATTCATTAAAATGGCAAACAAAAACTGCCCACGTATCAATTGCGGGTTGGCAGACACTATCGGAAAACATTAGGCTTAGCTCAACGCGACAAAGTAGTCGAGATGGCCTCAGACCGTTCCAGACCGTCTCAAACCATGTCCAGACAGCGGGAAATAGTTCGAAACCGTCCAAACCGCCTCAAACGATCTCCATCCATATTGCAAAAGGAACCATCAAACAGCATACTCATACATCCCGTGCAAGTGCAGTTTTTTTGGCAGTCATCGCAATACATTCTCGTCAAATTGCAAGATAGTTCCCAAGAGGTCTCAGCTTACCTTACCGCATTTTAAATTTTGGGTGCCTCAAATTTTACGTCGCAAACTGGCCAACAAAAACGGCGCTGGCAGTTACATTTCATGTTGTAGTTCTTCTCTGATTTCGCCCACCCGGCCAATGATAAGTACAAATGTTACAATCAAATCCATGTTTTGGCACAATTTTGGCAACGCTGAGCAAAGCGCCAAAAAACCGGGTGGTGACACAAAAGCGACTCCCCAAACTGGCAACTGGTTTTTGCCTAGCCAATTTTCCACACGCACTAGGGCTCGGTCATCAGCGCGCTCAGGTGTGGGCATCTCGCGCGCGCACGCCGCTGTGAGCAGTGCCGGCGAACGCGCTTTGCGTGGGTCACGGCCAACCAGCGCTGGAACCACGCTGCCACTGCGTAGGCAAGGAAGGAGGCCCGCGCCCCGGGTTTGCACGCTCCAGGGCGAAGGGCGAACGCGGTCGCCTCGCTAAAGCGGCCGCCAAGCTAAGGCGAAAACGATCAGCTGCACGGGCCCACTCAAGGGGAAACCGACTGTTCAATCATAATTTCGCCAAAGAGAAGACGCAAATACTGGGTGGACGTTGTTTCTTACCCCTGGCAGCCAGAAGTTGCCCCATCCCAATGGCACACAGGGTTACCCCAGTCCAACCGGAAGTTACCCCAGGGACCAAATCCTATTGGCACACTGGTACCACGCCATGGTTGGTTTGGCAAACAAAATATAAAAAATGTGTCCGTGCCATTGCGAACCACATATTTAATACCATCTCCTTTTGTGATAAACCCTGGTTGACAGTGGCCATTTTGGCATACACGCATTGACAGCAAAACAGCTGCCTTCCATCCAACTGAGAAAAGTAACCAATTCTGCAGCACACGCCCCGTTTCCTTGTCATGACTTTGGACATGGATTCGTTTGATTTCGGTGCTCTGATTTTCTCTTTCCTAATGGCACACCTAGTGCCAAATAAGTCGTGCAAAGCATCCCTGACCCGAGCCCCGGCGTGATCCGACGCCATTTACTAGAACTTGCGCCAGCAGCATGGCACACCGCTTACGCCAACGATCAATCATCTTCCGCCAGGTGGAAATCCTATTGGCACACAGACAGTCAAAGTGGAAGCAGGCAACTCAAATATATTTATTTACTAAGCGTTTAATGTACACTTGTTAACCAAAAGTGGCAACCATATGCCTGTTTGAACAGTCAGAACTATCCTCCTCCGCATGGCGCACCAAGTTTCATTGCATTTCCAACATACAAACTTGGATGTGATCGACGAGTAATAAACAAACACGTTTATGACAACCAGTGTTCCCCTGCGTTAAGCGCCCTTCAATGGACAAACAAACAATAAAAGGGTTTATGACTACAAATGTTAGGTTCATGTTGGTGAAATTCAGGGTGCCTATGCATTTTGTTGGTCTTACAATAAGCAATGATCCAATGGAGTAATAGTATCAGATGTATTTTTTATACACACTTCCCCACGGCACACCGACCTGAGACAACTTCATGAGAGACGAGACAAGAAACAACATGAACCCAGTAAGTGCATTTTTTCTGTAGGTAGTGAAATTTTTTGAGGCCCCACACAACATCTATCCCACCTGCACGGCACGAGTAATGGAAGCAACCTTTCGGCCACTCTGCTCAATGAGGTGCTGCACCGGTCAATCGCCCTCAGCCAACAACTCCCGCAAAATGATTGGGCCACTCAACTACTCTATTTTGAGAGTGGCCCGGTACCCGAGCGGATGTTCCAGCATGAGTAGCTGCCTGGCTGGTGGGGCGGGCCACTGGTAAGGTAGTTCAGTGGCTGAATTGCTGCCCCCTTCAAAGTAGACACCAACACGCCCTAAGGCATGGTGTTTCCTCCGCGCCATTTTTCGTTGATTCCAAGTGTACCTGTTTTGTCGCCCACATCCTTTTTAGATGAAAGATTTTTGTGTTCCTGCTCTTGCACTCGCCTCGGGTGCTACGTTGACGAGATTTGTTTTTCCGTTTGTTATGTCCATTACGCTTCTCACAGTTTCAACCCACAACACAGACTAGAAGTGGTGGCACGCTGAAAACCGGATGGTGGACCATATGTCCCCCGGGTGTGTTGTTAAACCACTTCGACGGCAAGTCCAAGTTTGTGGTGCCAGGAGCTGCCTAGCTGACACGAAACCCGGACGACCGACCCGCAACTGCCAAAAGGAGTCCGTCGCAAACACAAATAGAAAATGACGAACTATTCGTTCAAACCGGGCAACATGTTTCAGACTTACAATGACGGTCCTTCGCACCTTTTAGATCAATTTCGCATTTCCGTAACGAGGAAAAAATTATCCATACCGACGATGCCAGAGGAAGATCATGACTCATGACTTTGAATAATTTCGCACCCCTGACCCCTACGCATGCCACTGCCAAAGCCATAAGGCAAGAAATCATTGCGCAACTGCCTACAGTTCGAGCACCGCACATTTTGCAAAACACTGGCGTAAGATCCGACCGACACGGCTAACACAAGACCGCGGTCCACAAAACGCACATTCGGACGCGCCAACTTGAAACCAGTGGTGGAAATACGACAGTTGGCCAGACACTTGCCATTGCGTAATTACTGGGAATCCGTGTCGCACGGAACATATATGTGGAATTAGGGACACCTGCTAGGCAAAACAGGCTGGTAAAAACAATGCAAGCTGAATAAAAAATTGTTTTGGCTCCACCTGAGTGAAAACCCCGAACATGATGCCGTTCGAAAGCACGGCCCACCGAGGGATTGAACCTTGGCGTGCCCGGGCTGTGGAAGAAACTTGCAGGGGTTCAGCGGTCCCGCTACCTTTTTTTCCAAACGCAGAAGCACCGGGCTAATTTTCGTGATCATCATTTCCCAACTAGCCTATATCATTGGAGAAAAATTTCAGGCCAGAAAGGGAAAACAGAAAACAAACAGGACTCCATTAATGTTGTGCCGGAAACCCCTCGGCTGCAAGCGTACACTGATGAACTGATGACGAAGATGGTGGGCACGAATGCCTTTGACGATAATGCTGATGATGACGATGATGATGATGATGATGACGATGACGATGACGATGAGGATGAGGATGACAACGGTCACTTATTGGAATGATGACCCTGTAGCAACTTATGGTCCGAGGGGGCAACTGCAGGGGAGCGACATTGGTAGGAAACCCAACAAGCACAGTACGATTCTATCATTGTTAATGGGAGGGTATTCAATGTGATGTTTGAGGTAATGGTTTACGAGACTTATGATCAAAAAATTGAACAATAGCACTGATAAATAATGGGTTACGATATGCTGAGAATTGAGTAATGAATACATCTATTCCTAGACTAGAATTACCGTTTCTTATTCCGTAGTGCCAAGACCCGACAATGTACTCCATTTATGTAAATATATGGGCTATATCACAATAATATCATAATTATGCACCTTACCAGATACCTACACCACTCACATGACTGTACCCATGTACCTTTACCCAACCGTACCCACGCACCAATAGGCCGTAAGTATATGCCACACTTACGTACCTACATGTACCTACCCAACCGTACCACACAACGTACCCACGTACCTGCGTGACCGCACCCATGCACCTGTATGGTCGTACCTCCTTTGCCCCCTATGCAATGACCTACCCCAACGTTGCTGGCCAATAGCAAACATCAGTTCCATTACACTTAAGTGTAAATAAGTGTAATTATTTGTTTCACGGTCACCCTCAAGAACCGTTTGAGTTTTTGTTTCGCTCCAATTCACTGCAAATCCACGGCCAGTCCACCGCATTTCCACGCGTCATATTTGTCCCACAAGTTTTGTGCCACAAACGGCCCGCCAATGCGGGCATACGGGATTCATTTTTTTTGTCATAACGCTATGATCACCAAGTCCGTTCGAATATAATGACAGGGAAGGGGGGAGACCATAAAACAAAACAGAATTGCTTCAAACAAACGTCGGTTCTGGCATTTTCTTTGAAAAGAGTCTTGTAGTTTTTAGGGCAAACAGAATGCCAGCGATTTCCCACATGAAAACGTGGAACTACAATTTTTCAACGTTTGTGACGCCCAACGGTTTGTATAGAACGTGTTGTTGGTTTGCTTGCTTGCTGCAACTAGCATTGATGGTGAATCTGTTGGCCGACAGACTCTAATTCGTGAATTCGTACTGAAACTATTTGTGATTTGTGTCGTTGTTTGCGGTCTGGCGTGTTTACGGGACAGGAACGGTGGAAAAAATGTACAATATAAATCGTTCGTTCATTCGCCCGTCCGAGTCGCCTCGATCCTACACGGATACGGGCGGGGTTCATGGGTCACATATTGATGCAAAACTGTACGTACATATGTTCCAGGCATGGCCATTCTGGGGGACCCGTGCAGCTGTGGCCCACGCCACCCGAAAATAATAGAATGCAATTTTTACTACATTGTCATCCCATCGTTTTGATGGACGACCTTGCCTACGTTTGGGAAACTTTTCACGAAATAGAATCCTCCTTGGATTTTTTTAAAAAATCAGAGATGTTTGTGATTTTTTTTAGACGCACCATTTCCACAATTCAAGGTGGACTGCCGTTTTTTGTCTAAAATTCAGGCATCCATGTGAACAGGCGAATTCCTGGAAGGATGAAATATCGAAATACGAAATACAAATTTTCATATTTAAATGACAAACAAACATGTTGGCCAGCATAAACACTCTCAGCTGTCACTACCTCCACTGGACCGGGTTCATGCAACAAAAAAGTGTGTGGAAAAAAAACATGTTGAAGTGGCCGCACCTTCTTGCAGCAAGTGCAATAAATTTGATCGGGAAAATTAGAAAACCATGTCATTGTCATTTGCAAACTGTAGGCCCGCCCACATCGGAACTGTTTTGCTCATGGATGGTGCTGGGGGTTTGGGGCAGCTCAGCCGTCGTCCGTCGTGGGAAATTTTAGGTAAATTCCTTGCCACCCGTGTCTCACCTTCCACACCTTCCTCACCTTCCTCACCTTCCTCAGTTTCCTCACTGCGAACTGCATTGCGGGAAAAATTACGTAAACAATTCGGTATCTTGTCCCGAAACGTGCCGTTTCTGATGTTTGAGCACCCGAATTCAACACCCGGGTAGCTATCAATGCGCGATGTTTTCCTGCAATATTTGGCCAAACGCGTCCTGCTTCGTACCCATCGGGGACATAGTAAAAATCGGCAAATTGCACTTATGCGGCACGGTTTTTCTTAATACTTGCCCTAACGTTTTTAAAGTGGCATCCGTACACCCTTAGTTTGCCCCGCCTCCCCGACTATCCTTTTTCCATGCTGCTCTCCCGCATGTTTCTGTCAGGGAAAAAAGGACGGTTGTGAGCGATGGTGTATATACAATATGATTCTTGATGCAATTGATTATCTCGTTTGGGCGGGGTGTGAAAAGTGCTCATTCAGATTGTCCGGGCACAGTAAAGAAGAACCATAGAAGAACAGGGAAGGGAATTCACGTCAAAAATTGTTGGGTCTATAAAACTATGAGTTCCTAGTTTGCACTATGGCGTATGGGATTGCTTCTGCACGCCGCCCTCCCAAAAGAACTGCGTGCATTCCGATGGTATGCCGCCTGGATTTGCAGAACGAACTTGCTTGTGTGCCCGGATGTGGTTCGCAGGTTGTTTCCCAGCAACAACGATTCGATGCACTGTCAACACACATTGTTTGGACGTGTTTGAAACAAATGTTTGGTTGGACGATGGATCAAAGCGGTATAGACAGTCCCACGTTGTTAAGGCTCAAAACATGTACAGGTTTGTCGACCAGGTTCAGCTTAGTTGGCCGTGGTGAAAATGAGTGTTTGCAGACTGGAAACGGGCAACCTCTGAGTAAACGTAGGTGACTTCTACTTGACGTGGACGAGTTCCAACCAACGCGGGTAATTTGTCCACCAACCTGAGCAACGTGAATCTGCAGTACCATGGAAACACAATGAATTTGCGAAAGTGACAAAATGCCAGTGTAAAATTGGTTTGAATTCAGGGCCTGGCGACAAACAATCGTCAGTTGTATGCCATAACGGGCGGCCCGTCTTGCGCACGGGCATGGCACAAATAAAGGATGGTAAGCGGACAAACATCTGTCTACCTTTCGCGCGTCGGGGTGGAACACTATATCACGTAATCCACCACTCAAAATAACCAAAAACCCATCGAACCAAAATTATTTGGCAAAGAACGCGCGGCGTAGCGCGTGGCGGAATCGCAAGGAAGGTGTCGGAAATCATTTTGGTTTGATTTTGACATACGTGTATATGATCAAAGCAAGGATCGGAAACTTTTGCAGCTGTGGGACCTTGCAGCCCACCAGTGGGAGGAGTGGGTGAGCGACCCCTTCAGCCCACGGAGGGCGCATGCAGTCAAACCTGAGAATGGGGGAACGAAAGCCAGCATCCCATCTACCCCTATTTTCCACCATACTTTTCACCCAGAGACTCTTCAATACATTTCACCCATATACTTTTCACCCAGATATTTTTCACCCAGAAACTCTTCTTGCACAGACTTTTCACCCATAAACTTTTCACAAAGAGACTCTTCACCCAATTTTTTTTTTTGCACATACTTTTCGCCCATATACTTTTCACCCCGAGGTTCTTCACCCAGAAACTCTTCTTGCACATACTTTTCACCCATATACTTTTCACCCAGAGACTCTTCTTGCACATACGTTTCACCCATATACTTTTCACCCATATACTTTTCACCCAGAGACTCTTCTTGCACATACGTTTCACCCATATACTTTTCACCCAGAGACTCTTCACCCAGAAACTCTTCTTGCACATACATGTCACCCATATACTTTTCACCCAGAGATTCTTCACCCAGAAACTCTTCTTGCACAGACTTTTCACCCAGAGACTCTTCACCCAGAAACTCTTCGTGCACATACGTTTCACCCATATACTTTTCACCCAGAGACTCTTCACCCAGAAACTCTTCTTGCACATACATGTCACCCATATACTTTTCACCTAGAGACTATTCACCCAGAAACTCTTCTTGCACATATAATGGTCCCACATCGGAGCCTCAATTTTACTTTTCACCCATATACTTTTTACCCATATACTTTTCACCCAGAGACTCTTCTTGCACATACTTTTCACCCATATACTTTTCACCCAGAGACTCTTCACGCAGAAACTCTTCTTGCACATACTTTTCACCAATATACTTTTCACCCAGAGACTCTTCACCTAGAAACTTTTCTTGCACATATTTTTCACCCATATACTTTCACCCAGAAACTCTTCTTGCACATATTTTTCACCCATATACTTTTCACATCTTTTCACCCAGAGACTCTTCACCTAGAAACTTTTCTTGCACATACATTTCACCCATATACTTTTCACCCAGAGATTCTTCACCCAGAAACTCTTCTTGCACAGACTTTTCACCCATATACTTTTCACCCAGAGACTCTGCACCCAGAAACCCTTCTTGCACATACTTTTCACCCATATACTCTTCACCCAGAGACTCTTCACCCAGAAACTCTTCTTGCACATCAGTTCGCCCATACACTTTTCACCCAGAGATTCTTCACCCAGAAACTCTCCTTGCACAGACTTTTCACCCAGAGACTCTTCTTGCACATACTTTTCGCACATACTTTTCACCCAGGACTCTGCACCCAGAAACTCTTCTTGCACATACTTTTCACCCATATACTTTTCACC